AAGTTGCATGAGAGGCTGGGCCATGCAATGCCATGCAGCACCAGTACAAGTGGGGGGATCAGCGGCCATACTTCTGAAACTCCCACTCACTATTGTCTGCAGGGAAAGAACACAAGGTAGTGGAAAAAGCATGTTTAGGGAAATAAAAAGGGACAAAACGTGGGATACTCAATCTCAAGTGGCAAACTAATTTTGTGGTGAAAACCAGTGACGGAGCAGATTAGATTACGGCCAAAGAAGAGTTCACTGACCTAGTGGGCAGACTTGGCGTGTCTTGAGCCACCTACTGATGCAGTGGAAATGGAATGCATGGTTGCACACACCTGAGGGGAGAGACGGAGGGACAGAGAGATGTAAGGAGGAAAAGTACTGATGAGATGGGGGGAATTGAGTATCCTGGCAATGTACTGGGAGAAAGAGTGTGAGAGGAAGTGGAAAGGAAGTGGCGGGGAGGAGAGGAGGGTTGAAAGAAGGTACCAAAAATACGAGAAGGGAAATGCGACAAGACAAGAGGTAGAAATCAACTGACAACTCAAACCACCGGGCACTCATGTTGAATGGGCGAGGAGAAAATACACAAGATACATGTAAATATATGCTGAGCAAAAGCAGGAAGACAGAGAGGAAATCTCACCCCATGCCACAGTGCACTCGTCACTAGTAGCGCTCGCTTGATTGGCCTGACACTCAATACCTGCACCGTGAACCGCGCGGAGAAGGTGGGAAAGAGGGAGAAAAATGGGAAATGAGTGGGGGGGAGGGGGGAGAGAGGGGGGGGAGGGGGAGGGGAAGCGGGTTGGGGGAGGATAAAACGTTAGGTACATGCAGAAGACGTGTTTGAAACGGGGGAGAGGAGAAATTAGGAATCAGGATCTGAACGGACATGCAGAAAGAATAAGGGAAGAAAGAAAGAAATTAAAAAAAACATCCGTGTTGAGTCAGACGTTGAAGAATATGGTGATAGAAACGAGAAAACATGACGCCAGTTGGAAGGAGGCTATAACGCTGCGCTGCACTCACACTTGTCCATGATGTGATTACGGCAGATGGCACAGTTATCAACCACGATGTCTGCAGGTGTAAGCACAGGCGAATGCAATCAGAGGTGAATACAGTCACAGACGGAAGTAGACGCAGACGGAACAAGGGCGAAGGTAAACAAGCATGAGTGTCGCCTAACCCTAACGTGGGAAATAGGCACATGAACGAGTTTCGTGCGACAAGCATACACACGCCGTGCGAGAAAAATAGACGCCGTAAGGCCATCCACATGAAAATCGACGGGGGAACGACACGGGAACGACACAGGGTTAAATAAAAAGGGAGATCTTGGCTGATTCAGACATTTTGTTTTCGCGGATCCAGTTTGAATATAATTCGGAGGCGCCTAGAAAATATGCTGGTACGCACGAAGCGACTTGTAAATTGACTCGAGAATCCCTCAGAGCACGAGTCGACTCGATAGCTCGATAGGCTCATATAAACGACCAGACTAACGGACAATCCAGTTCAGAATTCAACACCAGCCGATACGCACCCCAGGCCCAGAGCGCGACCGCGTTCCACTTCTTGATTTCAAACCGCCTGCCTTTCTTGGCGCCGGAGCTGGAACCCTCGCCGCCAGTCGCAAGAGGCATATCGACGTCCACGCCAGCCATGGCTGCTGCTACAGACGGAGCAGATTAAATCTCAACTTGGGATCTGGGATAGTCAAACTCCTCTGTCTTCACTATTCTGCACAAGATCTATGTCTGCCAATTGTTTTATGGCTGCCTAGTGTTTTTGTAGCTACCTTGCATCTGGGTAGGAGAAGAGAGGAAGAAACAGGTCAGCCATACGGACACGGCAAAACACTATACCCGACAAAGTAATAGGCGCGCTACAGATATAGAAGTATGTATATGTTGAGGTTTTACGCCAAAGGCAGTCTTGGTGATAAACTTCGGGCCTCTTGTGTTCGCTTAGTTTCGCGGTTCTGGTTACCACACGATCGCTCTCTTCCCGCACTTGCAAGGAAAGGGGAGGTCAATGGTGCCTGCCCTGCTTTGGAAACGCGGAGCAAATTGGCCAGTGCAAAAGCGCGGGGAACTCGAACTGATCTTTCTCGGGCCCGTTCAGATTCGCACGCACTTAGAACTAGGTTTTGGCTTGAAAGCCATTGTGCTAAGGTTTGTAGCCTGACGCTGTTTAAAAGGGTAGTACAGGTCAGAGATGAGATAATTACAGTGCAAGGGCCAGCTTCAAGCTCCCTACTAAGAACTGGTATGAACTGACCAGATGACCACAGTTCAGGATTGAAACTCAAACTCTGTGCACGGTCTCAACCCGAAACAGCTCCCCCGAATCCGCCTGAACCATAAGCCCCTGACGGTTCTCCAACCCGCGCGCTCTCAACCACTGCGCCAGCCAGAAATCATGGGGGTCTACTTGACTGCTTGGTAAGAAACTATACAGCCATGGCGTCTTCAAAAACAAGATAAGAAATGTCAGACGAGGTTATGGCATGCGCTAGTACCAAGGGTCTCACGTGTTGCTCGTTTGGATACGGTCTTTCAGTCTGCCTGTAAGTAGCTGTTTTTGTGGGAGTCCGCTTTTGCGACGTGTCTCCCGCTGCTGTATCTTAGTCTTCGAAAGCCATTTTTTATCATGATGAGCTAGCTTTTCAGCTTTCCAGCAATGATGGTTAACATGTCCTCAGGGTAGCTCCAGTCGCGAAGAAGCGACAACGAGCATGTCTTCGCGAACTCGTTTTCGTTTCGCCCAACTTCGCCGCGCTCATTCTCGCGTCCTACTCCTCCGACCCCAACCGCTCGAGATCTTCCCACCCGATACATCTCGATCCAAGTCTTTAATCACCCATCACCCCTACTCTCGTTAACAACCGCGCCAGACCGCAGTATTCTCCCCGACAACCGAGCACAACCAACTTAGATCAACAGAAGCGCTCGCATTTGTCGACGAATCGCAGGTTTGGGCACGCTGCTCTAGTGCAGGCGTGCTTGCCTGCTGATCGTCTGAACGGTTTTACCATTTTCGTCTACGATCCAGGCCGTTATCTCCTATTCCGGTTGCTAAGCCTTGCGCAAGCGCACAAGCCCTGCCCGTGCGCGCAAGCGCCGAAAGCGCCGCTGTAGCTTGCGCGTCACCCGCCATGCCTCTCCCCGCAGCTGCCTCCACCTTCCGCGGCTCTATCGGCTGCGCCGTATCGTTGCGCCGTCCCCCTGCATCCCCGCCCAGTGTCGTCGTTCTGCTCTCACCTCCGCCTCCGCCTCCGCTTCCGCTTCCTCCAGGCAGAGCGATGACTCCGCGGATGCTCCGCGCAAGCTGTGTCGCGCGGAAGCTGACCGCTAGAGCCTCCGATACTGTCACCTCCGGAAGGCTCACCAGCACGAGATTTGTGACTATACCGCGGGCTGGTTCAATTAGCTACAGATATACGGGTATTAGCGGAGTACAGACGCTTGCGTGGCGGCTAGCCGTTTCCGCCGGCAGGGCGAACGGCGTCAGCGACTCGCGATGCCTTCGCGGATCTCTTGGCTCTAGCGGGTTTAGCGGCGCTCGAGACTTAAGCGGCATGAATGCTAACATTTATAGCTCAACACATGGGTCGACACGAAACAATCGAGGCCGTGAGAGAGGTTACTATCAGTGTAGCTTAGAGGGTACGCAGCAGAACACAGTCGGAAGCAGCAGCAGCAGCAGCAGCAGCAGCAGCAGCAGCAGCAGCAGCAGCGGCGGCGGCGGCAGCAGCGGCAGTAGGGGCAATGGTAGCAGCAACGGCAGCAGTAATGGCGGCGGCGGCGCTAGGAGTGCTGGTGGCGCGAGGGGGATTGCGCGAACAGGCAGGAACAGGGGGAGTGGCAGCGGTAGCGGCGGTTTAGCGCGCGGGGAAGGGAGGGGGCGGGGGAGTGGGAGCGGAAGCGGAAGGGGGACGGGGGGCGGAGGGTATGGGCCGGGGGGGAGTAACGGCGCAAGCGGCGCAAATGGGCTGGACGCTTATGGAGACTTGGCGCGCTATGGGATTGACGATTTGGAGTTTCGCGAACTGTTCGTTTCGCCTGGTATCGCCCACGTCGCGACTCACTCGCAGCAGCAGATGTTGAATCAGCAAGAGAACCAGGAGCAGCAGCAGCAGATGATGCAGCAGATGCAGCAAGCAGAGGAACGACAGCAGCAGCAGCAGCAGCAGGAGCAGCAGCACCAACAGCAGCAGCAGCAACATGAGGGGCTTAGCAACCCCCGATTAGCCCTCTCTCACCAGCATTCCCAGAATGAACAACAGCAGGAAGATTTGCAGCAGCAGCAGCAGCAGCGGCAGGAGGGCTTTGACAAGCAACTACTCGTTGAATCACTTTCAACGCCTTCTAGCCCCTCCGCTCCCTCTCTCCCCTCCTCTCCTTCTCTCTCCCTGCCCACTGTTCACGCTAATCCCCTCCAGCACAATTCTGGTCAGGACCCTGACCCATATTCCTTAAACCCCCACTCATCCGGTCATTCTAGTACAGATGCTGGGAGCAGCAGCGGCAGCAGCAGTGGCAGCGGCAGCGGCAGTGGCGGTGGTGCTAGCACAAACGGCATCCAGACCGCTCACCCCTCCCACCTCTCCTCCGCCGTTCCCCCTTCCGCGCTTTCCCCAGAGCAGCAAAGCCAGCATGCAGGGTTGCGGGAGGGGGGGGATTGGTACGGGAGGGAACAGGGGGAGGGCGGAGCAGGCATGGGCATGGGCATGGGCATGGGCATGGGCATGGGCATGGGGATAGGCATGGGGATGGGCGTGGGTGTGGGTGGTTGGGGTGATAGTTCAACAATGCGCGGCCAGACTGGGGGCGGAGGCGGAGGGGGAGGGGGCGGCGGAGGGGGGAGGGTACGGGGAGTGGGGGGCGCGCGGATGGCGCAAGGGGGAGGGATGCGGGGGCGGGAGGTTGGGGGGCCATCAGAGGAGGACGAGGAGGAGGAGGAGGGTGCGGGGACGTGGAGTGTGTATCTGCTGCTGTCAGCAGATGGGAAGAAGACATACGTGGGCGTCACTATGGACGCTGAGAGAAGGTGAGTTGGTGGCTTTAAATGCTGCGTGCTTCTGCCCATGTGTGTGCCTGTGCCTGTGCCAGTGCCTGTGCCTTTGCCTGTGCCTCTGCCTGTGCCTCTGCCTGTGCCTGTGCCTGTGCCTGTGCCTGTGCCTGTGCCTGTGCCTGTGCCAGTGCCTGTGCCAGTGCCTGTGCCTGTGCCTGTGCCTGCGCCTCTGCCTCTGCCTGTGCCTGTGCCTGTGCCTGTGCCTGTGCCTGTGCCTGTGCCTGTGCCTGTGCCTCTGCCTGTGCCTGTGCCTGCGCCTCTGCCTCTGCCTCTGCCTCTGCCTCTGCCTCTGCCTGTGCCTCTGCCTGTGCCTGTGCCTGTGCCTGTGCCTGTGCCTGTGCCTCTGGCTGTGCCTGTGCGGGGACGTGGAGTGTGCACCTGTTGCTGTCAGCGGATGAGAAGAAGACATACGCGGGCGTCACTATGGACGCCGAGAGAAGGTGTGTTAGCAACGTCACATTGTTTTGAAGACCTTTGGAAAAAAAAAAAAACAACAGAACATGGTCTATTTCTTAGGAGCCTCACATTAATCGTCTCTCTCTCTCTCTCTCTCTCGCTGACTGTCGAGACCTCTCAAGAATGGTCTAAGGTAACACCCATTAAATACTCGTCTCATTTGTGCCCTCCCTCCCTCATTCTCCCCCGCCCTTTCTTCCCACCCCCTTTCCCCCCTGTTCCGCCACACAGCAACGGAGAGGTGGTGGGAGGAGCCAAGTCAACTCAGAAGTGTGTGCACCCTCTCCCCCCCCCCCCCCCTTCTTCCCTCTGCTCTCCCTTTCTCCCTGCTCTTCCCCCTTCCCTGCTCTTCCCCCTTCCCCGCTCTTCCCCCTTCCCTGCTCTTCCCCCTTCCCCGCTCTTCCCCCTTCCCTGCTCTTCCCCCTTCCCCGCTCTTCCCCCTTCCCCGCTCTTCCCCCTTCCCTGCTCTTCCCCCTTCCCCGCTCTCCCCCTTTCCCTGCTCTCCTTCCGCCCCTCTGCTTTCCGCTGGCCAGGCTGAAGCAGCACAACGGGGAGGTGGTGGGGGGAGCCAAGTCAACGCGGGCTGGCAGGCCGTGGGCGCTCGTGTCTGTGGTATCAGGGTTCAGGACCAGGAGCGAAGGTGCGTGGGTGGGGAGGAGAACGGTCTAGCGGCGCCTTAGAAAGAAGCTATTCAAAAGAGATGTGTGCTGGCTGGCAGGCCGTGGGCGCTCGTGTCTGTCTGTGGTGTCGGGCTTCAGAACCAGGAGCGAAGGTGAGAGCGATGGAGGATTAGCGGGGTTGAGGAGAGGGGGGAGGGGAGGGGGGAAGGGGGGAGGGGGGGGGGGGGGGGGAGAAAGAAGTGATGTAGAAAGGGGCGGGTGGGTAGGGTGGCCGGGGCTGGAGGGGCAAATCCGGGGTGCGCCGGCAGGGTCGGGGCCGCAGCTGGGCAGCAGGGCAGGGCCGCGGCTCGGCTACAGGGCAGGGCCGGGGCAGGAGTGACGGCAGCGGCGGCGGCGGCGCGCCACACCGCTGGTGGCAGGCTCGGCGGCGGCTGCAGGGACAGCAGCTGCTGCAGGGCTCCTCGGCGGCTGCTGCAGGTGGAGGCCGCGACCGGCGAGAGGGGCAGGGCAGGGCCGTAGCAGCGAGACGGCGCCCGGAGGGGAGGAGGGTCGCGCCAAAGGCAGGGCGGGGCCGCTACAGGCAACGGGGTGAGGCCGGGGCGAGGTCGCGACGGGGCTGCAAAGGGGAGGGGGCGCGAAGGGGCCGCGACGGGGCCGGGGCGAGGTCACGAAGTGGCCGCGGAGGGGCCGCGACGGGGCCGGGGCGGGGCCGCGAAGGGGCCGCGTAAGGGGCCGCGTAAGAGGCCGCGTAGGTGGGGGGGGGCGAAGGGGCCGCTAAGGGGCCGCGTATGGGGCCGCGTAAGGGCCGCTATGGGGCCGCGTAAAAGGGGGGGGGGGGCGCGTTTGTGCCGCCGGCTGTGGTTGCTCGGGTCTGTCTGTGGTGTCGGGGTTTCGATTCGAACCAGGAGCGAAGGTGCGCAGGTTGGGACGGGGAAGGGCGCGGGAAACGTTATAGAGGCGCCTGTGAAGCAGGCGCGTGAAGAAGGGATGTGCAGTGAGAAGCAGTCACTGACTGCAATGTGCACTGGCAGGCCGTGGGTGCTTGTGTCTGTGGTGTCGGGGTTTCGATTCGAACCAGGAGCGAAGATGCATGCGAGGGTAAGGGTAAGGCCACGGGAAACGTTATAGGAAGTCCCTGAGAAGCAGGCGCCGCAAGAATGTGCAGTGAGAAACAGTCACTGCAGTGTGCTCAGGCAGGCTGTGGGCGCCCGTGTCTGTCTGTGGTTTCGGGGTTCAGAACCAGGAGCGAAGGTGCGAGAGGGATGGAGAAGGGAAGGAAAAGGAGGAATGGGCATGGGTAGGGGGGAAAGGGGGAGAGGAGGGGAGAGGGGCAGGGGGGAAGGGAAAAGGGAGCAGGGTATGGAAGGAGTTTGTGCTGCATGACATGAGGCAAGGCACAAGGCACATTGTTTCACCCATCACATCCCGCCCATACCTCCCTGAGCATTACCCTTCACCATCACATCTCGCCCCTCCTCTTCCCCCGTTTACAGCGTTCCAATTCGAGTGGCGATGGAAGAATCCGCGGAAGCTCCGAGGCGACGGCACCACGTACGACCGCACTGCATATGACCGCACCGGTGTGTCCTCCACATCTGCAGCTGCCACAGCCTCTGCCTTTGATGCATTATCTTCACCCTCAGCACATGCAGCAGCGGCAGCACTAGCAGCGGCGGAGCAAGGGCAATCCGAGCCTCATGTCCTGGTTCGGCGGCGAGCAGCCTTGGAGGAGGCTCGGCGGTCGTTTCCACAGTGGCAACACCTGACGTATTCCTGGCGGGCGTGACTTGTCCTGACTTGGCTGGATTGACTAGCCCTTCCTTGGCTTGACTCTCATTCACTTCTTGCTGCTTTTTCTGGTGGAATTTGGGTTGAAGATCTTTTAGCAACTGGTACTGAAGTGTATTACTGGTGATGGTGATGGATGTCATGTGATATGCACTATAGAGTCTGGGTCTGGTGGTCTTGTTTCACATGCACATTGACTTACACCTGTGTGCAATGCAGTGCTGTGCATGTTTGCATGTGTTATACTTCAGCTGAAACTGTCTCTCAAACATTTCCCACTGGCATATCTGTTTTGTTGTCTCTTGACGGGTTTTCTGTTAGGCCGGGACGTAACGAGAGTTTCGATTTCGTTAACAGTTTCGTCAACTTCCGGTTTTCGCCCAACCAGCTAGTCCACGATTTTCCCCCTGGTTGGTGGGCCAGTCTTAGATATTCCCAAATGCAAGTCAGGGTTTCAGCGCTGGTGCAGCAGACCTCTCGGAGCAAGTGCAAGAATCAAGATTAGCCCGCGCGACTCGCAATTTGGGCCTGAGAACACAGCACACGTGTGGGACATAGAAGTGACAACTAGCTCAACCCGCTTGGTAGCTACCGTAGTTGAACCCCCGAACGTAGCTTTTATTAGTTGGCAGCAGCTTGGCGAACCCTCGTCATCGATCCCCTCCCCATCCCCAACGCTCTCCGGCTGGTGTGATGGAGTGCTTCCTTCGTCCCATCACATCGCTTCAGTCCGGACTTCCTTTCTCCGACTCCGCGGAGTCCCCTCTATGATTAGAAATAGTAGAATTAGTAGATCAGGAAAGTTTGTAGTACCTCTCCCGAACATGGAGCGCGCGGTGACGTCTCTCCTTATCTGTACGCACTTCAATCCTCCTTATTTGCTGTGCTAGTTTAATCATTCCTCATGTAGGACGTGTGGCGATGTGCTATCGGCGTCGGATGCCGCATCGCGCCACGGCGGCGCCTCGTGCTCAGCTTTTCAACTGCGCCGCCGCCAGTTCAATTCAGTTGCCACCAGCTGCTGTCAGAGGGCACCGCATCGGCATCGGATGCCGCATCGCACCCCTCATTTGAGACGTCTCGAAAATCTCCCCTCATTTGAGACGTCTCGAAACTCGCCCCTCATTTAAAATGTCGTCGCCATTGTCATGCTTCCTCGTGCCACGATGCCTTGCCCGCCAGGTGCGGCGTGCCTCACTGCCGCGTCTGCCACAATCTTTCCGCCATCATTCGGCCGCGTAAGCCACGGCAGTGCAACTCATAGCCCGGGGATCGCGTATCGCAAGTCTTCTGAGGCGCCTCAAAAGCCATTCGGTGGTGTCAGCCACGGCAGCGCAGCAACTCTTGATAGTCCGGGGATCACGTATCGTAAGTCCGCACTCTGCAGCCGCTCTCAACGATGCTCGTTGCGCCCATTTGAATACCACTGTGTTCCTAGTATAATCGCTAGCAGCAAAGCAATTGCTCTTTATATAATGTTCACATGCTCCGTAATGTGGCGGCCTAGTATACTACACTAGTAGTAGTACCTCCTCCAATTTTTAGTCCTGACTGCAATTGAGCCTCCGAGGCTTCGCATCCCCGCGTTTCGTTCCATTGCACTGCATGCCATCATCAGGCCTTCATTTCAGTGGTGCCCATGTACCTTTATTTTCATATATCACTCGTGCGTCGTCCGTCCCCATGTGCCTTTACTATCCCTTCCCACTGCCAGAATGGTTTTGGGTCAAGTTGCGTCCTACGAAGCACAAGGGGAAAGTGATCGGCGACAGACGAGCATTTGGGACACTTTTTTGGAAGATTATGAAGTGAGTGAGCTTTCGTGTGATTCGATTTGCTGCTGCTCTACTAGTGGCCCGTAGTAGTCACTGAAAGGTTGCAGATTTGCGCTCTAGCGAGTGGCCCCAGCCCTCATTCCCACCCCATCTTTCCCTTTCCCATCTTTTCTCTTCAGCCATTCGCCCCTCCTCAGAACTTTTGAACCCCCCACCCGCTCCTCTCTTCCCCTTCGTGACCCTCTCCCTCCATGCCCTGTGTAGGTTTTCACGGAGGGCATATTACATCAGCCTTTATTGGGAGTACCGGAAACTCAGCTCAGGAGCCACCCCTGTGCTACACTCTGGCACCTCCTGCACTGTAGCAGGCACTACCTGGGACCAAGACCCGCAAGTCTCGTATATAAACATGACCAAGCCCCCCAAGAAAGGTCGTAAACCGCGCTACGCTTTTTATAAGTGGTACCATTATAAGCCAGGGCATTTGCAGACGAGCTTAGACATTATGAAGACGTTTATGGATCCTGGTTCTTATTGGCATGTTGCGACTGACCAGAACGATTATGCACTCTGCGGAAAGATGGTGGTATCGGAGGCGAAAGGTGTTATTGGCGGCACGCTTTGACAGCTGTCAGTTGGCTCATGTTGATGCTCAGAGGGTGCAAGTGTTCATGTTAAGTTATGTTGTACAAAGTTGCTTGCTACGGTACTTGCACCTCCCTGTATGTCCGCTTATTCAGTAGTCCATCCTCTGTTTCTGACGGGCATCGTGGGTACGTTTTCCCTCACCAACTACTACGACCCTTGCAGTAGCTATCTCAGCAAGCACATGTGTTGCAAGGGTGTAAGGAATTTTCTCGACGTTCCTTACGGAGCCCTACTACATCGCGTACAGCAACAGCCGTTGTTGGCCCGTTACTGCTAACGGGGCTTCGTCGACTTCGCGCACAATGTTTCACCAAACCTCGCACTGCTGGCATGGCCGTGTCGGCCTACGCCTCGGGACTAGCCCGAGCCTCGCTCCAGCGTAGCACTAGCTAGCTCGCACGCACCGCGTTACCGTTTGCATGTTTCGCGTATAAATGTTCGCTCATGCCTTAGCTCACATTTTGTACTCGTTTGACACCTTAGTGCAATTCTCGCTACTTCGATTCATTGCACCCGTAACACTTGTTATTAGAGCCCCTTTTCTTTCGGACCGCGCATCTCCGCACCTCAGGAAATCAACTTTTGATTTCTCACTCGAAATGACTCACGTACCTTAGCACCTAGGAGCCGATGTCCTCGCGTTCTCTCGTAAACGCGTGCATCCACGACTGCGCCTAGACTAAGACGAGCCGACGCCCTTCGAAATGGCTGAACACATCGACGTCACGAATCTCACGCAGGAGCACTTGAACGATCTGCTGCGACAAATCCGCGAGAGCGCCGAGGAAATTGCGACGCTAACGGCAGAACGCTCGGCCCTGCAAAACGACCTCAGACGAGCACAATCCCAAGCACCGAGCACTCCGATTCAGCCCGCACTACAGACATCACAGCACGGAAGTGTGGGGCAACCCACGAGCGCCGCAAGTGATGGCGTCGCCCGCCATGACGGAGACGACGACCACGGCACGACACACCCCGACACGACGAATGCGGCCAGGACTCAACCCCGAGTCACGATTCCAGTGCCGGCCGGCGAATCAACTCTTCCGACGCCGATGCCGCTAAAGCCGCAGCGTCCGCCATGCTTTGACCCAAGTCAACGAGATGGTCCTATCGTTCAGGCGTGGCTCTTCATGTTGAACGTCTTCTTCGACGCGAACTACGTCTCGGAGGATACGGCGAAAATTCGCTATGCCGTGTCATTGCTGCGAGGACCCGCCATGGACTGGTGGCGCGTCATCGTCACGAAGCCGGTAGACTACGCGAATCTACCGACACGGGAAGGACAAACCGGACCCTGGGCGCCGTCGTATTTCGTGGAGGTGCCCTAGTATCGCACGTGGGATGCGTGGTGCGCAGGTCTACGCGCTCGTTTCGAGTCAATCGCGGCTTCGATCGCGGCGCGGCAGAAGCTCCGCACTTGGCGCCAACTCGGTTCCGTCCAAGACTACACGAGCGGATTTCTGGCGCTATGCGAGCAGGTGGGATATATGCACGAGAGCGAGCGCATCGACCGCTACATCGGCGGCCTGAAGCAGGACATTGCTCAGGAAATCCAGCTTCGCGGCGTCACCGACTTTCAAGAAATTCTCGCTATGGCTGAGAAACTCGATTTCTTCCGTCGACCGAGACCGGGGTCCTACGGAAGCAGCCATTGGGGACATCGGCCTCGTGGGACGAACGAGGGCGCCACGATACGTGCCGTCGCCGCAAATGCCGCTGCCGCACCGTTCAAAGGGCGCTGCTTTGCGTGCAATCGGCCGGGACATCGCAATAGCGAATGCCCAGAAAACGCTAAGGGGAAGGGGGAAGCTGAGCAGTAGAAACAGACCAAGCAGCAGGGAAACGCTGGGAGTCAGTAGCAGACGGGCCCTCTACTGACAGGTCACGCCGCTCGCACGACCTAACCGACCCTCACCGATTGTGCCGGTTCACGCAATCGACCACACTCGGCCGAATAAGGAGGGGACCACGGTAGACAGCCCCATACTGCTTAGTGGGAAAATCGGGACGGACTTAATTAAAATCTTCGTAGACGGGGGAGCCAGCCACAGCCTCATCAACACTACCACAGCACAGCATGGCACGCGCCGACCAACTTGACCGAGTTGCAGAGTTTTTTGGGGTTCGTCAACTACGTGCGCCGGTTCGTCCCCGACATGGCGAAGCTGACCGCCCCGTTGACTGACCTGCTGAGAAAGGGGGTTGAGTACACGTGGGGGGAGAAAGAGCAAGCTGCCTTCTCGGCCCTCAAAAACATTTTGTGCTCACCGCCCGTGCTTCACATCGCAGATCCACACCGTCCGTTCGAGCTCGTCACTGACGCAAGTGACATCGCTGTGGGAGCAGTACTGTTGCAGGATTTCGGGAACGGCCTCCAGCCAATCGCGTACAAGTCCCGCAAGCTGCATCCGCCCGAACGCAATTACCCGATACACGACCGCGAAATGTTGGCGATCGTGCACGCGTTCAAGGTTTGGCGGTGTTACCTGACTGGCGCCAACGTGACAGTACGGACAGACCACCGATCACTACAGTACCTACGCGCCCAACCGAATCTCAATCCACGACAGATTCGCTGGTTGGACTACCTCGAGTCCAACTTCCACTACACAGTTACGTACCAGAAAGGCGCATCCAACATCGCCGACGCACTCACCCGCCCTACCGCCCAACTCCACGCCATCCTACTCGCCCAGACCAACCGACTTTTAACATGCCTATTCACCCACAGATACCGCACCGACCCATTCTTCAAGACCGGAAACTCACAGCAACTGGCAGAAGCTAAAGGAGTTTATTACGTACAAACAGGCACCAATCGCATCTGGGTACCCGCGTACTCACTACTGAGGGAGCTGCTACTGCAGGAGGCACACGACGGAATTACCTCGGGACATTTTGGGGTAGAAAAAACGCGACAGCAACTGCAGCGGTATTACTACTGGCCAGAGCTGTTGACCGACTTACAGCAGCACTTGGGCTCGTGCCCCACGTGTCAGGTGATGAAGAGCTCAAGGAAGCGGAAGGCGGGTCAATTGCAGCCGATACCACTGCCCGAGCGCGCCTGGCAGCAGGTTACCATGGACTTCGTCACAGGGTTACCTTCGAACCCTGGGGGTATCGACGCGGTGATGGTCGTCGTTGACAGATTGACGAAGATGGCACATTTCGCTGCGTCCAAAAAGTCGATCTCAGCCGAGGAGACCGCTCGTCTGTTCATCGCGGCCGTTGTTCACCTGCATAGGATACCAGCTGCAATTTCTGGAAGAACCTCTGGGAGCAGTTCGGAACCAAGCTACAGTTCAGTTCGTCGTATCACCCCGAGACCGACGGTCAAACGGAGCGGACGAATCAGACGATGGAGCAGTTGATTCGTGCCACGTGCGACGACCTCACGACTTGGGAGCAGCAGCTACCGCTGATCGATTTCGCGTACAATAATGCCACGTCAACGACGACGCAGCAGTCCCCCTTTTACCTGAACTACGGGCAAAATCCTACAGTGCTCATGATGCCGAGTCCGGACAACCCAACACCACGAGCACAGCAATTCGCCGAAATTCTGCAAGCTGCCCGCACCAGAGCCGCAGAAGCAATTAAAAAAGCAAACGCCATCGCTAAGCGCAACGCTGACCGCCACCGCCGCCCAGTCACATACCAGTCAGGGGATTACAAACTGCTCGACACGCAAAATCTGCGACTGCCCGACGTACCAGAACTTCGACCGCGCTATTGTGGCCCATTCCAAATCAGCCACATGATCACGCTAGTAACCGCACACCTACTGTTACCGACCGACTGGTACATTAGCCCTTCGTTCCACGTCAGCTTGCTTCGCCCCTACATCCCAACCACAAGCCAACTGCCTCGCCACCGCCCGCCATTCATGACTCGCCCTGCATCGGAGCCGATCATCGAGCCCGAAAAAATCCTGAGCCATCGGATTCGACACCCCACGGGACTCAAGAGGATTGAATTCCTCGTCCGCTGGAAGGATCGCACGCCAACTGAGGACAGCTGGGTGCCCCTGGCCAATATCGAAAACCACCCTGCCCTGCAAGTGTACATGAGGAGCCGGGGATTCCGCGATATACATGCACTCACGTTGCGGAGGGGGCTTCTTGAGGGGGGGGGTAGTGTAAGGAATTTTTTCGACGTTCCTTACGGAGCCCGACTACATCGCGTACAGCAACAGCCATTGTTCGCCCGTTACTGCTAACGGGGCTTCGCCGACTTCGCGCACAATGTTTCACCAAACCTCGCACTGCTGGGATGGCCGTTTCGGCCTACGCCTCGGGACTAGCCCGAGCCTCGCTCCAGCGTAGCACTAGCTAGCTCGCACGCGCCGCGTTACCGTTTGCGTGTTTCGCGTATAAATGTTCGTTCATGCCTTAGCTCACATTTTGTACTCGTTGGACACCTTAGTGCAATTCTCGCTACTTCGATTCATTGCACCCGTAACAAGGGGAAACAAATACCGCAATTGTGAAAGCTTGCTATTTGTCTTGCAAATGCAACGTTTCATTTCAACTGGCAAGTACCGTACATGATTTTCATCGTCGAAGCATTTTAAAATATAGCAACATTAAATTCCCCAAGTATACTAGGGTGGGAGGGTGGGGAACTTGGAAACTGAAAGTTTGAAATGAAAAACGTGGGTGAATGCCATTTGGCCTTCGCCCCCTCTTTTATACCGAAAAGAGGGGGAAGTAGCGGTTCGCCGAAGCATTTTGCTTCGGTACAAGTATCTTCGCTATTCACAATACACACTTTCAAAATTTTACATTTATTGCTACGGTCGTCGCTCCCTTAGTCGAGGCATGTCTGTATTCTGTATGAAATGTATTCTAGTCGAATTTAGAAAAGTCCAATGCGTTTACAGAACCTTCGCTCAATTCTCTGGGTTTCGGGTTCAGTAGTGGGGCTGGTGGTGGTGTTCAGTTGCAGCCTCTTTTCCCGCACATACCTCTTTAATCTACAGTACTACACACGTGGACCTCGAGCGTTCCACTTTCGTTCCACGTGTGCCCGCCCGCGTACTACTAGCGCGGCGATCCGAGTCTGTTCGCGAAAATGCGGGTCAAAATGCTCCACGCGGTGGTTACCACTGGCTTCGCGACACCCGCTAACATCCATCCGCGCATCGCCCTCCGCCAACTCCCCCACTTCACCCGCCCCCTATCTTCCGCCACGCCCGCGGCTTTCGAGACATCGCACGCGCAAACTCCCCGCGCCCCTTCCGCGACCAGCGAGCGCAGCGACGGCCAACCACGCGCAGCGCGCTCCGCGGACAGCAGCGCTAGTTATGGCGGCGGAGGCGGTGGCGGCGGCCGCGTAGGAGAGGGAGGAGGGGGAGGAGGAAGGGGAGATGGCGGCAAGCAAAATTGGAATCGCGCGCGCGGTGGTGGAGGAGGGGGGTCGCCGCCGTCCGATCTGTTCGGCCACCAGATTGGCCGCGAAGGGCGGCGATTTGGTCAGCCAATAGTGGAGCGCAAGGGGCGAACGATCGATGAGCGGAAAGGCGGAAATTCCTCCGCGCCCCCTCCCCCGTTCCCCAGGCGCAAGGGGCCTGGCGGAAGGGGCCCTGCGGACGGCGCAAGTCGCGGGAGAAAAGAAGCGGAATCTTTCCGCCAGGAGCGGTTAGGGGGGAAGGGGTATATCGACGGTAGCGACTCGGAGGAGGAGGAGGATGATGACGTGTACGATGACATGGATGACCTGGCAGACATGGAGGCAGATCTGCTCCCCGGAATCCCGCGCAACCCGCTGCCCAGGAGCGCGCGGGAGAGGGGCTTCGGCGGAAGCGCTGGCGCGGGCGCAGCCGCTGGCGCGGGAATAGGGGGAATGCCGGGGGTGGCGGAAGCGGAGGAGACGGCGGAAGGGGATCCCGGGGCGGGTGTGAGCTGGATAATGAATGACGTGGACATGGATGATCTGTCAATGTTCGCGCCAGTTTCTCTGAAGTCCGCCGTGTTGGACCCAGCTGTGCTGAATTTGTCTCCAACAGGATTCGAACCGTCGCCTCCAGTGAGCAGCAGTGCCAGCAGCAATGGCAGGGTTAATGGGGGCCGGTGGACAGGTGAAACGAGTGGTGTGGGTGAGGGTGCTAAGAGGCAGTCGCGCCAAGGGAGCCAGTCACAACAAGGGACGGGAATGCTCAAGACGGCACGAGTTGAGACACCTGCAGGAGCACTAGCGAAGGAGGGAGAGGGGGAGGAGGGGGAGGGGGAGCGGTTGGTGCCAGAGCAGTGGTGGTGGGTGCAGGAGGAGGTGAGTAAGACGAAGAAGGAGAGGAAGATGGAGCGGCTGGATGAGGAGAGGAGGCTCGCGCAGGCTAAGGTCGCTGCCCGCCACGCCAACGCCGCTGCTGCTGCTGGTGGCGCCGCTGGTGGTGCTGGTGTTGGTGCTGCTGCTTCTGGTGGTGCTGTTGCTGCTGTTGCTGGTGGTGCTGCGTGGTTGGGGGCAGCTGGCGCGCTTGGTAATGGTGCGAGAATGGGCGTCGTGGGATCAGGAGCGAGGGCAGGGAAGGAGGAGCGGAGGGTGGGGGGGAGGGGAGAAGACGACGAGGAGGAGGAAGAGGAGGACTGGGACTGGTTGGAAGATGCACTGGAAGAGACAGTCCCAGATGACGTGAGTTCGTTCTCTTTCTCCTCTATGTTCCTTCCCTCCACCTTCCACCTGTAATGAGTCGTGTTTTGAGTCGGTTGGAAGATGCACTGGAAGAGACGGTTCCTGATGACGTGAGTTGAGTTCCTTCTCTTTCTTTTCTATGTTTCCATTTTTTAGACTTCCTTCCACACCTGCTGATTTTGTTTTCATTTTCTAGACTTTTCAAAATCCAGATGTCCAGAGTCTTCCTCTGTCCTCTGCCCAGAACGCACTGAATGCTTTTTGTTTCCTCCCGTCTTTTCTTCTACCCCGTCCCCCTTATCCGTCACCCCCTTCTCGTGTTCCCCTTGCTTCCCCCCCCCTTCACACAACCCCTCCCTTGCTCCTCGCCTTGCCACTTGCAACAAAAGCTGGGCAAACGAGCAGCAGCAGCAGCAGCAGTAGCAGCAGCAGCAACAGCAGCAGCAGCAGCAACAGTACCATCAACAACCCCAGCAGCAGAGGAGGGGGCAACAGCAGCGGTGGCGGCAGCAGAGGGGCTGAAGCAGCGGGCCCCAGCAGCAACCAATGTGGTCATGACCTCCTCTGTAAGAAGCAACGCCCGCCCGCCTCTCACGCATCACCTTTGCGTTGCGGGCCACGTGATATAAGGTTGGTGTTGAGACGTGTCTGAAGCAGCGGGCCCCTGCAGCAACCTATGTGGTCATGACCTCCTCTGTAAGTTCAGAAGTAATATTTTGACTGTCAAAAGCAGCTTTTTTTCTAAACACTTCAAAAAAACAGAAAACACCTTTATTCTGTTTTCACACATTTTGAATTCCGGATTTTTTTAGGCTCCTCAGAAATTGTCACGCGTCTGAGAATTCTAAGATGTTACATGGTAATTGGCCTCCTCTGTAGCGCCTTTCCATCCATCCCTTCCCCTTTCCTCTTTCCTCGACTCCCCCTTCCTCCCTCTTTCCCCTCCTCTCCCCGTCCCCTGCCCGTATGCCTGCAGCCCAAGTGGGTGGCGCTACACACCATGGCAGCCACGGGGCAGACGCCCCTTGTCTCGAGGCGCCTCTGATTCCCGTCCTTCCAAACTCCCCCGTTCTCCCTTCCCATCCCCCCTGTTCGTACAGCCCAAGTGGGTATCGCTGCACACCATGGCAGCCACCGGGCAGACGCCCTTTGTCTCTCACCTTCTCGCCAGCGGTGCTGCTGTTGACGCGCTTGATGCGGTGAGTAGTGGTGACGTCGGTGGTGGTGTGGTGGGGAGGGATGGAGTTGAGGCGCCTCAAAAGTCGTTTCTCCACCAGCGGTGCTGCTGTTGACGCACTTGATGCGATGAGTGCTGCTGGTGCTGCTGGTGGGAAGGAGGGGGGGGGGAGGGGGGGGTTGGTTGATGTGCATCTCAAAGTCTCTTTGTCCCTCACCTGATTGTCAGCGGTGCTACTGTTGACGCTCTTGATGCGGTGAGTGCTGCTGCTTTGTCACTCTCATTCGCTCGCTCACTCACTCGCTCGCTCACTTTCTCACTCACTCACTCGCTCTCTCCCTCGCTCACTTACTCACCCCTCCATCCCTCCACCCCTCCATCCCTCCACTCCTCCATCCCTCCACCCCTCCACCCATCCATCCCTCCACCCATCCATCCCTCCACCCCTCCACCCATCCATCCCTCCACCCATCCATCCCTCCACCCATCCATCCCTCCACCCATCCATCCCGCCACCGCGCACGACAGGACGGCACGACAGCGCTGCAACACGCTGTGGCAGGGGGGCGGCTGGCCATGGCGAAGCTGCTGCTGCGACACGGGGCGAGCCTGGAGATCCGAGACCAGGTGCACGAGGGGAGAGGAGAGAGAGGGGGGAGGATCCTTAGCCCTCTGCCCTCTGCCTCCCCCTCTGCCCTCTGCCTCCCCCTCTGCCCTCTGCCTCCCCCTCTGCCCTCTGCCCTCCGTGCCTACTTAAGGGCTGCTCTTGCCTCTCCTTGCTCATGATTTCGTTTGGGTTCAGTTTTCCGGCGGAGAGAGAGAGAGAGAGGAACCTTAGGACCGGCGACGGCGACGCTCGGCGCGCTGGAAGTGCTGACGCCGCTACTAGCACAGTGATGGCCTCACCTGCAACTTTAGGAAGTCGTCGACATGGTCCTCCACGCCGCTTGGTGGCGACGTGCTTCCCGAGGGTCTTCCCCTCACCCACGATGGGGTCCGGGTGTTGGGAAGCCCTGTGGGGTCGCAGAGCTTTTGCTCTGACTTTGTCCGCAGCACTCTGACAGACGCGGCGGCACCCTTGGGCTCTCTGGTGACCATCCACCCACAACACGCCCTCCTGCTATTGTCCCGTTGCATCAGCCGCAGAATCGGCTACCTGCTGCGCACCACCCCAGCAGACGTCTTACCTCTCTCGGAATGGCATGCATGGTGCTCCGAACTGCTGAACACCGCCTTGACCGCCGCCAGCATTCAACCGCCCCGTCGAGAAGCCGAGCTCAACTTCCTTCTTCGACAGGCAACTCTCCCAGTAGCCCTAGGCGGACTGGGCCTTACGGACCCCACAACTGAAGCAGCACCGGCCTACCTGGCATCTACAACAGAGGCGCTACGCCTGCTCCGCTCCCTGGACCTACCGGCAACCGCGCCACTAGGGGCCAACAGCAACGCCCTGCAGCCGTCTGCAGCGCACTCCGTGACCATCCAGGACATGGAGGGGCGACTGCCACCGCTGGCGCTACAAAACCTACGGGAGGAGCAGCAAATCCCGTCCCAAGACCAGCTGCAGCGCGCCCACTCCCAGGAAGTGCACGCGGCAAAGGCCGACGCCCTGACAGAGGAATCACGCACAATCAGGTCAACCCCCGAGATGGGCCACACGCTCCGCCTCGTCAGCCTGAGAGGCGAGGGAGCGGGGGCATGGCTGCAAGTCCTACCCCTGACACCAGACCTCTGCTTTTCAACAGGGCAATTCCGAACAGCCCTGGCCTTCCGCATGGGTATCCGCCAGAATGTACCTACCGTGTGCGAGTGTGGAGAACTTGTAGCCGACTGCAGCCTACCCAACCACCTACTCCGCTGCAGCACAGGCCCCGACAGGACGCGCACACACAACCAGCTGGCATTCGCCGTGGCTAAAATGGCGAGGGAGGCAGAGCTGGTGGTATACCTGGAGAATGCGATGTACTCACCGCCGGATGACCCGAAGAAGGCCGACGTGATTGTACGCGACCCGGACAGTGGAGAGACTTGGATCACAGACACTACTATCACTGACCCTGTGCTGCAGAACCGAGACCCGACAGCCCGCAAACCCCCAGGCTGGGCTGCAAGGGAGGCACGAGGCGGAAGGAGAGGGACTACTACAGGCACACCGAACACATGGTGTTCTGCGCCCTGGCCGTCGAGACATACAGGGCAAACGCGCCCCCCACGACAGCGTTCCTTAAGCTGCTGGCCACAGTAGCGGCTAGGAACAGGTTCAGGGCCAACCCCTTGGCCAAATCGGCCAAGAAAATGGCCTGCCACTTCAGCCAGCGCTGATCAGTGGCCCTCCAGCGTTCCCAGGCGAATGCCCTGCACACCAAGGCCAGGGCTGGGATCGAGGCAGCGCACCTCCAGATGGCAACGGACCCCTGGCCGCTGCACCTGGGGGACATCCTCCACACGCTGGAGGGCTCCCCTCTGCCTCCCCCTCTGCCCTCTGCCCTCCGTTCCTACTTAAGGGCTGCTCTTGCCTCTCCTTGCTCATTATTTCGTGTGGGTTCAGTTTTCCGGTGGCTCGCGCCGGCGGCCTTCGGCCGCGCGCTCCTGGTGGCAAGACAACAAACGAAGGATCGGCTTATTAAGAAGCGCACACACAATTCAAGCAAGGGAGAAGGGCAACAAGAGGAGAAGGCATGCAGTACTACACGCGGCGGAAGCCTACAACGTGTACGGCTCCGCCCCCTCTATCTGAAGCATCAAGCGCACGCACGCCGATACCGCGAGGAGGAGCTGCGCCGACGAGTGAAGGGTCTCCACCGGCGTCCCAACACGCGCAGCATAAGGTCCTCCACGTGGCGGGGGAAGGTACGCGCTAAGGGCGCTACCCCGGCGGGCGCTTCCGACACGGGCTCCAAAGGCTGGACGAGAGATTCTGCCCAAGACTAGGCCTGTCAAAGTTCTTGGGGCCCATACTTGCGCTCCCCAGCTCCTCCCCATCTGACCCTGTTTTGGGTGTAGCTGAGCGTTTGGGCGCCCTTAACGGTCACGGGCGCACCCAAAAGTGAAAACTTGAAATCCGGGCCTGTGAAGAGTTTGCACTTAGACACTTTATAGACACGGGATTGGCTAGAAAACGCTAAGGGGAAAATCCACTCCTTTTGTGCAACCTAAGGACAAAGGGGGGAGGGGGGCACTCAGACGCTAAGAGAAAATTCGGGTGCTTTAGGCTGACTTAGACACTTTACAAACAACGAGATTGGCTAGAAAATGCCAAGTGAAAAATCCACTCCTCTCGTGCAACCTTGGGAGAAAGGGGGGGGGGGGGCACGTAGACGCTAAGGGAAAATTCGGGTGATCCAAGCTGACTACTTTTACAAACACGAGATTGCCTAGAAAACGCTAAGGGAAAAATCCACTCCTCTCGTGCAACCTGAGGAGAACGGGGGGGGGGAGAGTCAGTCAGAATTGGGGGGGGGGGGGGTCCTACAACCGGAAACCAAAACTTTGAGACAGAGGAAGGCCTGGTTTGGGCCCTTAACGCATCCGGGGAAAGGTCAAACGAGGTACTTATTGGCACGGGTGCAGTGCGAATCTAGCTCTTTATGCAGTCGAGCTGGAGCGAAAGTAGTCCGGAATGTTCAGGGCATTAAGGGCATATGCCCTTGAATCGACAGGCCTGCCCAAGACGCGTAGGATCCTCGGGATTCTAGAGCGTAACTACCCGAAAAGTCACGCATGGCCCCACACACCGCCATCTGCAAGCTCGCCACGCCAGATTCAACATCCGGCTCATGGTCAGCGTGGGGTCTCTCCCCGCTCGAGTGGAGGGAGGTGCAATCGGATCTTCGCGCTGGAACACCGCCAGCCGGCCCAGGGCTCGGCCAAATGAGAAATGCTAAGTGTGGAAACCCGGGGCCTGCCGAGCGGTGCGGAACGGGGCCCTCGCCTCCCGCGCGGGCCGATACTCGCGCAAGGTGGGCGCGCGCAGCGGAGCTGCTAGGGCAGGGTCCGAGGCGAGGGGAGGGCCATTGGTTACATCAATGTGCACGTGCGTCCGCTCCCCGCTCGCCCGCGCCTGACGTACCGCCGCCGCCATCACATTCACGGCCTGATCTATGGCTGGATCACGACGGGGACTGCTCCCGCCACGTCCAGAACCATCCCCGCCGACCTCGGCGGCCGCCAGAACCAGCCGAGTGTGGACGTGGCGGGGATTGCTCGCGGCACCCAGATTCCCAACGACGCCCAGGCGATCCCCTGTCCTGCCTCGCCGGAGATTGCCGCGGAGAGCGCTGAGTGGGGGATCGCGCTTGCGGTGACTGCGGGGCTGCTCGACCACGGGGGGATTGGTGCCGAGGAGAGCGAGGACGCGCAGGGGACCGCTGATCGCCCTCCCTGCGTTGATGAAGGTCGCGATGCTTCGGAGAGGGGCGCCGAGGAGAGGGCTGCCGAGGAGGCTGACGCGGAGGCGAGCGCCCGCTCTCCTGTCGTGGCTAACTGTCAGGGCGGTTCGACGCAACACGCGCGGGGGCTCACGAATACTCCGGCGAGGTGGGCCGCGTGGCAGGCTGAAGAGGAAGAGTTAGCCCACGCTCGAAGCGGCAGACAGGCTCGCTTGCGGAGGGGCGTGCAGAGACACGCGGACGAAGCCCGGCAGACGCAGGCTCCGGCAGTGCGCTCTCCGCAGAACCCTCCAGCTCCGGATCTCGTCGCGCGGATGGGTCCATCACCCCCGACAATACCGCAGCCGTCGCCAGCGCGCCGACAAAGCGAGGACGAGGCGAACGCCGCACCTCAGACAGGGCGTGCGGGAGCTGCGGGAGGAAGAGCAACGCGGGGAATCCGCGTGGGACGTGGCAGCTGCCGCCGCGGTCGACGGGGGAACGGGAGAGGACGAAGAGGCGGTGGAGCACGCGGTTCAAACTGGCGCCGCACTGGAGCAAGCGACTATGCGAGAACTGCAAAGAGGCTAATGCGGGAAGGCATGGAAGGCGGTGAGGAGGCGCCTAGCGAGTAAGTAGAGGAGGAAGTTAAGAATGAAGAAAGTGACGGGGGTGATCCTGTATTTAACCCTGAAAGAGAGGGGATGTTGGAAGCAGAAGTCGAGGAGGACGAGGAGGAGTTGGAACTTCTGCTTCGGGGAGCTGAGTTCCCCAGCCCGAATGCCCGAGGCGAACCTGCAAACCAAACCACTGTTCGAAATCGAGCCGCGGGGGGAATTCAAGCAAGGGGGGGAAATCGAGCCGCGACAGAGAATGGAGTTGACTCTGCAGCAGTCAGTGGAAATTCTGCAGCCCCAATTCCAACCCCCCCGATGCTCAAACCTGACGACCTGGCGAAAAATTCCGACCTGTTCGCACAGGTTGCAGACTGGGACCTCGACCCGTTGCGCGACAGTCGACAACCACCTCTCGCCCGCCACCCCCCAAAAGACCTTTGCAAGTCCTTCACAATTTGCATGCTGACACCGTTACTCCACCTGGCAGCCAACCCCGAGTCTGCGCTAGGATGGAAGTTACTGACCTTCCTCCCGCGCATACTCCTTCGCACCTTGTCAACCCGTAAACCTGACTGGAGCGCGATGATGAACCGGCTCCTGCGATTTCGCCAAGGGTTCTGGGCCGGCCTATACGAAGAAGCTGCCGAGGCGATTTCCCTCCCACCTCAACCTTGCCTCGCACCTGACACAACTGGAATACTCGCCAAGGCGGAGGGACTGGCGAAGCGTGGTAACTTGTCAAAATCATTGCAATCCCTGCACGCCATGCCCGTGTCACCTGCCTCACCTGAAGTACTCGAGGCCCTCACGGCGAGACACCCACCTGCTTGCCAAATGCTACCTGATTGGCTGCACGCTGCCACAGTAGAAAACACCCCCGCTATCGAAGCCCGCGACTACAGGAGGCTCATCGCCAAGCTCCCCAACGGAGTCGGGGCAGGCCCCTCAGGAACCACCTTCGAACACTTCCGTGATGCAGCCCTAGGAAACGCCGAAGTATTCACCCACCTCCTAGCTCTCTCCAACACGGCTCTAGCAGGGAAACTACCTGCCATCGCGGGGGAGCTCCTTACCGCCTCCCGCCTGTTAGCCTTTACGAAACCACACGGAGGGACGAGGCCGATCGCGGTTGGAGGATGTCTCCTTCAGATCATCGCCAAAGTTGCTCTCTTCCTGATCGCGCCGTCCGCTAGATCTCACTTCGCCCCCCTTCAGTTCGGAGTGGCAGTAGCGGGGGGGGTTGAAGCGGCAATCCACACGGCACATACATACCTGGAGGTCTATCCTGAAGCAGTATCACTGCAAATTGACCTCGCGAACGCGTTCAACGCGGGCGAGAGGAGAGCGGTGTTCGAGGGACTCAAAAACGAGGCGCTGGAAGAACTAATCCCCCTCCTCCGCCTCTCGTATGGGGCCCCCTCCTCACTCTACCTCGACCATGACTTCGGCGCAGCCCCACTTCAGAGCGCCAGAGGAGTCCGCCAAGGAGACCCGCTCGGTCCCCTCCTGTTCGCGGCAAGTATCCACCCCTGCCTCGCTGATACGGCGGCTGCACATCCACAGGTGGTCCTGCTGGCGTACGCCGATGACATCATGCTGTTCGGTGACGCCACGGCCTGCACAACAGCTTTTGACCATCTCACAGCCGCGCTAGCCGCCCTCGGCCTGGAACACAACCCGGCCAAGTGCGCGGCGTGGTCCGCTGCAGCTATCAACCCCTCATCCGTACCCCCAGGCATCCCTATTTCTGAAGAAGGATTGCAGATTCTCGGCAGCCCCATCGGCACTCCCCAGGGCTGCGCCAGAGCGGTGAGGGAGTGACTGGCAACCGCAGCAACACCGCTCCCCCTGCTGGCCCAGATGGATCCCCAGCTTAGCCTCCTCCTCCTCCTCACCCGCTGTGTCAGCCGCCGTGCCTCCTTCTTGGCCAGAACCACTCCCTAGAGGCGCCACCTGAAGTGGAATGGTCGGCTTGGGGGGAGCGGCTTGGGGACTCGGCCCACATCATGACCCCGAGGAGATCCAGGGAGAGACGACGGATTTGGCGGCAGGCGGCCCTGCCTGTGACTCTGGGAGGTTTGGGCATCACTGATCCCGCCATTGAAGGCAGCTACCCCTATCTCGCTCCGGTGATCAGCGCCGCACACCTCCTGCACTCCCTGGAGGACTCACTGCACCCTGCTGTTGCCGCGCTCCTCCCCTTACTGGACCCGACCCACGGCTCACCACACGCGCTGCCGGCACGCCTCGCTGCTGCAGAGGCAGCACTCCCCCCAGAGGGTCTGGAAGCGCTCCAGGCCGGCAAGGCGGACCCGAAGGGACTGAAGCTGCAGCAGAGCCTAGCACTAGCGGTTCACTCTCCCGCCGCTTCCTGGGTGTTTTGCGCGAGGCGAGGCGGATGCGCCCCAACCCCCTTTCTGGCCACGCGCAACGGATGCAATCGGTGCTAGGCCCAGACTGGCTGCTGGCGATTCCCATCATCCCCTCCCTCTGGATGGGCCCATCCCAGCTCTCAACCGCAGCAGCCTTCCGCCTAGCCCCCCCCCCTCCCCGTGCCCAGACGCTGTGACTGCCGTTACCGCACCACCTTCCCCGATGACCGCCTCCCCAACCACCTCATGCGCTGCGAGAAGGGGAAAGGGAGGATTGCTACTCACCACGCTCTTCCGGATGAGATAGCAAACATAGGGGCTGAGGCGGACTTTACGGTACACAAAGAGACGTATGTCTACTCTCGGGTTGAAAATCTTCAGGGGATGTCACCATCCGTCATCCCCTGACTGGAGAGCTGCACCAGCTGGTTGAGCCCCATCATCCCTCTTAGTGATGGACAGCTGCACCAGCTGGTTGAGCCCCATCATCCCTCTTAGTGATGGACAGCTGCACCAGCTGGTTGAGCCCCATCATCCCTCTTAGTGATGGACAGCTGCACCAGCTGATTGAGCCCCATCATCCCTCTTAGTGATGGACAGCTGCACCAGCTGGTTGAGCCCCATCATCCCTCTTAGTGATGGACAGCTGCACCAGCTGATTGAGCCCCATCATCCCTCTTAGTGATGGACAGCTGCACCAGCTGGTTGAGCCCCCGTTCGACCAGTAGGGTCGGACAGAGGGGGGGAGGCGGGAGTAGGTAGGGGACGCGGGGTAGATATGATACCGGTTTGCATGTTTGTTTAGCTTGTGGGTTTGCATCTTCCACTGTACCACCTCATAAGTAATGCAAGGGCCATTCGAGGGGGGAGGATGGGGGGGACGGGATGGGGTTAGTGAGACAGGGAGTGGTAATGGCGAAGCTGCTGCTGCGACACGGGGCGAGCCTGGAGATCCGAGACCAGGTGGGGGGAGGGCGGATGGGGGGATGGGGGGGAGTTGGTTTGGGTTAGGGAGAAGGTGCATGAATTTGTATGACTTTTGAGAATTCTCAAAAGTCATACAAATGGTGCATGAAAGTTTCGTGAAGGAGCCTCCCGGGAGGTTCGTGAAGCTGTTGCTTCGGCACTGGGCAAGCCTGGAGATGCTAAGGCCATGTTCCTCTCTTGCCTGGAAAAGCCTGGAGGAGAGGCTTGCTGGAGGAGAGGCTTGTTGGAGGAACATGAGCAAGCCTCTCCAGCGTGGCTCCAGGCTTTCTCTCCCTCTTTCCTGGAGCCATGCTGTTGCACCGCGCAGTGCGGACGGACAGGCAACGTGGAGATGGCTGGCACCGTGCCTGCGAGGCGACTTTTGAGATGGCAACGACTCAGACAACGTGGAGATGGCTGGCACCGCGCCTGCTCTGTCGATTTTTTTAGTCGACTCAAAAATCGACTCAGGCAACGTGGAGATGGCTGGCACCGTGCCTGCTCTTCTGATTACAAAAGCATGTCTCTTCTGTTTTATGTCCCCTTCTCCTCCCTCCCCTCTCCCTGTTACTTTACAGCACGGTGCCACGTTGCTGCACCATGCAGTGCGGACCGGCAACGTGGAGATGGCACGGCTGCTGCCTGCTCACTGCTGCTGCAGAAGTTAGCATAAGAGCCTGTCTGTTCCCTCTCTCCTGTCCCCTCCCTTCTCCCTGTCTGCCCCACCGCAGCACGGAGCCACGTTGCTGCACCATGCAGTGCGCACCGGCAACGTGGAGATGGCACGGCTGCTGCTGCAGAAGGGAGCAGACGTCAACGCCGCTGACCAGGTACTGCTGCCATGCCGTGCCATGCCACGCCATGACATACCATGCCATGCCATGCCATGCCATGCCATGCCATACCATGCCATGCCACTGTGGGATAGCCATGCCGCTGCCATTGCTGAGGGGATAGCCAATGGGCCTGTAGTATGGTGCCCCCCCTACCTGATGAAAAAGTGGGGTGAAATCAGCATTACTTATCTCATCCCTGGGCTGATTTTGTAGTCAAAGAAATTATCACTTGTCTATTCAATTCCCTCTTCTCACGCGCTTCCCACCCCTACTCTGACTCCCTTCCAATCACCTGTGTCCACCAGTGGGGGTGGACGCCCATGCACGTGGCAGCACAGAGCGGGAGGATAGAGATGGTGCGACCGCTGCTCTTCCCTTCAACCCCTCTTTCTCTCTCCGTTTCCTCCAACCCACTTTTCCTCCCCTCTCCCTCCCCTCGCGTCAATCATGGCCTCCAGTGGGGGTGGACGCCCATGCATGTGGCAGCACAGAGCGGGCGGCTAGAGATGGTGCGAGCACTGCTGGTGCTGGGGGGAAAGGCACGCGTGCAAGCACAGGTGCGTGGGGGAAGAGGTGGGAGTAGGGTGGGGATTGGGAGGGAGCGTGGGGGGACAGGCCCAGGTTTGGGGGGACCAGGAGGGAAAGGGTAGGGCGGGGGTTGAGGCGTCTCAGGGTGGGGGTTGAGGCGTCTCAGGGTGGGGGTTGAGACGTCTCAGGGTGGGGATTGAGGCATCTCAGGGTGGGGGTTGAGGCGTCTCAGGGTGGGGGTTGAGGCGTCTCAGGGTGGGGGTTCTGCGTGTAAGTACAGGTGTGGGGGGGAGATGGAGAGAAGGGTGACATTGAGAGGGAGCATGAGATGAGAGGCCTGGTTCCTTACGAGGCGTCTTAACAGAGGCCAGGTTCGGGGTTCGAGGGACTGGGAGGTTGAGCAGGGGTGGAGGGGAGGGGTTGATTTGTTGCAGACCCCTGCACACACAGTACTCATGGTTTTGACTCATGGTAGCCACGTGTATGAAGATTGGTCTTGAGACGTTTCAAAACCAATCTTCATACAAGTGCACACACAGTACTCATGGTTTTGACTCTCCCTCTCAATGAAACTTCAGCCTGCAACCTCTTCTTTCTCCCTCCACCCTCCCCACCATCCCCCCATGCAGGACGGGCACACCCCTGTGGACATAGCGCAGGCATACGGGCCGGCTCACAGGCTGTAGCCCTGGTTCTGTGTTAAAACCCTGCCCCCACTTGCCCTCCCTGCATCCCCACAATCCAGGACGGGCACTCCCCTGTGGACATAGCGCAGGCATACGGGCCGGCTCACAGGCTGTAGCCCTGGTGTTGCAGGGAGTTTTTTTTAAGAATTCTCAAAAACTCCCTCCGACCCTCGCCTTTTGAGACGTCTCAAAAGACTCTGCAGGGCCTTTTTTAGAATTCTCAAAAACTCCCTGCGCAGGCGTACGGGCCGGCTCACGGACTGTACCCCTGGTTCTTGAGGCGCCTCAAAAATTGTCAGCTCCTCCCCCCGCTTCCCCTCCCTTCTCTTCCCATTCCCCTGCCCCTGGCCCCCCGTGCAGGACGGGCGCACCCCTCTGGACATTGCGCAGGCATACGGGCCGGCTCACGGGCTGTACAGCGTGGTGGAGATGCTGCGACGCCCACCTAAGGTCACTTAGAGACGCATGGGGAAGGGCAGGGGGGGAATGGTGGGGGGAATGCGGTGGTGGGTCAGATGCAGGGGTACTGGTGGGTGGGGGCAGGTGTGGGTGTGCACGGGCTGTACAGTGTGGTTGAGATGCTCTGACGCCCACGCATGGGGAAGGGGGTGGGGGAGGGTGTGGGGGCGGGTGTGGGAGAGGGTGTGGGGGAGGGTGTGGCGCGGGTGTGGGGGAGGACATGGGGGTGAGTCTAATATCTGTACAGCGCCATTGAGATGCTCCGACGCCCACCAAGGTCAGCGGCAAGACAGGTGGGTGAATGGATGGAACTTGTTTTTCAGTAACAGGGTGCAGTGACATACTGTGAGGCGGCTATTTAGGCTCGAAAAAGGAAGAGGCAGCAGCAGTGTACACACCAGCATGTGGCGTCAAGGGTTACAAGAGTTGACTTTTGAGTCGACTCAAAAGTCAAGGGTTACAAGTAAGAATATGAGAATGATAGGGGTGCATCAATCCCACTCAATCTTTACCTCTCTCCCCATCACCCCCTCTCTTCCCGTCACCCCCTCTCTCCCGATCACCCCTTCTCGTCCATGTTTCCTCCCTCAGCTGCCTCCTCGGTCCAGCAAGAAGCACTAGTACCATACAAGCGTCTGGCATTACCACCAGCCCCCGTGCCCCTCTCATCACCACTTTTGAGTCGACTCATAACAGGTCATCCCGGTCCAGCAAGAAGCACTAGTACCATACAAGAGATCCAGCAGTACTGCTGGTACAAGCGGTCTGGCATTACCCTCAGCACCTTTGCCCCTCTCTCATCATCACTACGTGCCCACGGTAGTTGTGCAGGCTTGAGTGAAGTGAACCATTGTTATGGGTAGGATGGAAAGGTACCGTATATGGTTACACATCTTGGGCATTACAGGTTATCCATTTGCACCAACCAACTACTGTTGACTGCTTATAACAGTAAGAGCAAATTGAGGTTTGAGAGTAAGCCCTAATTTTTGTGCGCTGCTGCATTTCTAAGTGGACATTTAGGTTGCCAAGTCCGCTCACTGTTCATCATATAACAAAAGATTTAGAAAGCTTGCTTTCTTGCGTTTGCAATGGCAACGAGCTTCGTTTCAAATGGGCATTACAACATTCTCGTCCTATTTAGATATGGTACATACATTACAAGTTCCAACATGCAATTTTTGCTAGGGTGGGTGGGTGGGAAATAAGACATTTGAAATTTCAAACGAAGACGTGGGTGGAGGCCAAATGGCCTCCACCCCCTGCTATATAGTTGGCGAAGAGCGTAGAGCACTTCGTCGTTGCCATTGCTGCATTACAAGCAGCGTCGCTTTCGAAATATACATTTTTAGAAAGTGTTACACACTTTCAAAAAACTTCATATTTAGAAAGCTTGCTTTCTTGCGTTTGCAATGGCAACGAGCTTCGTTTCATGGGTCTTCTGAGACATGAGACGCGGTCATTCTAACGAGATGGTAAAGGTTGTTTGTGGCTTATGCGATGACATGTCGGTGGAGGTCCAATCACGCACGAAGGAGAGGCTGGCACCGATGTTGATGGTGATGCTGTATTCCCTGCTGTTGCCTTGGATGAAGTGTTGCCCCGAGTGTAGCACAGTAATGTTGATTTATGAGAGTCGGCTGACATGTGAGCTTCGGACACAAACTCACAAGCAGTATAGGAGGACTCTGGTAACGGGCATTGGTGTTTTGTGTGATGATGGATGTGATGCTTGTAGGAGCCCAACCTGTCAAACATTTATATGTTTGTGTGGTTCTAGGCTGTAGTGGGTCACACCATAAGGGGTACACCAGATTAGGGTTTGACATATTTGTACTGTTGTTCCTGCTAGTCACTCCTCATTCTCGTTTCTCATTCTGACATGGTATTACGAGCCTAGGTTCCACCTAGGACCGAAACGATAGGGCCCACCGTTTCCGCTAGCCGCGCCCTCGTGCGCCGCCGTTCTTTTTCCTGCGCCTCGAGCGCCTCCTTCTCAAGGCCCCGTATGGCCCCGCGCTAGCCTCTCACGGCCCCCGATCGGCCCCACGCTAACCTCCTAAGGCCCCCGTCGGCCCCACGCTAGCCCCGCGCTAGCCTCCTAAGGCCCCCGATCGGCCCCGCGCTAGCCTCCTAAGCCCCCGTCGGCCCCACGCTAGCCCCGCGCTAGCCTCCTAAGGCCCCCGATCGGCCCCGCGCTAGCCTCCTAAGGCCCCCATCGGCCCCGCGCTAGCCTCCTAAGCCCCCGTCGGCCCCACGCTAGCCCCGCGCTAGCCTCCTAAGGCCCCCGATCGGCCCCGCGCTAGCCTCCTAAGGCCCCCGTCGGCCCCGCGCTAGCCTACCACGTCCCCTGCAGGCCCCGCGCTAGCCTCTCACGGCCCCCCCCTTTGGCCCCGCGCTAGCCCCGACCGGCCCTCCCGCGCTCGCCCCTCTACGACCGAGCCGCACGGCGCGACCCGAACCGAACCGCGCGACCCAGCCGAGCCGCGCCGCCCCAGCCGAGCCGCGCCGCCCTAGCCGAGTCGCGCCGCCCTAGCCGAGTCGCGCCGCCCTAGCCGAGCCGCGCCGCCCTAGCCGAGCCGCGCCCTACTTACCTGTGCACAGCACTGCTACTGCTACTGCTACTGCTACTGCTACTGCTACTACCACCACTGCTGTTACTGCTACTTCAGCTATGGCTAGCCCTACAGTTCTCTCGTTCGATTCTGAGGGCCGCCCGATTAAGTTTGATACCTGGCTCGATGATCTGCACCTGTTCCTCCAGCTCACTGCCAGAGAGGATATCTCGCTGTACGATCACGCACTAGGCACAGTCCCTGCTCCTGCTACTACTGCTACCGCTACTGCTCGCTCGCAGTGGCAGACTCGCGATGCCCACGCCCGCTTTGCCATTCGCAACTCCCTGCCAGTCGATGAGCGTGAGCACTTCGGCCAACATCAGACTGCGCAGGCCCTGTACACTGCTGTAGTTGCGCGCTACTCCTCCCCGGCCTCAGCTACTGCTGCTGGCGGTGCTGCTGGAGGTGCTGCTGCTGCTGGTGGTGCTGCTGGAGGTGCTGCTAGTACTGAGGACCCGGGCGTTGGAGCTGCTGTGGGTGCTACGGACCCTGGTGCTGGAGGTGCAGCTGCTGCTGGCGGTGCTGCTGGAGGTACTGCTGCTGCTGGCGGTGCTGCTGGAGGTGCTGCTGGAGGTGCTGCGGACCCTGGTGCTGGAGGTGCTGCTGCTTCTGGAGGTGCTGCTGCTGCCGCTGGTGTCTCTGCTGGTTCGAGAGCTGCTGCACGGCCACGACCGTACTTCGTTCCGCTCCTTCAGCAGGTTCTTGGTCAGCCTCCTCCTCTTTGTTCTCCTCTCGCCTTAGAGTGTCCGCCGTCTGTCCAGTCACAACCACAGTTACCGCCTGCCTCCCCACTCCCTGTGCCTGCTCCTTACACTGGTCCGACTGACGGTCTTGCTGAGAGACGTGAGCCTGCGTCACGTCCTGTGTCACCTGCGTCTCGTCGAGCGTCGCCTGTTCGAGCTGCTACCACTGGTAGTCGTGTCCCACGTGAGCGTCCTCCTGCTGTCCCAGGCACGCACCGGATGGCGCTTCGTCAGTCCACTGCTCCGCAGCGTGTTGCTCTCCCGTCGCCTCCTGCGTCCTCTCTTCCTGCTCTTGCTGACCCGGAGTCAGACTCCCTTCGTGCTACCAGTCCTACTGTCACACCTCTCCTGGCTACGGTTGTCAGTGACCCTTCCTTTGAGTCCGCTGCTGCGTCTGCCCTAGTCACTGAGCTTGTCGACTTTGCAGCTGCGTGTCGTCTAGACTACGCAGCGAGTCTTGTTGCTGAGTCTGAGTCTGCCTGTCCTCCGTCCGTCGGGGGTGAGTGTGCTCTTGGCACGGACGTCCTTGAGGACAGGCAGGAGGAGTTTGGTTGCCTTGCCGCTGCTTTGCCCCATCTCGTGTCCATGCTTGTTGCCCCTGAGGGAGACCCGGATGCACCAGACATCCCGACCCCACGCTCTTACGCAGAGGCGATGGCCGGTCCCTACTCCTCTCAGTGGCAGTCAGCCATGGACACAGAGATGGCTTCCTGGAAGTCCACAGGCACCTACGTCGACGACGTTCCCCCACCTGGGGCGAACATCGTCAGTGGCATGTGGATTTTCAGGGTGAAGCGGCCGCCAGGCTCTCCGCCTGTCTTCAAGGCGCGTTACGTTGCACGAGGCTTCAGTCAGCGAGAGGGAGTTGACTTCTTCCAGACCTTCTCCCCGACCCCGAAGATGACCACTCTTCGGGTTCTGCTACACGTCGCCGCTCAGCGTGACTACGAGCTGCACTCTCTTGACTTCAGCACAGCTTTCTAGCAGGGCAGCCTGCACGAGGAGATCTGGCTGCGCCGCCCACCTGGCTTCACTGGGTCGTTCCCTCCTGGCACCCAGTGGAGCCTCCGGCGGCCAGTCTACGGTCTCCGCCAGGCGCCGCGTGAGTGGCACGACACACTGAGGACTACACTTGCGGCTCTTGGGTTTGCTCCTTCTACTGCTGACCCGTCGCTGTTTCTGCGCACCGACACCTCGCTGCCGCCATTCTACATCCTCGTGTATGTCGACGACTTGGTCTTTGCCACTGCGGACACTGCCGCACTCGCCCACGTGAAGTCCGAGCTGCAGAAGAGACACACGTGCACAGACCTGGGTGAACTGACAAGCTATCTTGGCTTGCGGATCACCCGGGACAGAGCACGCCGCACCATTACCCTGACTCAGTCACACATGGTGCAGCAGGTCCTTCAGCGCTTCGGCTTCACGTACTCCTCGCCTCAGTCCACTCCTCTGCCTACGGGTCACTCGCTCTCAGCTCTGCCTTCGGATGAGTCCGTAGAGTCGAGTGGTCCGTATCCAGAGCTTGTGGGCTGCCTCATGTACCTGATGACCTGCACTCGACCTGACCTAGCATACCCTCTCAGCATCTTAGCACGCTATGTTGCTCCCGGCCGTCACCGGAAGGAGCACATGGATGCAGCTAAGAGGGTGTTGCGCTACTTGTGCAGTACGTCGGGCATGGGGCTAGTGCTTGGAGGGCGAGACCGGCCTGTTCTCACTGGGCACTCAGACGCTTCTTGGGCAGACGACCAGGCTACTCAGCGGTCGTCTCAGGGTTACACCTTCAGTCTTGGCTCTGGCTCTGTCTCTTGGCGTTCTACTCGTTCTTCTTCTGTTCTCAGCTCCAGCTGTGAGGCTGAGATCTACGCCACGGCCATGGCTGCCCAGGAGCTTCGCTGGCTCACCTACCTGCTGACTGACCTTGGAGAGCGGCCTCGTTCTCCTCCAGTGCTGTACGTCGACAACAAGGCAACCATTGCCTTGTGCCAGGAGCACAGACTGGAGCACAGGACGAAGCACATTGCTCTGCGTTACTTTCTAGCTCGAGAGCTACAGCAGCGTGGTCAGCTTCTTCTGCGTTACGTGGCCACTGAGGCCAACACTGCTGATGTGTTCACCAAGGCGCTTCCGCCTGTTGACCATCAGCGTTTTTGCACTCTTCTAGGCCTTGTGCCGACTGTTTCTCACTTACTTACTTCTTGAATTTACTTGTACTGTGATCATTATATATATACCTGCATGTTTGCCTTGTTAGGTTGTGATCATTGTACCTCTTGCTCTATTATTAAACTGCATGTGAACTGGTCTTGTGACCGCTTGCTTGTGCTCGGAATTTGTGTGGAATCCTCGAGATCCACGCTGAGCTTGTTTGCCTTGTTTTGCCTTGACTGGTCTTGTGACCCCTAGGTCTCCCCCACTTTGCCTATGGGGGTGTGTCAAACATTTATATGTTTGTGTGGTTCTAGGCTGTAGTGGGTCACACCATAAGGGGTACACCAGATTAGGGTTTGACATATTTGTACTGTTGTTCCTGCTAGTCACTCCTCATTCTCGTTTCTCATTCTGACACAACCCTTGTAGCAGTCACAACCGTGCTCGCATTACGAAGAGTGCATGCATCTGTATCCGGATACTGTAAATCTGCCGGCGTTTGAGCCCTTTGTATGTGTGTGCTTTTTTTTTTTTTTTTGGGTTGCGAAGCAACCTATTACGATCGTTATGTACAATTTTTTTTTCCAATCCTCAATATTTTATATAAAGGATGGAAAAAATAAAGTGAACGGTACCGTACTAGCTAAGTGACTGACTGCTATGTATCTGCCGCGTCAATTTACCATGTGCTGAACCACATTCCTTCTCATTTCCTAGTTTACTTTGACTGAACTTATATTTCATGAGTTGCCCAAATGATGAACTATGAACGCGTAACTGTTTATTCCGTGATGCATATGTCTGATGTTGTTATAAGTAGATGAAGTAAATGCAAATGCATAAGTATAATGCATATACTACCGGTAATGAAATAAATGCACAGCATGATGGAAGTGCGTAACAGTTAATTAACGCAGACCCTATGCTACCGCATCTCCTGCCTAGCATGGGGGGGAGCTCAATAGCATAATTTCTGAATCATCCAACTGTTACATGAAACAACACAATCTATGTGATATAAAAAGCGGGTCAATTCCATCAAATCCAGTTCGAATGGACACACTCACTGAGTGCCCAAAGAACCTTCTCGGAAATGACAGTTTGATCCCAATTTTTAAACCCCACAGACATGTGTTATTAATGCAATAGAAACATGAATGAAAACGCATACGCACACAACACAACGCATACACATGATCATACACATTCACACATACACGCACACACGAAGCCAAATAACAAAGCATATTAACCGCAGATGAAATAGAAACCTAAATCACCAAGACATTATGTATCCTATACTGTAAGTCACAAGCAATATCAGTCTACTTCTCATATTGAGCTTGACTGCCTGGAAAGTAAGACAAAGCTGGGTTGAGGAAGGGAAGGCAAATGGGAAATAACAAGGCATAATGAAATTACGAGAAAAAGGAATAATGAAGAAACAAATGAAACAATACAAGGGCCAAGAAAAACGCCATGAGCATTGAAGGGTTATAGCTGACAAATAACAAGGAGAAAATGTACTAAGGCATAAAACGAAAGTAAAGAACGAGAACAAAGGGAAAAACACATAACGAGACAGTAAACGAACGAAAATAATATAACAAATACGTTGAGCGAGAACAACGGAGACCGAGAGCGAGAGCGAGCGAGAGAGAGAGAGAGAGGACGAGAGAGAGAGGACAAGAGAGCGAGAACGAGAGAGTGGACGAACGAGAGATTTGACAAAAGAGAACGAGAGAACGACAGAGAAGGAACGAGAGAGAGAGAGAGAGAGAGAGAGAGAGAGAGAGAGAGAGAGAGAGAGAGAGAGAGAGAGAGAGAGAGAGAGAGAGAGAGAGAGAGAGAATGAGAGAGAACGAGAGAGAGGGAACGAGAGAGAGAGAGAGAGAGAGAGAGAGAGAGAGAGAGAGAGAGAGAGAGAGAGAGAGAGAGAGAGAGAGAACGAGAGAGAGATCGAGAGAGAGAGGACGAGAGAGGGAGAACGATAGAGAGAGAGAGAGAGAGAGATCGAGAGAGAAAGAAAACGAGAGAGAACGAGAGAGAGAGAGAGAACGATAGAGAGAAAACGAGAAACGAGAGGGAGAGAACGAGAGAGGGAACGAGCGAGAGAGAACGAGGGTGAACGATCGAGAGCGAGAGCGAGAGTACGAGAGTGAAATAACGAGAGAGAGAGAGAGAGAGAAGAGAGAGAGAACGAGAAAACGAGGGAGAACGAGAGAACGAGAGAAAGAGAGAACAAGAGAAGAGAGAGAGAGAACGCGAGAGAGAGAGAGAGAGAGAGAGAGAGAGAGAGAGAGAGAGAGAGAGAGAGAGAGAGAGAGAGAGAGAGAGAGAGAGAGAGAGAGAGAGAGAGAGAGAGAGAGAGAGAAAACGGGAGAGAAAGAACGAGGGAGAACGAACGAGAGAACGAGAAAGAACTAGACAACGAGAGAACGAGAAAGAGAACGAGAAAGAGAACGAGAAAGAGAATGCTCCAACCTAATAATTTAACTCTCTGAACATAATTGTCAATAATCATGTCAAATTTCAATTAAGGAAGAGGAATAAATCAAGAAACAGCGTACGGAAGAAGACAAAAGTAAGAGCAAGAGCTGAAAAGAGCAAGCAAGTAGAATGTAAATCGAAATAAAGGAGAGAAGAAGATGGGAAGAAGTGGAGAGAAGGAGAGGGAAGGAGAGAACAAAAGTACGGTGCATAACCTAGGAAGAAAGCGAGGTTAAGAAACAAAATACGTCTAGATCTCGTTTAAAAAAAAAAAAAAACAACTCTCAACCAAATGAGCTAAACTAGAACCCACTCTCAACTAGAATGAACTTAAGAATAGAGAGAATGAGGCTTACCTTAACTAGGAGTTATAGTCTGAGTGGTGTGAGTGGCGTGAGTGGCGTGAGTGGCGTGAGGGACGGGGAGAAGCTAGAGTAGTCTGACTAGGTGGAAGAGAAACGGAGGAAAAAGACATTTGACGAAACCCTAGAATGGGACGTTTTTATTGCAAATAAGCTCAATATGATTTTACGCTTCTTCAAACATGGATTGTATAGCACAGCTCTGTCGACGTCGACGTTATCGCAAAGTTCGGAAGTTCGAATCTAGTCATGGTCAAAGATATGGTTAAATAAAGCTTTTCCTTTCTGTAGTTTTTTTTGTTTCAGTTTTTCAGTCACCCTAAAACCAAATCATATGAACACAACAAGAATAACTTACCCTAAACAACCACACCCATCTGTTATGTACACCCTTTCATTTGTATACTCCCATATTATATGAAACACATATCTATGAATAGCAATGATTCAGCAAATATCAAAGTCATGTTACGATATTATATAATTCTCACTATAGATCAGATGTATCTAAAAATAACAGTGTAATGTTGCTTCGCAACCCTAAGACGATTTCGTCGCCTCTTGTTTTTGGATCTGCTAGACTTGAGCACCATTTCAAACTCATCACAACATTGTTCAATCAACCAACTCGAGTGTGACCACATCCGGACCGTACAATTGAAGGCTTTCAAAGCCTAAGGTGTGTGAGAAGTGTAACTAAATTGCACAACCATGAATCTACCCTACAAATGGCCCACAAGCCAAAAAGGGACCCACCGGTCCTCCTCCCCCCTGGGGAGCTCGCTGGCCAGCACCGCACAGGGCCCACCGGTCCTCCTCCCCCCTGGGGAGCTCGCTGGCCAGCAACACACAGGACCCACCGGTCCTCCTCCCCCCTGGGAAGCTCGCTGGCCAGCACCGCACAGGACCCACCGGTCCTCCTCCCCCCTGGGGAGCTCGCTGGCCAGCACCGCACAAGACCCACCGGTCCTCCTCCCCACTGGGGATCTCGCTGGCCAGCACCGCACAGGACCCACCGGTCCTCCTCCCCCGGTGGGTCCTCCTCCCCCCTGGGGAGCTCGCTGGCCAGCACCGCACAGGACCCACCGGTCCTCCTCCCCCCTGGGGAGCTCGCTGGCCAGCACCGCACAGGACCCACCGGTCCTCCTCCCCCCTGGGGAGCTCGCTGGCCAGCACCGCACAGGACCCACCGGTCCTCCTCCCCCCTGGGGAGCTCGCTGGCCAGCACCGCACAGGACCCACCGGTCCTCCTCCCCACTGGGGATCTCGCTGGCCAGCACCGCATAGGACCCACAGGTCCTCCTCCCCCCTGGGGAGCTCGCTGGCCAGCACCGCACAGGACCCACCGGTCCTCCTCCCCCCTGGGGAGCTCGCTGGCCAGCACCGCACAGGACCCACCGGTCCTTCTCCCCCCTGGGGAGCTCGCTGGCCAGCACCGCACAGGACCCACCGGTCCTCCTCCCCCCTGGGGAGCTCGCTGGCCAGCACCGCACAGGACCCACCGGTCCTCCTCCCCCCTGGGGAGCTCGCTGGCCAGCACCGCACAGGACCCACCGGTCCTCCTCCCCCCTGGGGAGCTCGCTGGCCAGCACCGCACGGGAGCGCATGGGGTTGTGCCAATTGTTTGCCGCAGTCTTTCTTCGCCGATGGTCTCTCATGGCGACCCAAAGCTATGGTAGTTGCCTCGCACCGATTTACTGCGATCAGAGGTAATAAATAACACGAGAGAAAAACGAAGACAAACAAAAATCGAAGATACGTACGAAGAAAAGGTGGAAACATATGCAAGGTAATAAGTTATCCGCTGACAATGTCAGCAGCAGGAGAGCATATGTCATGCCAGTTTGTCTCTGGAGATTTCGCCAACCTGCTGGTGCCGACTGCCGCTGGACGAGCCCCTGGTTATTGCACGCCACTGGCGATGTCGTAGCCACGTGCGCCAGTGGCGATTTTGACCATTTCGGCACCATGAGCGCCACTGGCGCCACTTGCGCCGCTGGCGATTTTTACGCCACGTGCGCCACTGGCGATTTCGCCACGCGCGCCTATGGCGTTTTCGTCGCCACGCGCGCCTGTGGCGTTTTCGTCGCCACACGCGCCTGTGGCGATTTCGTCGCCACGAGCACCTGTGGCGATTGCTTCGCCACGCGCGCCTGTGGCGGTTTCGTCGCCACGCGCGCCTGTGGCGATTTCGTCGCCACGCGCGCTTGTGGCGATTTCGTCGCCACGTGCGCCAGTGGCGTTGTCGCTTTATTAGCCCCAACAAGCGCGCCTATTGTGCGGACGAGTGCCTATTTCTGAAACACGTTGTGCCATGTCAATTGAGTTGATGCCTACTATTTTATGAGAGAAGTGAGAAACTGAGGAAAACGGGAAGCGCCAAGTCGTCGGACGAGAATGAAATAAGACATTTGAAATTTCAAACGAAGACGTGGGTGGAGGCCAAATGGCCTCCACCCCCTGCTATATAGTTGGCGAAGAGCGTAGAGCACTTCGCCGTTGCCATTGCTGCATTACAAGCAGCGTCGCTTTCGAAATATACATTTTTAGAAAGTGTGTAACACTTTCAAAAAACTTCATGTTTAGGGTACGGTATGTTCTGGGCTCTGGGCAAATTTCTGGTCAACGATGCTTCTCAACCTAGGAATATGTCAAATGTTGTAGCCTGTAGTGAGGTTTGTCTTAGGGGGTACAGAAGTTAGGGTTTGTTATATGTACCCCAACCAACATCAATGGAACCATTCATTCCTCATTTTGACATGGTATCAGCTAGGTTAGGATCCTGTGGGATCCCGTTCCTCCGTTCTCCGTTCGTACCTCCCGAGCCTGATCCTACCTCTCGTTCGTACCAGTTCCGTTGTTACCGCGCCTAGTACCGAGCCTAGCGCCCTTTCCCCCGTCGCTTAGCGCCCTTTCTCCCCGTCGCCTCGCGCCCTTTCCCCTCCCCCCCGTCGCGTCGCGCCCTTTCCCCCCGTCGCGTCACGCCCTTTCCCCCCCGTCGCGTCGCGCCCGTTCCCCCCGTCGCGTCGTGCCCGCCTGTTCCCCCCCCGTCCCGTCGCCCTGTCCCGTCGCGTCACCCTACCCCGTCGCGTCGCCCTGCCCCGTCCCGTCGCTCTGCCCCGTCGCGTCGCCCTGCCCCGTCGCGTCGCCCTGTGCTGTCGCGTCGCCCTGCCCCGTCGCGTCGCTCCCGCCCTTTCCCCCGTCGCGTCGCCCTGCCCTACGCCCTGGCCCGTCGCCCTACCCTAGGCCCTGGCCCGTCGCCCTACCCTAGGCCCTGGCCCGTCGCCCTCCCTAAGCCCTGGCCCGTCGCCCTACCCTAAGCCCTGGCCAGTCGCCCTACCCTAGGCCCTGGCCCGTCGCCCTACCCTAGGCTCTGGCCCGTTGCCCTCCCTACGTCCTGGCCCGTCGCCCTAACCCGCTCTTCCGCTGCAACTGAGTCCTATTCCCCCCCGGTTCTTACTCGCCTGTTCGTTCGCTTTAGTTCTCACTATGGCGACTCCGCGAGTTCTTCGTTTCAACGCTGACGGTAGACCCCTTGACTTTTCCGTCTGGCTTCTTCGCGCTCGCCGTCTGTTAGAGAGTCAGGTCCAGGGGGGCAAGACCCTCTGGTCACACGCTACTGGTGACCTCCCCGAGCCCCCCGAGCCTACAGCTTTAGGCCCTGCTCCTGACGACGCTGCTACGGCTCGCTTTGCCCGTCAGCGCGCTGACCGGACGGCTTGGACGTCGCGTGACGCTGCGGCCTGCATCGCACTCAGCAGCCTCCTCCCTGAGTCTGAGGAGGTCCACTTTACTCAGGTTCGCACCGCTGCTGCGTACCTCACTGCGATTAAGGCCCGCTACTCTACTCCCGCTACTGTCTCTCTTGGCCGTCTTTTCCTCCCGTTCCTGTTTCCTGATCTTGCCTCGTTTGAGCGCTCTGCTGACTTGATCGCTCACCTCCGCTCGCTCGACGCTAGTTACCGCGCTGCTTGCACTGAGGCACAGCTTGCACTGCTTCCTCCCCCCATGGCGATCACTGTCTATTTCATCGCCACTAGCCTCCCTGACCGCCTTGCCTCCGTTCGTGACGCGCTTCTGCTGAAGCACCCTAGTGAGCTGACTATCGAGGTCCTTGAGTCTGCACTCAAGGACGTCGAGAGCAACCTTCGTTCGGTAGCTGCCGCCTCTGGTACTGTGTCCCCCCCACTCTTCCACGGGTGCACAGTCCCGCAGTTACCTACCTTCACTGCCTCTCTTGCCACTGCCGCTACTGACGCGACTGCGGCTGCTGTTACGACTGCGTCGCGATCCCGCGGCAGGGGGGGCAAGAAAGGTGGTTCTGGTGGAGGTGGAGGCGGAGGTAGCGGAGGTAGTGGGGGTGCTGTTGCGACTGGGGGTGGTGGGAGTGCAGCGTCTGGAGAGACCCCTCGTGCAGCGGCTGGTGACTCCACTGCACCTGCTGGTGGCGGCGACCCCCGAGCTCGTCAGTCGCCTCCTGTACTGCCGGCCCCGCTAGGTGGAGCAGCGGCGTGGTACCAGGCTCAGCGTCAGCAGCACCTTCAGCAGCAGCAGCAGCCCCTTTCCTCCCATCAGCCTCAGCAGCAGCAGCGTCAGCCGCTGGCTCCGGGGTCGGGGCTGCGTCAGCCCCAGCGCGGTGCGGCTTACCCTCCCTGCCCCTACCAGGTTCAGACAGGTCCTCGTCGGGGCCACCCTTGTGGCCGCTTTCACCCCCCTGGTCAGTGCTTTGCTCAGCTCACTGACACGGTCCGGTTGACCTACGGGGTTGGCGGTCCTGCTCCTGACTGGCTTCCTCTGGTTCAGCGCTACGGCTCCGCTCTGTGGGGCATGTCTGCTGAGCAGCTAGTTGATCTGATTAGTGCTCCTCATGCTATGTATGCTGTTGTTGACTCTAGTGTTTCTGACTCTGTTTACTCTGGTGTTGTTAGCTTAGGTGCTAGTCTTGCTCAGTTGCCTGTTGCTAGTGTAGGTACTTGTGTAGACTCTAGACCAGCGACTACCTCATACGACGCTTCGCTGTCGTTCACACTGGACTCTGGAGCCTCCCACTGCTTCTTTCGGGACAGCACGACACTTACACCACTTCCTGCGCCTGTTTCTGTAGCGTTGGCTGTTCCAGTCACTGCACGTCACACTACCACTTTACCGTGTCCTGCTGCTCCCTCCGGGTCTCTCACTGGGTTTCACGTCCCCTCGTTCTCCCGGAACTTGGTGGGCGTGCGACCCCTCGTGAGTCAGCACGTGGGTGTGTGGTTTGAGCCTTCTGGAGAGACTGCGGTGTGTGTTGACGGAGACTCTTACCAGCCTCTTGCTACCTTTACTGCTGAGCCGGGCTCGGGTCTCTACACTCTTCACACTGGCCCGCGTGCGCCGCACCAGCAGCAGCCGCAGCCGCAGCAGCAGCAGCAGCAGCAGCACCAGCACCAGCGGCCGCACCAGCAGCCCCACCTACTGCCACTGCCCCCGGTTCCCCCCCCCGTTCGGGTCCCCGCGTCTCACCAGGTTGCTTCGTCCCCCCAGGTGTCTGTGTCGTGTCAGGTTCCTACGTCTGTTCCAGTCGCTGCGTCGTGCTCCTGCCGGTCGCTTGCCCACCCCACCGTTCTGTGGCACCACCGGATGGGGCACCCGTCCCTTCCACGTCTGCGCGCTATGTCTAGTCAGCGTCTTGTCCTAGGCCTCCCACGTGTCTTGCCGTCGCTGCCGCCTTCGCCTGCGCCGCCGTGTCGTCCCTGCGTCGAGGGTAGGCTGCGCGCCACCCCTCACTCCTCCTCCCTTCGTCCGGCCACCGAGCCTTTTGAGACGCTTCACTTGGACGTCTGGGGCCCAGCCCCTCGTCTAGGCCCTGAGCGTGAGCGTTACTTTCTGGTGGTCGTTGACGACTTCTCCCGCTACACCACAGTGTTCCCTCTGGCGAAGAAGTCTGAGGTGACTTCTACGCTGATCAGGTGGTTGCTCACCACCGAGGACACTCGTGGTCGTCGTGTCAGCTGTCTCCACTCCGACCGTGGGGGTGAGTTTCGCTCCGGCATTCTCGCTGGATTCTGTCGCGAGCAGGGCATTCGTCAGTCCTGGACGCTTCCAGAGTCCCCACAGCAGAATGGGGTTGCTGAGCGCCGCATAGGCCTGGTCATGGAGATCGCCCGCACCTCCCTGACTCACGCCTGTGCCCCCCATTTTCTGTGGCCCTACGCGGTCAGGTACGCCGCGCACCAGCTGAACCTCTGGCCACGTGTCTCTCGACCAGAGGTTTCACCGACCAGTCTTTGGACAGGGTCCCCTGGTGTTGCGTCGCGGTTTCGTGTCTGGGGGTGCTTGGCTCTTGTCCGCGACACCTCCGCGGACAAGCTCTCGCCTCGTGCCGTCCCCTGTGTCTTCCTTGGTTTCCCTGAGGACTCCTCTGACTTCACCTTTTACCACCCTCCCTCTCACCGGTTCTTTGACTCCCGTGACGTCCGTTTCGAGGAGTCCACTTCGTACTACGTCAGGTACCCCAGTCGAGGTCTCCCGGTTCCTCCTCCCCCCCTCTTCCTGACTGCCGCTCCCCCTCCTGCTCCCCCGGTACAGCCTCCCCCCCCTGGCCCAGCCCCGTCAGGTGTGTCCCAGGCTACCCCTCCTCCTTCGGTAGCCCCTCCGGTACAGCCTCCCTCCCCACAGTCCTCCTCGCAGCGTGCCGCTGGTGCTAGCTCTCGAGAGGTTGGTGCTGCGCCTGTTCCTGTACCGGTTTCTGGTTCTGGGGGTGCTGGTGTTGGAGCTGTAGGTGGAGCTGGTGTTGGAGCAGGAGGTGGAGCTGGAGGGGGCACTGGAGTTTCTGGTTCTGGGGGTGCTGGAGTTGGAGCTGGAGTTTCTGGTTCTGGAGTTGGAGCTGACCCGGTGGGTGCAGAGGACTCTTGTCGTCCGGGAGCTGGTGCTGGCAGCGCGGACACTGGGGGTGCTCCCTCTGGGGGTGAGGATGCGCCTCCTTCGGGTTCTGGTGAGCCTGGGTCTGGAGCTGGTGTTAGTGCTGCCTCTGGGGGTGGTGCGCCTGGTTCTTCGGGGGTTGACTCTGGAGCTGCCGCTGCTTCGGACACTACTCCGCCCCCCCACCCCTACCCGACTAGGCACCAGGCTCGTGTTCGCCGTGCCCGTGACGAGCAGCTGGAGTTGGAGAGAGAGGAGAGGGAGTTACAGCGGCTGGCGGAGCAGCAGCAGCAGCTGGACCCGCAGGAGCAGCAGTCCCAGCAGCAGCCGCGTCCGCAGCAGCAGCAGTCGCAGCAGCAGCAGCAGCAGCAGCCACTTCCTCCTCCTGTCTCGGGTCTTCGGGCCCTTGGTCTCCCCTCCCCTTCTCCTCCCTCCTCCGCCTCTCCTCCTGTCTACGGTCCCACGTTTCCTCCGCCTGACTCCTCCCCCGCTGTTTTCTCCAGTTCTCCGCCTTTGTCCTCTCCTCCTCCGTCTCGTTCTTGGGCTACTCGTCGCTCCCCTCGTGCTCGTCCCTCGTCTCCTGTTCCCTTCACTGACCTTCGTACTGCCTTACTTTGTTCTAGTCCACCTCGTCCGTCTCAGTCTGTGCTTCCGTCTCCTCCTGAGTCGGCCCTCACCGTGTCGCTCCCTGCTCCCGTCACTGACTACTACCGCACGTACCGTCCTGTTCTCTCTCGTGTTCTCGCCTCTCTTGTTACTCACCCTCGTGCCTCTGTGTCCTCTGTGTCCGCTCTTACTGCCGCAGTTACTGACTTTGCCTCTACCCGTCGCCTTGACTACGCCACCACGCTTGTGGCTGCTCCTCCTACCAGTCCTCTGGCCGTCGGGGGTGTGTCTGCCCTTGGCTGTGACGCCCTAGAGGACAGGCAGTTTGAGCTAGAGTTCCTGGCGGCCGCTTCCCCTCATCTCTGTGCCATGCTCCTCGCCCCTGAGGGTGACCCCGACGCCCTTGACATTCCGACTCCTCGCACTTACGCTGAGGCAGTGTCAGGGCCTTGGGCCTCTCAGTGGAGAGCTGCCATGGACGCAGAGATGGCCTCCTACAGATCCACAGGCACCTACGTCGATGAGGTTCCCCCCCCTGGGGCGAACGTAGTCGACGGCATGTGGATCTACAGGGTGAAGCGGCCACCGGGATCTCCCCCGGTCTTCAAGGCGCGCTACGTGGCTAGAGGTTTCAGTCAGCGCGAGGGAGTTGACTTCTTTCAGACCTTCGCACCTACCCCGAAGATGACCACTCTTCGGGTGTTACTACACGTAGCAGCACAGAGAGACTACGAGTTACACTCTCTCGACTTCTCCACTGCTTTCCTTCAGGGCAGCCTACACGAGGAGGTCTGGTTGCGTCGTCCCTCGGCCTTCACTGGCACCTTCCCTCCTGGGACCCAGTGGAGGCTGAGGCGACCTGTTTACGGTCTTCGCCAGGCCCCTCGTGAGTGGCACGACACTCTGCGTTCTACCCTCTCTGACCTTGGGTTCCAGCCGTCTTCTGCCGACCCGTCGCTGTTCGTTCGTCGTGGCTCCACACCGTTCTTTGTCCTGGTCTACGTCGACGACCTCGTTTTCGCCACTCCGGACAGGGTTGCTTTGGCAGACGTGAAGTCCGAACTGCAGAAGAGACATACGTGCACTGATCTTGGTGAGCTGCGCCACTACCTTGGCCTGCAGATCACCAGGGACAGAGCCGCTCGCACCATTACACTCTCACAGTCACACATGGTCCAGCAGGTCCTTCAGCGGTTCGGGCTTCAGCACTCCACCGTACAGCGCACACCTCTCGCTGTTGACCACAGACTCACTGGTCCCTTTCCTGACGAGCCGTTTGAGCCTAGTGGTCCCTACGCAGAGCTTGTGGGTTGCCTCATGTACCTGATGACTTGTACTCGCCCGGACCTCGCCTTCCCTCTCAGCATCCTTGCGCGCTTTGTTGCGCCAGGGAGACACCGTCCTGTTCACTGGACGGCAGCTGTGAGGGTGGCGAAGTACCTAGCGACTACATCAGGCGTGGGGCTAGTTCTTGGAGGGCAGCAGTCTGTCGTACTCACTGGTCACTGTGACTCCTCTTACGCTGACGACGCTGAGACTCACAGGTCTACTCAGGGGTACTGTTTCAGTCTGGGTTCTGGAGCTGTTTCCTGGCGTTCCACGCGCTCCTCTTCTGTCTCGACCTCTACAGCTGAGGCTGAGATTTACGCTGGTGCCATGGCGGCACAGGAGTTGCGGTGGTTGACCTTCTTGCTCGCCGACCTTGGTGAGCGGCCGAGCTCTGCACCGACCTTGTTTACTGACAACAAGGCGTCGATCCTCCTCTGTCGTGAGCCGCGACTGGAGAGCAGAGTGAAGCACATTCACGTCAGGTACTTTCTTCTGCGAGAGTTGCAGAGACGTGGACAGGCTCGCTTCGAGTTCGTGGAGTCCGAGGCCAACACTGCAGACATCTTCACCAAGGCGCTTCCGCCTTGTGACCACCAGAGGTGTTGTGTGCAGTTAGGCCTTGTTGACTCAGGTTCTAGTCATGTGTAGACTTGAGTTTATTGCCTGCTTCGTCTGTACACTTGCTATATATACTTGTGATCTCTTGGACTGGCCTTGTGGCCACTGTTGCTTGTGCTCAGAGTGTGTGGTGACGTTGTGATCCACCCTGAGCTTTGTTTTCTTTTGGACTGGTCTTGTGACCATACTCTTTTTGATTTTGCTAGACACCCCTCACTTAGGCTATGGGGGTGTGTCAAATGTTGTAGCCTGTAGTGAGGTTTGTCTTAGGGGGTACAGAAGTTAGGGTTTGTTATATGTACCCCAACCAACATCAATGGAACCATTCATTCCTCATTTTGACAGAATACCGTACCACATTCGGTGAGAAATAGATGTGTTTTCGGATCACGGGCACGATATATGATTTGGTTGACCATAAGTTTGCCAGAGGCCCAGAACGTATCCTTAGAGCATGTTCCTACGGCCCCTTATCAGGCGAACCTCTTGTCAGATTCGCGTCGCGACGCAGTGGAACACATGTAATAACATTCGATCACACTGAAACGCATGGAACCGTATAAGTATGACAAGATGTCGGCTGATAAGGAGCCGTAGGAACACGCCCTTTCCAAGCCTGTTGTTTCCCAGCTTTACATGCCAGTTTCATTTTCAGAGTATATTAGAAAGCAAATCTCCGAAGAATCATAATCAGTGGGACAATGTTATATACAATCACCTAACAGGACAAATAACATAACACTTCTCAAGTCTTACTCAGCAGCACCTAACTCCCTCAAGTCTTGTCTCGAAGCGAACTTCCCCCACTCCCTCCCCACCACATACAATATCGTAATCCCCTTGACTTGCTCACGCCTTCCCCTGCTCCGTACTGGGCTGAACTGCCAATGATATCCCTCTCCACCACAGAAGGGTTTCGGGAAGGTACATTCGGAGTAATCAAGAGACACAAGAACGCCTGACAGCAGAAAGGGAGTGAGCAACAACAACACCAACCGGCTCTGCCAACCAAATCCACCTTTCTCTCTCTCTCTTCCCATCCACTCACCATCACCCATCCACCCACCCACCCTCCCCGCTAAAAGAACCTCTCGCGAGCACAGTCCACCATGCCCATTAGCAACCGCATCGCATCCCAAGCATCTCCAGGTCCCTCTTGGCGCTTCTCCAATGCTCCTCCCATCCACCCATCTGTCAATCCTTCCCCTCTCCCTCTAAAACAACCTCTCCAGGACATACTCCACCATGCCCAGTAGCGACCGCTTCGCATCCCCTTCTGGAAGAATTTCCAGGGACCTCTTCGCACTCCTCCCATGCTCTTCTGCCATAGCCCTAGCCTTGTCAACCCCCCCACTCGCCAGCACCAGCTCAACTGCCTGCTCTAGAGACCCCTCCTCCACGAATTCGCTGTCTACCAGTTCCCGAAGCTGGGGCCCGATGGTGGGGTGGCGCAGGGCGAAGAGCGCCGGAGCTGTGAGGTTCCCCGAGGCTAGGTCCGAACCTGCAGGTTTGCCCAGCTGCTCGGTTGTCTGGGTGAAGTCCAGGATGTCATCTACGACCTGAGAAATGAAGGGCCGGGGGGAAGGAAGGGCGAATTTTAGAGATAGCTCAGAAGTTCCACAGCTGCTCGTCTTCTGGGTAAAATGCAGAATTTCGTCTACCACCTGCGTGGAGGAGGAGGGAGGGGGGGGGGGGGGGGGGCGGGAGTGGAGGGATGGGGGAGGGGAGAGATTCGAGAAAGAGGGGTTGTGAGGATGGAAAGAGGAATTTGGTGGTGTCGGGTATAGAAAATGTTGCTGTCTTGGTGGCGTTACTGGGAGAGTGAGATAATGATATTGGTCTGGCTGCTTGGCCATGTGCGTGCATGCATAGTTATGGCACATGGTTCACCGTTTGTGCAGCTTGGAAGTCATGTAGATGGAGGGGGGGCGGGGGTGGAGCAACGAATGGAAGTGAGGTGGCGAGGAAAGGAAGGTGACTGGGGAGAGGAGGCTCGAGAGAAGGACGGTGAAGGGACAGAAGCAGCACACACGCACCTCGAACGACAGCCTGAGGTGCTTGCCATGGTCGAACATGGCGCTGCAGGCTTCAGGCAGACATCCACCAAAGATAGCCGCAGAGCATATTCTTAGTGGACGCAGAAGTCACACCAGCAACAGCAGCAGCACCACCACCACCACCACCAACAACACATCTCTCACCTGGAAGGACAGCCCGAGATGCTTGCCATAGTCAAACATGGCGCTGCAGGCTTCAGGCGGGCACCCGCTGAAGATGGCAGCGGACTTGGTGCTGGCGGCGATGAGCGAGGCGGTCTTGAAGAAGCTCTTCTCCGTGTACTGCTCAAACGTCAGCTCCGCGTCAAACAGCGATGCCGCCTGCTGGATCTCCCCGTTGGCGAAGTCAGCAATGACCTGGGGAGGGGAGGGAGTGGAGTGGAGGGACGAGTGAGAGAGGTGGGGGACACTGAGCGTAAGAAGGGAACCCGCACCCATACCAGCGCGATTCGGCCAGGGGCGGAACTGGCGTCGCCCTGAGTGGGGTGGGGACAGGCGGAGAGCAGGAGGCGGTCCCTAAGAAGCTCTTCTTCGTATACTGCTCGAACGTTAGCTCCGCGTCAAACAGACCCGCCGCTTGCTGGATCTCCCCGTTCGCGAAGACAGCAATGACCTGGGGAGGGGGAGATGGGAGGGGAAAAAGCGAGAGAGGCCGGGGGGAAATGAGCGGAGGAGGAAAGACACATCTGCAGCTGCTGGATCTCCCCGTTCACAAATGTCAGAGATGACGTGGGGCTGGACGAATGCAGCGGAGGACGCTGGAGGTGGGTCGGGAGAAACTTAGCGGAAGAGAGAGAGAGCCCATTACATGCCTGCTAGATCCAGCCAGGGACGGAGCGGATCCGGCGTTGCTCGGAGTGGGGTGGGTAAGGGCGGTGAGTACGTGGGAAGGAAGCCCCACCCTTGTACACTACTTGCACTAACATTCTCCGTTCTATCCTATAACCATCTGTTGACCGGGATTCTGTCCTCGCCCCTCGGTTCCACCGCCATACACACGTGTTCCGTTCCTCCACGTCCTTATACGCACCCTCTCTCAACAGTAAATGTTAATAACCTCCGACCACCACTCTAAGAACGACAACCAGCCTACGAGCGTAGGTATAATCTTGAACTGGATCCGGCTTCTCTTGAGAATTCTCCAAACAAGCTGACCCCGGCCTAAAAACGCCTAGCCAGCCTACAATCCAGCACGCACGCACCCAAGACCGGCCTAATACCTGCGAGATTAGCTTGATCACATCGAGATTGTCCAGATTCGCGAGGAACCACGACGACTGCGCAAAGAGGTAATCCCCCGCGAGCACAGCGACGCGCGTGCCGTAGAGCTGGTGCACGGTGGCCTTGCCGCGGCGCTGGCTGCTGTCGTCCAGCACGTCGTCGTGCATCAGACTCGCCGTGTGCAGCATCTCCGATATCTCCGCCAGCCGCCGCTGCTTCGGCTGGATGCCGCTGCAGCGGAGAAGGGGGAGGATTGCAGAACGGGGAGGGGATCCCGGGGGGAGGGGAAGCGTAGGAAGGAGAGAGGGGAGAGGGACCAGGTGCGGAAGAGGGCAGGAGGGAGGAGGGAGTAGTGAGGAGGGAGAAGAGGAAGGGGATGGACAGAAAATATGTGGGAAGGTGGGTAAGGCGTGGCTTAGAATTCCTTCGGCTACTTACATTCTCCTTGCGTGTGCGAAATTCAGCTGAAGCACCGCGCGTGGCATGCAGCAGCGCATGCGCGCAATCTGCGGTGGCTTCCGCAACTAGTCGCGTTCCGCACGAGCAATCTCGATACGGGGGATCAGCAGAGCAAGAACGCGGCAACGATCGAGCAGACCAGAAACATGGGTGGTACGAGCAACACGAAGAGCAAGAGAACGTAAGCAGCACGAGAAGCACGAACAGCACGATCACCGAGCGCATCCGCAACAAAATCAGCACCAGCAGCGCTAACATCGCGAGAGAGCGAGCAGCGGGAGCACTCACTCGAGGCCCATGAGCTGTGCCGTGCCGAGCGCCACGAGGAGCACGAGCGCGGGGCGCATGCGCTTCCCGCCCGCTCCGAAGATCTGCTCCGCGGCGGACATGAGCACCGGGTGACGTGCACCCACGACCTTCGATCGGCGGAGGTACATTGGTGGGCGCGAGAGGAGGGGGGAAAGGTGGAGAACATAATGGAAGCGGGGAAAGGGTCGTTAGGTTAAGAGGAGGTAGGAAAGGGAAAGAAAAGGGAGAAACAGACGAGGATAGCGAGAGAACGGCGTGCCTTTCCAGGAGAAAATGGTGCGGACGTGATAAAAAGGCATATCATAGAAAGTGCCTCGGCATATTTGAAAGCAATTGACAGTATCTTCTTCTTTCATTGACAAATACGCAGTCCTCTCTCCGTCTCACCGCGACTCGACAATCTATAACGACTCCGGGGTTGAACGATCCATAAACAGTTGGAGCGAACAAGGGTGAATGTGCTGCAAATAAAGAATACAATACGTACCGACTTGAGATTCTCGTTCAGCATCTGAAGATCGTTCTCAACGGGGGTGATTAGATCGTTCAGCGTGTGGCGGCCGAGCGGAATGGCCTTGGCGAAGTCCGGAACGGCGACGCTGATCTCCTTGTCTGCATGGAACACCAAATATCAGGCACACGGTCATTAGATTGCAATGACAGGCGAAGAAAAGAAAAGAAAAGAAGAGAAAAGAGAAAAACCCACGCAATCGAAGAATAACGAAATTCAGGGCCCAGGGATGACAAAAGACATCACAGGAGCTTGCTGAATATGTGGCCATTGAATGCACCGAAAACGGGACACACGAGCTTTCCAACTCTCCCTTGCGCTGTTCCAGTACAAGCAACGTACCTAGTGAAGGAGCTGGTTGGGCGGAAGAGAGAGTTGGGGTGACACGAGCGACAGTCCGGCTCTTAGTTCGACTCTGTCGCAACAGCCGGGATGCCGCCAAAGGAAGCTTTTTGCCGGCACAGCCATTGTCCCACGCGGAGAGACCCACTCGCCTTGAGTCTGCTGATTCGGACCCTCGGCCGACGCCTTGTGAGCTGAGAATAGAGTCAGATTGCCTCACAGGAAGGGCTGATCCCACGGAAACCGATATGGAAGCCATTGCAGGGATGCTGCTTAATCAGACAAGCTGTCGGCAGAATGTGAGATACTGACACCTCCTGTTGCCCGAGGAAAGACACCTAATCTCCTTCACAGCTTCAGACCCACGCTGTGACTCGTCGACCCACGCTTCCTACGGGAGTCACGGAGGCTATGACTCAGTATGGCGAGAATGGCGGGTTTCTGACAGCCGACGCACAACGTGGCTTATCTGGCGAACCAGCTGAGCGACGTGGACAGGATAGATTCTAACGGCCGTAAGTGTGTAGCCCAGAATGCTTCACACTAGGAAAGAAGCGACCAAAACCTGAGCTGCTGCAGACAGGAGAAGTAGGAAATGCTGCAGTGAACAGCAGGTTTGACGGGCAAGATTGTTATGGCTGTGTGAATGGCAGTGAAAAGTTGATTCTGGCGGGAACTTGGAATGTTTCGCACAACACCTATGGCGAACAGAACACGTAGAACGAAAGGTCGCTCCAAATAAAAATCAAGGCTCAGAAGCAGAAAGCGTTTGAACACTAGTGATAGTGCAAGTTAACTGGCAACTGCGCGACAGAACGGTGACGGAAACTTGCTCGTAGCGCGGGGAACACAGCTTTCAGTTCCCAAATATCTGGCTCCAGTTGACCCCCAAGCCCCGGGAGCGTCTGCGAAACTGTTCTGTGGAGGTTCGTTCGCGAGCGGGTGCGGAAGCGATGCGTTCATCAGGTTGCTGACGAGCAGAGCCTCGCACAGGGTGAAACCATCTGGGACTTTGTCGATGCCGACGTGGCAGCTGATGGATGGGAGTGTACCATCCATCTGGTTCGTGGAGTCAAAACGTCACCAGTCCTGAGTTTTCCGGGCCACGGAGGCAGACCCTCTCTCGTGGCAGAGGATGCCGTTCTAGGGGGGAGAATTGTGGTCCAAAGCCAGCACGAGCGCACGTGTCAGAGGCTTACGTTTCCTCGTGGAATCGATATAGGGACGTGGCAAGCTCTCTACCGAGTACGTGTGCGGGCTTCTTGAGCATCAACACGAGTGACGTGGCAGATCTGTCCAGCGGATCCGTCACGCCTGGCCACGCTGTTCCAGTTCTTGGTGTGACAACAAACAACATCCCAGTTCATGCACGAAACCACTGTAACCAGCATACGTTACTAGACTAATCTACAAAAAAAAAAACAACTATTCTACTACCATCTCATCCCAAACTTGATCACAGGTGCAATTCTATAATTCAAGAAACACCACCAGCAAGCACGGAATGCACATTCTCAAAATAAGATGGCCTGCGGCCGGCACATGACCTAAACAATCCAGTAATTATTTCCTTGCACAACCTATCCTCCTTTCCAGTTTGTTGTGCCACCAACTTCCCTTCTCCATGCCTTCTTTCCCCTACCTCCTATAATAACCCCTCACTCAAACGGTTCAGGCGGGGGAAGGGTGAAATCTCTCTGGCGTGGCTTCTGAAGCACGAAGCTCATGTGCACGTAAAGGCCAGCAGCGCCAAGAGACGGTGTTACAGCGCGGTGTAGCTGGTCGTACTTGAACATGTCCACTATCTCCATGTACAGCGGCATCTTGCGCACCTGAAGCAGCAACGCGTTACAGGATAAAAAGGACAAAGAAAGGACACAGAGAATTGAGGAGGAGATGGAACCACGGAACTCCTACTGTTGCGTGTGACAAACACAAGAGAGGTGAGGCTGACGCTCAGGGGAAGGAGAAGCTGGCAGGACAGGAAAGGCAGCGAGCAGGTGAAGTTAAAAGCTACTGCTCTTCAGATAATTACCAGCAACACACTTAAGAAAATGGAATCTCCCTCTCTCACGCCTTCCCAGCTTCCCAACGGCCCCAAGCAGCCCAAAACCCTAAAACCCCTCCCCTTCAAACCCCAAAACCTGAACTCTCCACCTCCCCTTCAGGCCAGCCCTTCCCCACGGCCATATTCTCGGGTCACTCATAACTCCCTCAGTCTTGCGCGTTAATACTTTAGGCACAAATAAAACTCCAGCACAGATCTTATGGTGCATTATGCAGCCACCCAACCAGCAAGAAGGACAAATGGCCCAACCATGCTCACTCCACCAACCCACACCTGCCTGCACCATGTGGTTCCCCTGATCCCTTTCAACCCCACACCACGCCCACCAACCCCCTGGCTGGTCCAGTCCACCCACCTGGGAGTAAAACAGGTCGAACCAGATGACACCACCTGGCCTAAACACAACACATGGTCCCAGTCGTAAAACATCCACTTCCTCAAACTTCTCACACCACACCCATCCCACCAACCCCCTTGGCTGACCCACCCACTCACCTGCGAGTAAAACAGGTCGAACCAGATAACCCCGCCCGGCCTCAACACGCGGTCCCAGTCGTAAAACATCTCCTCAAACTCCTCAAAATCCACATCGTTAATGCTCGTGCCCGTGTGGATCACGTCTATCGTGTTGTCATAGAACGGTAACCGCGCCGAGAACGGCAGGTACAGCGGCACAAGTCCCCGCGCTGCCACTGCTTCCATGTAAGGAACCCCCGTGGGCTCTGTGGAGTTTTTCTCCTTGGGGCTGGCCCAGTTCTTCCCTGTGGTCAGCACCGTGCAGTTGAATTCCTGCATCCGGGCAGCAAAACTGCCCGACCCACCACCAATGTCCAACCCGATGCGAAGAGTGTTGTTGGTCAGATGGAAAACTTCTTCCATGGAAATCGTCCCCCTGATCCCCCCCTTCCACCTCGTCTTCTCCACGTCAAGATTAAAGCAGTCCTTACAGTCATTCACCTGCCCCGGACCAGATTTCAAACACGCAAACGACTTGCAGGAATGGTGCTCCCAGTTCACGTTGGTATCCATGAGCGCACTCTCGTTCCATAGAGCATTCGGGAACGGCACCGGGTCCTCGAACCCCGTGAAATTCGCCGCGAAGCAGCGGCGCCGCGGCAGGGAATGGCAGCCGCGGTCGAAGATCAGCTCCTGGACGAAATGCCAGTCGTCCGGGCAAACCTCCTTCTCCGTGTAGTTCATAAACCGGCTCAGCTCCTCGTCTGTCGCCTTGCAACGCGCGGAGCGACAGACAGCCAGCGGCCCTGCGGGCTCTTCCTCCCCTTCCGCCGCTGCTGCCCCCCCTGTCTTTCCCGCAGCAGCAGCAGCAGCAGCTGCCGCGACGTTCTGTTTGTGCTTGTATATCGACAGATCCGCCACGGTTCGTTTCAACTCCGTCGACGCGTACCCCGCGCGCACGCACGCGTCGCGCGTGGTCTTTATATCCTGCCGCAGCGCCTCGGGGTACGCCGCGGTGCTCCCTACCGCCTGCTCTAGCAACGTCCTTATTCTCGCCTCCGTCTCGAATTTCTCCGCGGTCGCTTCGCCTTCCAGCTTCAGCACGCGCTGCGTGAGGTTGACGGATAGATCCAGCAGATCCGCGATTTCCTCCGCTCCGGGCGGAGCAACCTTCCCTTCGCGCACGTCCGTCACATATTTCTTCTCCTTTGCTGCTGCTTCCTCTCGGCATTTCTTCGCTTCCTCCTCCGCCTTGGCTGCTCTCGCCGCTGCTGCCTGCTGCTCTTCCGTAAGCTTTTTCCTTTGCTCCTCCATGTCTTTTTTCAATCCGTCTACCGCGCTCGTGTCCGTCTTAGCCTTGTCTAGATCGGCGGATAGTTGCTGCGCCTTAGCCGCGAGCTCCGCCGCTTCATTAGTTTTCTTCCCCACCTCCTCCGTCAATTGCGCCACCTGCTGCCGGAGCCCGTCTAATTCCGCCTGGCCGTGCGACTTCTTCGTAATCACCTCGTCGAAATTAAGCTTAAGAGCCTCTTTTTCCCGAAGCAGCTGCGACACGATCTGCTCGTGCCGCGCGGAGGTCTGCTGGGACGTCCAGAGGGACCCGAGGAGCATGAGCACGACGGCGGCTAGGGATAGCAGCGCCCATGGCAGCGCAGCGGGGGGTAGGCGGAGCTTCTCTGCTAGCGTGCGCAGCCGGGGTATGGGGTACTGACCGGAGGGAAGGGAGGGGAGAGGGGAGGAAGAATGGGGGACGGAGAAGCGGAAAACTAGGTTACGGAAAGTTCAGTGACGGAAGGTTGTGTGGGGAAGAAGAGTAGATAGAGACCAGAGGAACAGACGGGAAACTGTGTGTGACGGCTGTCATTGCATGCGCGGAGGAGGGGTGGATGGTAAAAAGGCGCTGACGTGGATCGTGCTGCCAGCGGGTATAAATTTATGGTGGACATCGCATCCAAGAAGTCGTCTATTAGTCCATCGGAACGAAAATCCCATTTTTTTCTAGTCCTATGACAATTTTCAAGGCACCTAAGACATTGTGCATGGGCGAAGGAAGGTAGTAAGGGCGAGAAATGGAACTGACCTGAACCATGCTGCAGCCGGTGATAAAGGTTGTTGGTGATCGCACCAGGGAACGACAGGAGGACACCAAGAGAAACCCTCAGCGATCCCGGTGCGATGCCTGCGATCCTCGCGGAAACGTATGCGACGACGTATGCGACCACGCCTACAGCGACAATGACAGGCTAAAAGCTATTGTCAGTCAACTAATTAGTTTGAGTGAGCTTCACGAGAGCTTTATGTCCCTGATCAAGCTCCAGTCTTCGCGGCAATCCCTAAACGCTCCATTATTCAGGCGCTCGTCAGGTACGTCAGACAACCGCGTCGCCGAAATTGTGAAAGGGGAAACCAAAAAGACACATATTTTTTCTTTCTCTATCGACTGATTACGGCCTGTCGATTATCAGTCGAACAGCAGCGCTACGTATCAGAGTGAGACCATCCATTCACTCGACTTCAGTTTCATTGGTACTTGATGCGTCATTTGACCAAAGCAGTTGTGGTGGAAAAACCGGGAGTACACGCAATGTCCGTTTGACTAGCCCAAGGTTTCCTTGTAAAGAAGGCTTTTAAGTGATTCAAACACTTCGCACATCTCGTCAACTCCTCGTTGACATTTTGACTTCGGTCTCTACTTTTTGACTTCGGTTTCTGTGATTCTTATTGGTTTCTTGCTCGAGGAGCTTGTAATGTGGGTGCAACTGGCTCGTAAAAAATCACGGGTGCAGACTTTCCATCCCGGTAAGAACAAATTCGCGCGCAGGGGCTGAGCATCGTGTACAGCAACAATCAATGTCAAATATTGAGGTAGTTGGCCGGTTAATTGTGAGCGGTCATGAGCAGTGGTGCTCGGTAGTGAGTGTTCAGCGACTGAGCTAGCATGAACGATGAGTGAAAATCCCCTCACTCAGCGCACACCGAACAGGCTAATTTCAGCCAGAGATTTCTCACTGAGCTGGCAGATGATCCCAACCCAACCCAAACCGGTACCAGAAATATCGCTAGCGGTAAATGAAAATCGTATATCTACAGATTTACACATAGTGCTTAAAAACCCTAAGAACCTCAAATCATTAGGACCAGGCCCCAAAATGTCAGGGTAAAATACCCTGATTGCCCTGACTGGCGGCCGCTTTTTTTGGGGCTACCCTGACCCAGTCAGGCTCCCGGATTTATTACCCTGACTCATAAAGAGTTTGGTTTTTTGTACCCTTATGAAATCCGAGCTATAGATTGTTTCCCCTGACTTTCATCAGTGTTTTAATACTGTTACACTGACACCGAGTCTTTCGTAGCGAGGATATGGTGGATGTTGCGCAAAATGGCGCCAGCAAATAGTGCACCCAGCCTATTTCCCAATGCCAGTGTTAAACCTGCGACCTCTCCTCTAACAGCTTCACCTCTGACCGAGTGAAACACTTCAACTTGCAATGTACTTATTCGTTATAAATAGACTCGTAACGAAATCAGAGTACGAAATTTTTTAACCCTGTTTTCATCAGGGTACGAAATTTTTTACCCTAGGAGTCAGGGTTGGCCCACCCTGGAACTCTGATTTGACAGGGTGGGCCAAAACCAATTTTGGGCCCTGATTAGGACCACCTAAGCTGAAACCTGACCTGACCTGCCTTTTCAAACTGGAAAAATGATGTCAACCAAATCTATTCATCTATATTACAAAACCACACAAAACGCATTATGTCCTCATTTCCACCACCACTTCCAACTCTTGCCCCCCCTTAACTTCACCCTTCCCCGTTTGGCGTGACCCCCCTCCCCCTCCCCCTCGTCCTCCCCTCTAACCTTAGGTGCGCGCACACAAGGCAACGACACTCCTCGCGCCTTCATTAGAGAGAGAGGCACACCCCCCACAAGATCATCCTCCTCACTCCACTCACCCTCTTCTCCTCCACCTCCCTTCACACCCCTCCCCTCTCTCTCCCCCCCGTCTTCCACCCCATTCCCCTTCCCATCCCCATCCTCACCCAACCCCTCAGCCTCCAACCCCCATCCCTGCTCCTTGTTCTTGGATCGCTGCTGCTGGTACCTTTTAAAGTCCTGTGAGAACGTCTCACCACTAGAAGCAGACATGACACTGGAAAAGGAAGGGAGGCCGGGTGTTGACTTCAGGGGCGCCTCAAGATTGTTCCTGGATCGCTGCTGCTGGTACCGCTTAAAGTCCTGTGAGAATGTCTCACCGCTTGCAGCAGACATGACACTGGAAAAGGAGGGGAGGGCAGGACCCGCCATGCACGAGGGTGAGAGGGGACCTGACTGCTCTTCTGCTGCACCTTCTGCATCTGCAGCTTCTGCTGCTTCTGCTCCTGCTCCTGCCTCTGCTCCTGCTCCCCCTGCTCCTACCGCTGCAAACGACGAGGATGGCGATAAACTTGCTGTATGGAGTCCCAGGGATAAACGAGACGAAGAGGAGGAGGGCAAGGTCTCGTCGGGTACTAGTCCCAGATCTGCTGTATGCTGCATGTATGCTTCAGTACTTGTGCTTCTTCTGCTATCAAAGCCTGGGGACCGGTGGGTGACAGGCGAGGAGGGAGAGGATCCAGGGGAGTGCTGGGAATGTGGGGAGTGCAGAGGGAGTGGGGAGTGAGGACGGGGAGGGGAGTACCTGGCGTGTGGATAACAAGGAGAGCGGGGGGAGTGAGGGGAGCGGGGGGAGTGTGGGGAGCGAGGGGAGTCTGGTGAGGGGGAGGACAGGGAGGAGTTGGGGGGCAAGGGGTCGATAAATAGGTCTGCCACAGGACGTTCATGGGCAGCTTGGGCTGCCCAATCGGAAAGAGATGCAGGGATGGGCACATCAGGGAGAGACATGCTGGACGGGAGGCGGGGAGAGGAGGAGCGCAGGGGGGAGGTGTGGCGGGACTGGGGGCGGGAGAGTGGACGTGGCTCTGTGGTGGCGTGTGGTATGGGGGAGCGCGGGGGGTGGTGGAGCGGATGGGCTGGGGGAAGGTACCAAGGGAAGAGGGGAGTGGGAGGAGAGGAGGATGTGGGTGGGCGGGAGGGAGGGTGGGCGAGAGACGGTGTGGCGGGCTCGTCGTGAGGGAGGTGGGAAGGGACCGATAGAGGTAACTGGAACTCCACCTGCACAGGTGGAAGGAGGGAAGCGGGAGGGGGGCGGGGGAGAGGGAAAGGGTGGAGTGGAAGGGAAGGGAAAGGAGGGGTGACGAGGGAGCTTGAGGTTGAGAGGAGGGGAAGAGGAGGGAAAGAGGAGGGGGAGAGGAGGAAGTGGGTTGATGGAATATGACTGACTGGAAGCGGATTGAGAGCAGCAAGTAGAGAATAGAACCATGGTGTGCTCCCTCCCTCCCTCCCTCCCTCCCTCCCTCCCTCCCTCCCTCCCTCCCTCCCTCCCTCCCTCCCTCCCTCCCTCCCTCCCTCCCTCCCTCCCTCCCTCCCTCCCTCCCTCCCTCCCTCCCTCCCTCCCTCCCTCCCTCCCTCCCTCCCTCCCTCCCTCCCTCCCTCCCTCCCTCCCTCCCTCCCTCCCTCCCTCCCTCCCTCCCTCCCTCCCTCCCTCCCTCCCTCCCTCCCTCCCTCCCTCCCTCCCTCCCTCCCTCCCTCCCTCCCTCCCTCCCTCCCTCCCTCCCTCCCTCCCTCCCTCCCTCATTCCTTTTCCTCCTTCACCCCTCCCTTCCCTCCCTCCATCCGTCTCACAACCACTCCCACTCGTACCCAAACCGCCCCACCAAACTTTAAATTCAACTCAAAAGTCTTACACAAGTTGTCTCTCCTACTGCTGCCACCTCAACTCTTTATCAGAATGCCTCCCTTTCAATTCCTTCTTTCCTCTCTTTCCTCTCAGGGGTAAACAAACTCGACACTTCAAGCCCCCTTCCTACACCCTCCAACCCATACCCACTCCCCCATTCCTCCCCTTCTCACCTTGCTTCCACTCTTTTCCCGCGACGTTTCTCGTCCCATTCTCTCCGCCTGCCCTCCGCCCAACGGCGAACCTTCACGGCCGTTCCTTCCTCCTCTGCGAATCTCCACGTCTACACCCTCCCCTCCGCCATTTCCAAACGTCTCAACCGCACCAAACCAACTACCCTCCACTCTCACTCCAGAAGCCCTCCTCTCCTCCTCTTCCTCCTCTCTCCTCCCCGCATCCGTACTCCACTCATACCTCCCCATCTCATCGCCTCCGCTTCTGACTCCCCCACGTTCCCGTCTTTCCGCCACGCCAGGCGCTTCTCCCCCTTTCCCCCAATCTCCCCTTCCCCTTTCCGCCGCCCCCCAGTCGGCCCCTCCACTCGCGCTTCTACCTCTCTCCCCATGCGCTGCGCCGCGCCTTACGGCGTGCCCCACGCCGTAACCCACGCCGTAACCCACGCCGTAACCCAAGCTGCTCACATCTTTGCGAAGCGCCTCTGAAGCTGACCCTGAGTCCCCTGCGTCTACATAAATAGCCACATTCTCTTCCCTAAGCCTAGCTGCCGCAGCGCCAGATTCGCTCGGTTCCCGCACGCTCGCTAGTATCCCCCGCGCCTGCGCCTGTGAGCTCCCCGCGGCTTCCGCCTCCTGCGCCAGCCGCTGCGCGTACCGCCGCCGCCGCATCTCCTCGAATTCCGCGCTGAAGCCCGCCTCTCCGCGGACCTGCCACGCCATCCGCGCGCCATCCCCCTCCCCCTCCCCCGCATGCCCCCCAGCTCCGCCGCCGCGCAGGCTTTCCGCCAGTCCGGGGATCGGCGGAAGGTTTCTCCGCAGCGCCGCGGCCTCGCCAGGCGGAAGGCGGACTTTGGTGGCGGAGTCGACGGCGGAGCCGGATGCGGAAACGTCCGCGCGCAGGCACGTGTGCGCGGAAGGGGGGTGGGAACCTGTGGCGGAAAGGGGCCTGGGGGAAGCGGAGGAATCGCTCCGGCTGCGGTGGACTTGTTGCGGGGAACGGCGGGAGTGAGATTCTGGATAAGGATCAACGGAAGGATCAGGATGAGAGGATTCAGTTGCCGCTATGGAGTTCCCCCGAGGATAGATGGGTCTGTGGTTAGAAGAATAAGAGTCGCCATAGTCATCGCTTTTAGGAGCGTTCTTTGACGGGCGAACCGATCGGCTACGCGGGCGAGGTCGTTCGTGCGAAGGCGATTGTTCGCGATGGGTAGGGTTACCCGGCTCACGCAAAACCGGCTGTTCGCAGTGGGTAGGGTTACAGGACAAGGATGCGTCGCGGCAAGCAGCGTCGGCGACGGATGAAGGCCTAACAGACGCGTAATGAGTGTGCTTCTCAAGTTGAGATGACTCGAAGTAGGGCCCGACTGGTGTGTACGGAACGTGGGGCTCCCCGTGTTGCACGTGCCCGCTGACTCGCGACGGATGCATGGCGGATGCACCCGTGCCGGTGCGTGAAGACTCGCACGAAATCCGGATTCTTGTAGCGCTGGCCGTGAGTGGCAATGAAAGGCGATTAGGGAAGGACAGCGGAGCGAAGGGAAGGGAAGGGACGGGACGGGACGGAGCGAGGCGGGACGTTAGGAATGGCGGCGACGCGCTGTCAGAAACGTCCGTCCGTCGAAAGGGTTAGCACTGGTCGTCGCGACGAGGATTTAGTCCTGGCGAGAGCGAGAGACGGAGAGTTTCGAGACGATTTACGGAAAGTCGTGCATGAAAGAGGCGAGGTCGAGGTGGTGGAGGTTGAGGAAGAGCGAGAGAGCCGAGGAAACGTGAAAGACAAGGATGACATGGCACGACGACGCGTACACGTGGCGTTACGTTTGGTGTTGTGGGTGGGCGGGAATAGAACGATTAGGTAGGGTGGAGGCAGGAGGAGTTCTGCAGGTGTGCGGAGCAGAAAGCAGCATAAGGATGCCCAGTGGGTGCTGCAGTGGAATGGTGTAACAGTGACGCAGAGGATGACATGACAGCCATGGCAGTTGGTTGGGTGGGTGGGGGAACTCTCAATTTACCGTAATTACACGAAGAGCTTGGACTGGGAGAAGTTTGAGTGGTTTGATACTATATGTATTGGTGCTTTCTGGTTTTGTGTGGTTTGATTAGGTGTAGCGGGATGGTCTTCAACTGAATCTAATGCGGCATGGAGTGGAGTGGAGCGCGTTGCCGTGTTTCGTAAGATAACATTTAACGAAAAAATACTTCTTACATCATACTTCATGTGATGTTTGATGGGCTGCGGGAGTCGCCTTTCTCATGGATGATCCCATTCTTGCGTGTCTTTTATGGGACACCTAGCGACCTGTACCTCCGACCGGGCCCTTTCGTACAGAGCCTCGAGTCAGCACGGGGATCGAGGCAGGGGGACCCGCTCGGCCCTTTTCTTTCCGCGTTCACGCAGCAGCAGGTGATGGAGCCAGTTACTAGGGAGTTCAAGGACCTGCTTTTCCTCAGCTATGCAGACGATACCTATATTTTGGGGCCAGCGGCTAGGATTCTGGAGGCTTTTGGGGTGCTGCGGGGACGGTTCGAGTGGGTAGGGCTGGAGGTGCAGGCGCAGAAGTGCCGGTTTTGGGAGTGCGAGGGCAAGGAGGTGGAGCGGGCACTGCCATTGGGGATGCAGCGGGTGGATGAGGGTCTTACTGTGGTGGGCGTGCCTATTGGAGAGGAGGTTTGGGAGGTGGTCCGGCTACGGGAGCGGCTTCGACAGTTGCAGGCGCCACTGCCATGGCTCCCCTTGCTCGACCACCCCCAGATGGCTTCACACCTCCTCGCCATTGCAATTTCAGCGCGGCCGATGTACCTCGCCCGGACTATGCCGTCGCGTCCAGAGGTGGTTGAGGCTTTTAGGGATTGGGACAGCTGTTTAGAGGATTGCTTTGAGCAGCTTTTCCCACCTGGCACTTGGGAGCAGGACCCCGACCGGTCTAGGCGCGCACGCATGCAGCTGCATCTCCCTGTGCGTCTCGGTGGGTTCGGGATCCGGGCGGCGGCCTCTTTGAGCCCACTGTCCTATGTTTGCGGGTGGGCGCAGGCCGCGCGGGACATTGCACAGTTAGGGGTGGCGGGTGAGGAGGCGATGTTTGCTGAGTACCTCACCACTTCGACAGGGGCAGAGTTTCTTGACCCGTGGTTTGTCAAGGCTCTCGAGCAGCTGCCAGCGACTATCCGCCACGAGATACCGGGCTTACCTCTGTGTGTAGCGGCCCCTCTTGTTCGGCTTTTCCAGGCGCGTCAGCGGCAGTTAGCTGTAGAGGAGCTCCAGGCACTACGCCGCTTGGCTCGTGACGATGCTACCTTGGCCCGTTTCACATCCCTTCAGGGCCCGGGGGCAGGTGCATGGGTTTCGGCGGTTCCGGCTCACTCAGATCTCACATTCACTGCGGCTGAGTGGGGCATTGCTGCTGCTATACGGCTCGGCCTCCCAATTCAGCAGCTGCAGGTGGCGGAGAGGTGTGTTTCTGGCATAGCGTATGTTGACCCAGCAGACCCGCACCATGCCCTGAGATGCAGGCACCAGCATGGTCCTTCTCGGGTGCATGATGAGGTGAAGTTTGCGGTGGCGAAGATCTCTAAGGCGTCGGGGGGGGGGGGGCGGGTGACAATGGAGGATAGTGTGGTGCTGCTGGGGAAGCGGGTAGATGTGGCGGTGCGACGACCAATGGCTGTCGAGGCTCACACCCTAGAGATCACCATCTCAGGGCATGATGCAGGTCTGCTGGGTCAACATACGGGGTGCCACAAACACACCTTCCCGCCACCAGCAGCTGCTGAATTGGGAGCCCGAGCCGTATAGCAGCAGCAATGCCCCACTCAGCCGCAGTGAATGTGAGATCTGAGTGAGCCGGAACCGCCGAAACCAATGCACCCGCCCCCGGGCCCTGAAGGGATGTGAAACGGGCCAAGGTAGCATCGTCACGAGCCAAGCGGCGTAGTGCCTGGAGCTCCTCTACAGCTAACTGCCGCTGACGCGCCTGGAAAAGCCGAAGAGGAGGGGCCACTACACACAGAGGTAAGCCCGGCATCTCCTAGCGGGTAGTCGCTGGCCTTGACAAACCACGGGTCAAGAAACTCTGCCCCTGTCGAAGTGGTAAGGTACTCTACAAACATCGCCTCCTCACCCGCCACCCCTAACTGTGCAATGTCACGCGCGGCCTGCGCCCACCCACAAAGATAGGACAGTGGGCTCAAAGAGGCCGCCGCCCGGATCCCGAACCCTCCGAGTCGCACAGGGAGATGCAGCTGCATGCATGCGCGCCTAGACCGGTCGGGGTCCTGCTCCCAAGTTCCAGGTGGGAAAAGCTGCTCAAAGCAATCCTCCAAACAGCTATCCCAATCCCTAAAAGCTTCAACCACCTCCAGACGCAGCGGCATAGTCTGGGCGAGGTACATCGGTCGCGCTGAAACTGCAATGGCGAGGAGGTGTGAAGCCATCTGGGGGTGGTCAAGCAGGGGGAGCCATGGTAGTGGCGCCTGCAACTGTCGAAGCCGCGCCCGTAGCCGGACCACCTCCAAATCCTCCTCCCCAATAGGCACGCCCACCACAGTAAGACCCTCCTCTATCCGTTGTATCCCCAATGGCAGTGCCTGCTTCACATCCCCGCCCTCGCGCTCCCAAAACCGGCACTTCTGCGCCTGCACCTCCAGCCCCACCCACTCCAACCGCTCCCGCAGCACCCCAAAAGCCTCCAGAATCCTAGCCGCTGGCCCCAAAATATAGGTATCGTCTGCATAGCTGAGGAAAAGTAGGTCCCCGAACTCCCTAGCAACCGGCTCCATCACCTGATGCTGCGTGAACGCGAAAAGGAAAGGGCCGAGCGGGTCCCCCTACCTCGATCCCCGTGCCGACTCGAGGCTCTGTACGAAAGGGCCCGGTCGGAGGTACAGGTCGCTAGGTGTCTCATAGAAAACAAGCAAGAATGGGATCATCCTTGAAAAAGGCGACTCGTGCAGCCCATCAAACATCGCATGACGGTGAAATGAATTGAAAGCGTTTGCGACGTCTATCCGTAGCGCACACCAGTGAGGGTGAGTGGCCAGCGCTGACCGGAAAGAATGAGTGAGAATCTCTGCCCCGACCCTGGTGCCCGCTCCTAGCCGGGTGGAGCGAGATGCAGAGAGCTCGAGCAAGGATACGAGGAAGCACCTCCCCGATCGCCACCAGCGGAACGTCGCCGTTAGGCTTGGAGAGCCTGAGTAGGTTGGATGCAGCGAGCCACGGCCGAGCCTGTCCCGCCACCCATTGGTTGAACACTTTTAACAGGTGGGAAAGGCAGGAAGGTTCAGTGAGGAAGGTGTCGCGCAGATGCTCTCTGACCCACCCCGATGGCCCTGCTGCTGAAGCTCGAGCGGCTGTATGGATAGCCCTGGCCAGGATGTCGGTCATGAGTGAATGCCGCTGAGTAGCATCGATGGTGAAATCGCAGACCCACTGTGGTACCTCGCCACTGCTAGCAGGGTGCTTCTCTCGCAGCGACTGCACCATGGCCTCAGATGGTCGAGCCAACTCCCTTGCCGTAAGGCAGGCCAATCCACGGCTCCACTCCCCCACTTTGCACCGAGATCGGCATCGTGATAGGCGGATGGCATCCGGGTCCTGGTCAGGGCAAGTGTAGGCAAGTGGGCGTACTGCTGGCCGCGCCGCCACCATGGCAGAGTCGAACAACTCCCACCACCTCCCCTCCCAGAACGCACCTAGCGGCTCTGTGATCAGCGCCTTCTAGCCTATGCCTGGCTTGGGAGGCACGGCTAGGATGAGGTGCGGAAACGCTAAGAGTAGGAGGGTAGCGGCTTCATCTCCTGGTTGGCTCTTCAAACGCTTCAAGATGCAACAGAGCGAGTCTAAGACCTCCGACTGGGTCCGCTGTGGGATCCGACGCACTATCCTCCCTCCAACTGCCTCCACAATGAAAAATGTTTCCCATTCCCATGACGTAACCCCAGCCCACGCCTCGTCCCCAAATTCCCGCGACGTCGGTTGCTATTGCGTGTTGGTCTCCACCAGAGACGGGATCGAGCCGAGAGCCTGTGCACGCCTCTCCGCCTCAGCCGCCCGGCATACCCTCATGTTGCCGTTTTTCGTTGTGCTTGGAAGTGGAGCATCCATCACCATCATCACGCGCTGATGGTTGGACCTAAATGTGGCTCAGCATCAAACCTTATGATTCGCTGCAGGAATGTTCGGTACATATCCAACTATTTCATGCACTTACAGTCATTTCACGAATAAATACATGCATTATGCATTTGTTGCAACAGTGATACCTCATCCACAATAAATCAGGGACTGATAAAACTTCCTCTATCATGTCTCCTTACATACACTACTACATCCTTCCTCCTCATCCTGAGGCCTCGTCTTCTAGGAACGGGTAATCTGTGTACCCCTTCTCTTGATCAAAAGTGTAGAAGGTATCCCTAACATAAGGATTCAGTGGAGCATCTAGGGCAAATCGACGTGGCAGGTCGGGATTGGCCAGGAATAGCCGGCCGTATGCCTCCAGATCAGCTGCTCCACTCGCAATAGCAGCGTTTCCTGACAATCGCTGACAGGGGATGGGATTGCAGGGGGGTTAAGAGTAAATTCACTACTCTATCACACAGGCTTACTACCACCTACTCCCATGCCATGTCCCCGCAACCTCGGCACTCACACTGTGTCCGCCTGATTTGATGAGCGTGTTGCTGAAGGCCCTGCGAAACGGCTCTAGAGACTGCAAGGCAAGCACAGGAAACGAGAGCAGGCACAGGGGAGAATAATATGTGTGGTTTGCTCTTCACCATCTTTTAGGCGCCTCAAACATTGTACGTCTGCCGTTTAGCAGCACAAGCGACAAACACACCCACCCACACACCAATCCACCAACTCAGAAAGTGCTCAGCCCATGCTCACGCACTGCTCCCCCACCCATCTAACCAATCCCTCCAAATCCACAGTCCACTCCCCCAGGCACCCACTCACCTCCCCGTCACCAATAGCCTCTCCTTTGCGGTCCAGGCGAGCCTCTATAAGGTGCAGATACAGCAGACCCAGGTCGTTGAGGCACTGCGTGGCATGCACGTATTGTTAGAATCCCTCTCCTCTTGTAACCTGCATATATGCTATAGGACAGGCTAGAGTTTACCACCCAAACTTAGTTTGGGTGTACAAACAGGGGTAACCCAGTTTGTAGGTTGGAACCCAACCTTGGTCCAATTATTGGACCCCAAAAGGTTGGGTTGGGTAGAATGATTGGCACCCTCCAATAATGTTGGCCCAACCCCAACTTGGCCAACATTATTGGACCCCACCAATAATCTCCCAACCCAACTTCTTGGTTGGGGTCCAATATTGTCACCTTAGGTTAGCATCCAACCCCATTACTATGTATATCCCCATGATTCTCAATCAAGTTATCAACTTCATTCCTAAATCCTAGGCCTACCCCACCCGTTTCAAAGGCCCACCCGGCCGCCGCAACCCCCGGCCTCCTCCCTCATTTTTTTTTCCTCGCGGCTATCCTGCCGCCCTCCCCCCCCTTTAGCGCCCTTTCCCTCCACAGCTCCGTGGCCTCCCTAACCGCTGCGGCCCGCGCCGCTCCCTTCCGCGGCCTTGTCGCCGCCTCCGCGCCCGCTTCGCCGCGGCCTCGCCAGCCGCTGCCGCCCGCGCCGTTTTTCTCCGCGGCCCCGACGCCGCCTCCGCGCCCGCCTCGCGGCGGCCTCGCCAGCGGCCGCCGCCCGCGCCACTCCGCGACCTCGACGCCGCCTCCGCGCTAGCGCAGCTGCGGCCTCGCCAGCCGCCTGCCGCCCGTGCTGCTCCCCTCCGCGGCCCCGACGCCGCCTCCGCGCCCGCCTAGCCGCGGCCTCGCCAGCCGCCGCCGCCCGCGCCGCTCCCCTTCGCGGCCCCGATGCCGCCTCCGCACCCGCCTCGCCGCGGCCTCGCCAGCCGCCGCCACCCGCGCCACTCCGCGGCCTCGACGCCGCCTCCACGCCAGCGCAGCCGCGGCCTCGCCACCCGCTGCCGCCCGCGCTGCTCCCCTCCGCGGCCTCGACGCCGCCTCCGCGCCAGTGCAGCCGCGGCCTCGCCAGCCGCTGCCGCCCGCGCCACTCCCCTCCGCGGCCTCGACGCTGCCTCCGCGCCAACGCCGCCGCGGCCTCGCCAGCCGCTGCCACCCGCGGCGCTCTCCTCCGTGACCACTGCGGGTCCACCTGCAGCCGTCCATCATGGCTAACGCCACACCCTCCCCCTCCCCCCCTCCCTCCTCCTATTGATCCCTCCTCCATCGATAAACTGCAGCTCACAGCGGACAAATCCGCCGTCAACTGGCACTCATTCGTCGGCAGCATCCGACGGGTCCTCTCCGACGCATGGGTTCCCCCCTACCGCGTCCTTGACGTCATCCTCCGCCGTCCCCATGCCCTCCCCCCCACCGAACCTGATCACCCCGGCGAGACTCCTCCTCTCCCTCCCTCTCTTGGCGATCCCCCTCTTGAACCCGACCTCCAGCTCACCACCGACCAAGCCACCGCTGATGCAAATTTCATCTTACGCCGCCGTGCATACCTTATCCGCAAAGCCGAGTACGATGCAGCAGTTGACGCCTATGACCAGGCGGCTGCTGGCCGCAATGCTCACCTCGCCATTCTCGCCAAATACAAAGACGACATGGCTGCCTTCACCCCAAAACTTATCGCCTGGACAGCTGCTGACACCCGCGCCTGCACCGTTCTCCTTGGTGCTCTCCCTGACTCCCTCATGCGCCGCTTCCAGGCTTGGGAACTCCGTGCCTCAGTCATCTGGGCAGAAATCCATGCCATGTTTGAGCGCCGCGACATCAGTTCCGTCGGCATCCTTTTTCAAGAATACTTTTCAATCACCCTCGCCACCTGTGACAGAGCGGTTGACTATGTCGGACGCATGAGAGAGGTAGCTGATCGCCTCGAAGCCCGCCAAGCCGGCCTCTCCGGACCCCTCCAAATCCACCACCTCCTTTTTGACCTCACCCCAGACTATGAATCCCGCCTTCACGCCTTTACCGAAGCCAATCCCATGGCTGATCTCGCCTCCGTTGAACAGTGGATCATTGATACTGAAGTCAAACTCCGCATTCCCATTGTCAGCGGCGCCTCCTCCCAACCCTCCTCCTCATCCCTCAATGCTACCCAGCCCCGCAAGCAGAGCAAGAACAACGGCAAAGGAGGAGGTGGGGGCAAGGGAGGTGGCAGTCAAGGAAGCAGCAGCGCAAGCAGCCGTGGTGGCACCACAGGGGATGAGCATGGCACCAACAATTCAGGCGGAGCCTCTGCGAGCCGCGGGAGTCGTCCTGGCACTCTTCCTCCCTGCACTTATGTCCGCCGCTATGGTCCCCGGGCTGGAACACCCTGCGGGCAGACCAACCATCCCCCTGGCACTTGCTTCAAGGCTCTCGACGATGCCTGGTACGCACGAGGTAACGTTGGCACTCCTCCAAAGTGGGGCACGATTTCCCCACGTCCCTCTCTTGCCGACATCCAAACCAACCCCGCTTACCTCCCTGCCCACCTCCGCCTCCTTGCTCCTCCCACACCTTTCCTCAATCTTCAGCAGCAGCATCTCCTGCAGCAGCAGCAGCAGCAACAACAGCAACAGCAGCAGCAACATCAACTGCAACTGCAACAGCTGTTTCAGCAGCAGCCACAGCAGCACCAGCAGCCGCACCCGCAGCAGCACCCATGGGGAACTGGACTCCAGCCCCAGTGGGGACCCAACCCTCCTCCTTGGCAGCAACAACAACTGAATTTTGGCACAGCAGCCATAGCCGCTCAGGCCTCACCGGCCCCCCTTTGGGGTACTCCACCTCCCCTTAGTAGCACTGCCACTCCTCTTTCCCAGGACAGCTTTCTTGGCAACATTACGATCTCACCCTCTCTTCCTTCCATGTACCCATCCAACATTAATGAAACCACTTTCCAGTACTCAGTCTCTTCCTCCTCCTCACCCACTTTGGACTTCGTCCTCGATAGTGGGGCCACCGAGACCGCTCTCAAGGATGCTGGTACACTCACACCCCTCTCTCCTCCCACTCAGGTTCACGGCGCTGACAGCAGCTTTACCATTCCATGCACACACCTCTCCACTCTCCCCTGCACACTCTTCCCCTCTGGTAAGGTAACTGGTCTCCACATCCCCACCCTCCGTAACAACCTCCTCTCCCACCGTGAAATCCAAAATGCAGGTATCACTGCCGTCTATCCAGGCAATGCCACCTACTGTGACCTCTACCACACCGCCACCGGTCGCTTCCTTCTACGCATTCCCCTTTGCCCCCGCACTCGCCTCTACACTCTCCGCACCCCTAGGCCATCCTTCTGCCATGTCACCACTCGTGCTGGCACCTCCACTAACCCTCCCCATCCCCCTACCTCACCTCCGCGACAGCAGCAGCAGCCGCCACAGCAAGGGCAGCAGCAGGGGCCGCAGCAGCAGCAGCAGCAACTGCAGCCGCCGCAGCAGGGGCAGCCACACAGCAACAACATCAGTCACCTCCCCCTCTCTCACCCTCCCTCACTCCAACCCCCTCCACCTCCGATCATCTCTCCCACCCCGCTGTACTGCTACATCACCGACTCGGCCACCCCAATTTCGCCGCTCTCCGCACTACCATCACCTCTCGCCTCCTTCACAGCCTCCCTCCCACTCTTCCTCCCCTCCCTTCCTCTCCAGCGCCTCCATGCCCCTCCTGCATCCACGGCAAACTCAAACAGTCTCCCCACCACAGCCACCCATCCTTTGCTCCCGCTCCAATTGACCTAGTCCATATGGACCTCTGGGGACCCTCCCCCACTCGTTCCCGTCAGGGCCATCGCTACATGCTGGTCCTAGTAGACGACCACAGCCGCTACTCCTCCATTTTCCTCCTCCACACAAAAGACCAGGCGCCGACCATGATCATCAACTGGGCAGAGCAATGCCGCGCCCACTTCAAGCGTCCCGTCGGCCGCCTACACTCTGATGGGGGAGGCGAATTCCTCAATCGCACTCTCTCCTACTACTGCACCACCCATGGCATCCAACAGACTCACACCCTTCCCCACTCCCCGCAGCAGAATGGTGTCGCAGAAAGCAGGATTCGCAAAATCACCAAGATTGCTCGCTGTCTCCTCGCTCACGCCTCCACCCCTCCTTCCCTTTGGGGCTATGCTCTGCTCCATGCTGCCCTCCTCCTCAACCTTCACTCCCATCCTCAACATACTACCACCACCCCCACGGAACTCTGGTCAGGCACCAAACCTGACGCTGCTGGTCTCCGTGTCTGGGGTTGCAAGGCATATGTACTTATCCCTCCACCCGATCGCACCCACGACAAGCTCGCTTCTCGCGCCCTCGAGTGTGTCTACCTCGGGCACAACCGCGACTCGCCTGGCTACCTCTTCCTTCACCCTCCCTCTGGACGCCTTATCCGCAGCATTGACGTCGTCTTTGACGAAACCACCCCTTATTACTCCTCTTCACCACCAGACCCCCTCCCTCTTCCTACACGTCCTCTCACCTGGACCGACACTGTGCTCCCTCCCCTCCTCCCCCCTGCACCCCTTCTCCCACCTCTCCCTACTCCGCTTCCGCCACCTTCATCTGCCGATATCTACGATCCCACTGCTCCTGCATCCCCTGCACACTTCGTGGCCCCCCCTCCCTCCTCCCCTCCCCCCTCTCCTTCTCTTCCGTCCCAGCAGCAGCAGCAGCAACAGCAGCAACAGCAGCAGCAGCAGCAACAGCAGCAACAACAGCAGCAGCAGCAGCAGCAGCAGCAGCAGCAGCAGCAGCAGCAGCAGCAGCGGCGGCAGCAGCAGCAGCAGCAGCAGTAGGGGCAGCAGCAGGAGCACGGGCAGCAGCATCGGGAGGAGCAGCAGCCGCAGCAGTAGCAGGGGTTCCAGCAGCACCAGCAGCAGCAGCAGCGGCAGAGGGCAATTCCCTGCTCCTCACCCTTCCTCCTCCCTCGCATGCACACCCGCTCCCTTGATCCCATCCTTGGCACACCGCCACCTCCCTCCCTCAACCAGCTCGAGGATTCCCATGAGGAGTTCGCCATGGTCCAGCGCCACACTCCCTCTCTCACCACGCTCTACCCTGGCCTCCTCGGCGCTCTAATCCTTAGCGCGATCTCCGCTCCCACCATCTTCGTCCCCTCCACCTTCCAGGAGGCTATCACCTGCTCTGACGCTGACAAGTGGATAGCCGCCATCTTCCTGGAATGTGAGGCATTTATCCGCAGCGACTCCTTCATCGACGTTCCCCTCCCCCCTGACGCCAACCTTGTCGAGGGCAAGTGGATATTTCGAGTCAAGCAGCTGCCGGGAGAAGAACCAGACTACAAAGCCCGGTACGTTGCCAAGGGGTTCACCCAGACCTGGGCTGAAGACTACTGGTTCACATTTGCCCCCACTGTCAAGCAGGCCACCCTACGTTCCCATGAGAAGTTCGAGATGGCGCAGGCCAAACCGGTCTCCACCCCCCTCCCCTTCGGTCACCAGCTTGCGCCACCCACCTCCCCCTCCACTTCCTCCCGGCCCTATGCCGAGCTTGTTGGGTCGCTGATGTATGCGATGATGTGCACTCGTCCCGACCTCGCCTATCCCATCAGCGTCCTTCCTCGGTTCGTCGGCTCCGGCCGCCACACTGAGGACCACTGGGCTGCCGCCAAGCGGGTCCTCCGCTATCTCCGTGGCACCAAGGATCACGCCCTCACATTGGGTGGATCCTCCCCTCCCCTTCTCTCTGGCTTCAGTGACTCCTCCTGGGCAGACTCCCAGCCAGAATGCCGCTCCTCACAAGGCTATGGCTTCACGCTCGGCAGCGGGCTTATCAGCTGGCGTTCCACTCGCTCATCTCCCGTCGCCCTCTCCTCCTGCGAAGCTGAGCTCTATGCTGGCACCATGGCTGCGCAAGAGTCCCGCTGGCTCTGCTTTCTTCTGGCAGAGCTTGGTGCACCCCAGCGCTATCCCACGCTCTGGTGTGACAACGCTAGCACTATCCATCTCACCCAGGACCCCGTCTTTCATGGTCGCTCCAAGCACATTGAGCTCCGCTATTTCTTCATCCGCGAACTCGTCCAACAGAACCTCATTGCTGTTCGCAAGATCGCTGCTGAAGCCAACGAGGCTGATATCTTTACCAAAGCCCTTCTTCGCCCTGCCCACTATGCTCTTCTCCGCCTTATCGGCCTCGCTCCCCCAGGCGCGCCTTGATTCAGGGGTTGCTTCCCTCAAGCCTTTCCGCATCTCTGCATGTTAAGGGGTTGTCTTAGAATCCCTCTCCTCTTGTAACCTGCATATATGCTATAGGACAGGCTAGAGTTAACCACCCAATCTTAGTTTGGGTGTACAAACAGGGGTAACCCAGTTTGTAGGTTGGAACCCAACCTTGGTCCAATTATTGGACCCCAAAAGGTTGGGTTGGGTAGAATGATTGGCCCCCTCCAATAATGTTGGCCCAACCCCAACTTGGCCAATAGTATTGGACCCCACCAATAATCTCCCAACCCAACTTCTTGGTTGGGGTCCAATAATGTCACCTTAGGTTAGCATCCAACCCCATTACTATGTATACCCCCATGATTCTCAATCAAGTTATCAACTTCATTCCTAACTCCTTCTCTCACACGTATGTGGCCACGGGAGACGAATCTACTGCTGACAGCAGCGCTGCGAATGGTGACAGCCGCACGCCCACACGCAGAGGTCCAATTTCCTCTGTCACGGCCGATGCTACTTCGACCTGAAAGCGCGCGCGGTTGGGGATGGATCCACCGTATCGGTCCGTGCGCTTGTTGCTGCTGTCCTGTTGGGGGGGGATGAGAGCAGAAAGGGGTTGGGAGATGAGGAAAGAGATTGAAAATCGATGGCCATACATGACAGCATGCAGATCCCATCAACACCTTTATTTATCCTGTTTCCTCCGTTGCTCTCCCCACCTTGAGAAACCAGTCAATCAGGTGCTTACTACACATTCGCACCATGCAGCTCCACAGCATCAAACCCCTTCTAAGGCGCCTCAAAATTCAAATCCAGACTCCATCCCTGGCCCACACAAACCCCCTCCCTTCCCCACCTTGAGGAACTGCTTTATAAGGTACCCAGCAGCGCCATGCAGCTCCACACCGGCAATCCCTCCCCTTCTGAAGAGTCTAGTTCTGACAGTCAGAACTAGACTCAATTGTTGGCCCACACGAGCCCAAACAACGCAGATGATCCCCGCACACTCCCCAACCCCACCTTAAGGAACTGCTCTATGAGGTACCCAGAAGCGCCATGCAGCTCCACGCCATCAAACCCGGCCTCCATGGCGTTGCGCGCCGCCACGCGGAACAGCAGGACAGCTGCGCGGATATCCGCTTCAGACATGGCGCGCGGCGTGAGGTAGTCGTGCGCGCCCGTGTGCGTATAGACCTTGTCGCCGGATGTAATGGGGATGGCGGACGGCGCAACAGGGAGGGCGCCCCCCGGCTGGTAGTCTTCGTTGGGGAGAGAGAGGGGGACGGGGGAGGGGGAGGGGGAGGGGGATGGGGAGGCGGGGGGAAACGGAAGGGCGGCAGGGATGTGGGGGGGGAGGAAGTGTTGGTGGTTGGTTCATGTTCAAAGCGTGATGCCTATGATAGCAGTATGGATGGATGGCCGGCTGGCGCATGGCGCAACCCAGTGGTAAGCTCGCATTCTCCTCCCCGTTGCTCACCGGGGTGTGAGGCCGGCCCTGCCAGTGCTCACCGGGGTGCAAGGCCCTCCCCATTGCTCCTCGGGGTGCGAGGCGCGGCCGCCGCGCCACTACCTCAACCGCGGCAGCAGTCAACCACGAATCATCCTCCCCAGGAGTGCTCACCCTGGTGTGACGCCCGGCCGCCGTGCCAGAGCTGGCAGAAGAAGACGCTGCCTTTGTCCTTCACGGCTTTCACAATCGGCTTCCACGCCTCCACCTGCTCTCGCGTGTATATCCCCGGCACGTTCGGGTACCTGGGGAAATGGGGTGACGGGGTGAGGGGGAGACGGGGTGAGGGGATGAGGCAGTGGGGGCAGGGAAAGCAGGGAAAGCAAGGGATGAGGGGATGAAGCAAGGGAGGCAAGGTTTACGGGATACGACTTTCAAAGCACCTAAAGAATCAGCATTTACGCCTCCACGTGCTCGCGCGAGTATATCCCCGGCACAGAGGGCAGGGGCAGGTGAGTCAAGGCGAGCACGAAGGCGAGGGTCACCCTCCAGAAATCGGCTTTCACGCCTCCACCCTCTCTCCGCACTCACCCGATCGCTGCTCTCTTCGCACTCACCCGATCGCTTCCGGGGAAACAACCGTGCCTTCCGTGATGAGCAGCTGCCCAGGCACCGTGCGCTGCACGTAGTATGTCGCCATCGCGGGTTGCGGAACGAGGCCCAGCGCGCGGCACCGCGTCATGGGCGCGTACACGAGGCGGTTCAAGAGGGAAAAGGGGCCCATCTGGTACAGCGTCAGCAGCGGGATCGTGTCGGCGGAAGCGGAAACGGCAGCGACTGTGTGCGAGGAGTCCACGGATGCGCGGGGGGAGGCGGAGAAGGCGCATTGGCGGCGGGGAGAGGCGGAGATTGTCGTAAATAGCTGCTGGTTGGGGGAATGGAAGAGTGGGGAGGTCGGCGGAATTGAGATTGGTCAGTCCAGTAGTTAGTCCGAGGCGAGGGTTGTTGGAAGGGTGCTCTTAGAAGCTGTATTCGAATGGGTACGAAAGGTTGCAAAAGGATTCCAATAGAATCCAAAGGATGCAATTGAATCTGAGTAAATCTGAGATGACGCCTAGACGTGCGCGACGAGACGATCTTCGTCATGACGAAACAAACTATCCATGATGTTGCGTCATGGTGATGCATTTGAACCCAGCATCAATGACGCAACATCCAATATATATGATATATCTGTACCATCGCAATGACGAGTGAATGCACTCGGGATCTCTATTCAGATACCCCACCTGCTTGTGAGGCGCCTCAATACCGCATGAACATAGACGACTTTTGAGGCGCCTCAAAAGAATGCACTCGGGATCTCTATGTAGATACCTTACCTGCTTGCACTCTCCTCCCCACGAATCACTCCGCAGCGCGCCGAATATAGAGGAACAGCGCGACGCGACGACATGAGGACGATGCGCAACGCTGCTGGTGAGACCGCGATTTCCCGCGACGACGACTCGCGACGCGCACGACGCGGCAGACATGATTGACCGACTAGGAGGGCCCCAAAGCGCGCGGCGTGCTGGCGAGGCTCATGGCCCAAAATAGGTTTTAGCTCACTCTTTCAAATCAGGGTGGCATCCCCTCCGTACCCTGACTGGAAGGGTAAAGTTTCTCGTATACTGATTGTAGCAGCCTAAAAGTTTTGGTATACTGATTTTGGCAAGATAATATATGTCGTACATTGTTTCCTTCCTAAGCATAAGATTGTACTACTACAACAATTACTTAGTTATCACTAAAGTGTTCTGCACTGCACCTACAAGCGTTACTACCAACCAAGTTAAATAGAGGGCCCTACAGAAGACACTAGTCAATCAACATCTGCTGCACTAGCTACTGCCTCGTCTGCAAACTGCTTAGTGCTGCTGGCCTTCATGCCGGAGATCTCTTTGGTGGATCGCCTGAGCTTCTCCCCGCGGAATATGGCGACCACCTCATACCAGTCAATGTCGTACTGCAGGAGGGAGCACCGCATCAGGTGCTCAAGTCTTGTGACGCCGAGGCTGCTGCGGTCCCACGTCTTGATCAGGTTCTGCTTGCTGAAGCCGCGCTCACATTCAACCGTGCTCAGTGGTAGTACGGCGACAGACTGCCACATCCGGACGATGTTGGGGAACGACGCATGCCACGCCTCGTCGCGCAGCATGTTCCCCAGCGCAAGATGAAACTCCTCGCCGTTGTGCTGGGAGAACATGGTCGAGAGACGGGTGTGGCTCCCGGGACTTTGGCGAGGCCAAACGCTCGCACGGGAAAACGGTGCCGACAAGAAATTCAGGGGATGGCTCACGCGCAGGCTGAGAGATAGGGACGCTATAGTTCTCAGCCAGCCGAGGTAACACACCGAGAACGGAGAGACCGTTCCTGGTGCTACCAGGCGGATCAGGCTCAGAGGCAGGCATTCGGAACAACAAACGAGAGGGAAACGAGAGAATGGCAAGAGCCTGAGAGACCCCTCGGGAATCACAAAGCCCAAGGCGCCTCAGGCAGCAAGGTTCCCTCGCTGGTAGGGAACTGCACGGCAATGGCTGCAAGGCCACAGTGACTGCCAGGTGGTGGAAACGACAGCACGTGGCGCGCAATTTGCCTCCGTTGGCAGTGCGCGATGTTGCGTGACGCACGGAAACTGGGTGCGTTGGCTTCAATGTCGCTCAACGGACCAATCGTAGGTGTGCGGTGCCATCCGCCCTGAATGTACGTTGGCGCGCCAGTGGGTGTATCCAACAAATGGTCCAGTGGGACAGTGGAGCATTTCGTCGTGGCGCGGACTGTGGCGGAATCCGCGGTACGGAAAAGTTCCGGTAAAAGGGTAGTTGAACCCCTACCCTGATACAGTCAGTGTAACTGGAAAAGCTACAAGAGTACTTTTAAGCGTATTCTGATTGCACTAGGGTAAAAAACTGCATACCCTGATTTGAAAAGGGTAACTGCCAAAAAGTGGCCTATGAGCAGGGCAAAAAGGGTAAAATACCCTTGAAATTTGGGCCCTGGCGAGGCTTTGATACAGGACGAGCCCCCGATGCGGGGTGGTGGATAGCTTTTGCGCTGCTGGTCAACGTTGACGAAAAGTGCGGAAGATGTTATCCAAGCAAATCTGAAATGCACAAAAAAAAGTCGAGATATATTGTGGAAGGTATCAAGGTATCAGGGAGGTATCTAAATGGAATATGCTGAGGGATGGCCCCGGGTTGGTTTGGTAGAATTCCAAGCCAAGCCATGGGTTTGACGAATTACGAAATGGACACGAGGGGAAATGCAGCAAACCGTTCTGTTATTGCAATGAACCGTGCTCTCTCGCGGTATCTCACAAATTCGTAACATGGGATCCACAAAACAAACATGATTCGCTGCAGAATAGCTCGGTACAAATTCAACGTTCCGTGTACTTGCGCCGGGGAACTTATGGATGCCCAAATGTTAGTAACCTTGATCATCAAATTCTTGTTGCTCGTGTGTCATTGGAGTTTTTCGTTTGCATCACTACGCAATTGTTGCTTCAGTGGCACTGCACTCGCGGCAAACCAGGTACACATACAACTTGCTCTACCATTTCCCCCCCAGCCCAAACCAATCATATACACTACCACTACACCCTCCTCATCTCTCGGCCTCCTCTTCCAAGAAAGGGTAGTCCGTGTACCCCTTTTCTTGGTCAAAGGTGTAGAAGGTATCCCTATCGTATGGATTCAGTGGAGCATTTAGGGTAAAACGACGTAACAGGTCGGGATTGCCCAGGAATAGGCGACCGTATGCCATCAAATCAGCTGCTCCGCTGGCAATTGCAGCGTTTCCAGACTCGCGCTGAGGGGGGTGGGATGGGATGGCAGGGGGAAGAAATACAAATGGTTTCACTACCGTACCATAGGCTAAAGGTTGGCGACAACTAGACTTGTAAGATGCCCAGGTTTGTAAGATGCATCACCACTTATCAAACACCACATATGTCATACCACTCCACCCATATTCCCTCGGCACTCACCGTGTGTCCGCCTGCTTTGATGAGCGTGCTGCTGAAGGCCCGGCGAAATGGCTCTAAGGACTGCAAGCACAAGGGAGGAGCACAATGGAGTTGCTGATTCACGTCATAGAGAGAGAGAGAGAGAGAGAGAGAGAGAGAGAGAGAGAGAGAGAGAGAGAGAGAGAGAGAGAGAGAGAGAGAGAGAGAGCGAGAGAGAGAGAGAGAGAGAGAGAGAGAGCGAGAGAGCGAGAGAGAGAGAGAGAGAGAGAGAGAGAGAGAGAGAGAGAGAGAGAGAGAGAGAGAGAGAGAGAAAGAGGCACAGGGAACACCTGAGGCGCCTAAGAAGGCCTAAAAACGGACAGCGCTAGGAAATGGAAGCACAAGATGCAGCACAGAACGAGATAAGGCATAGGGGAGCAATGTTGTACAGGTTGCTCTTCCGCACAAGCAACAAACACAAACACCCACCTCCCCGTCGGCGATAGCCTCCCCCTCTCGGTCGAGCCGCGCCTCTATAAGGTGCAGATACAGCACCCCCAGATCATTAAGGCACTGCGTGGCATGCACGTATGTGGCCACCGGGGTAGAATCCACTGCTGAGAGCAGCGCTGCAAACGGCGACAGCCGCACCCCCAGGCGGAGTGGCCCGATTTCCTCTGCCACGGCCGATGCGACTTCGACCAGGAAGCGCGCGCGGTTGGGGATGGATCCGCCGTACCGGTCCGTGCGCTTGTTGCTGCTGTCCTGTGGAAAAAATGAGGGCAGGAAGGGGGTGAGGAGGAAGGGGTTGAGGCGGTGAGAGGGTGAGAGAAAAGGGATTGGAATTTGGAATTTGAGACATCGAACATCGGTCCTGTTGTATCAACCCCTATCACTCCTTTCCGTCGCCCTTCCCGCACCTGGATGATCAAGTCAATCTAGTCAACGAGGCACCGACGAGACCCAACGTCCCATCGACCCCATCAGTTCATTGATAAATCCTTCATGACCCTCGCCCTCGCCCTCGCCCTCGCCGTCGCCGTCGCCGCCACCCCACCTTGAGGAACTGTTCAAAGATGTATCCATTGGCGCCATGCAGCTCCACGCCGGCAAACCCCCTTCTGAGACGCCTCAAAAGTCGCAACTAGACTCCGTCAACACACACCCCCCGCAAGCACCCTCCCCGCCCCACCTAGTCAATGAAGCACCTTGAGGAACTGCTCAAAGATGTATCCATTGGCGCCGTGCAGCTCCACGCCATCAAACCCCGCCTCCATGGCGTTGCGCGCCGCCACGCGGAACTGCAGGACAGCTGCGCGGATATCCGCTTCAGACATGGCGCGCGGCGTGGGGTAGTCGTGCGCGCCCGTGTGCGTATAGACCTTGTCGCCGGATGTAATGGGGATGGCGGATGGTGCGATGGGGAGGGCGCCGCCCGGCTGGTAGTCTGGTGTTGGGGGAAAGGGGGAGAGGAAGAGGAAGGGGGTGCAAGGATGAAAGGGTAGTCGTGCGCGCCCGTGTGCGTGTAGACCTTGTCGCCCAACGTTATGGGGATGGCGGACAGAGCGACGGGGAGGGCGCCCCCCGGCAGGCAGTCTGGTGGAGGGAAGGACAGGGAAGGGGTAGGAGGGGAGGGGAGAGGACAGGGGGAGAGAGAGAGAGAGAGGCAATGACACTGCGGCATCCTGAGCAGCCTCTTCTCGTTCTCACTCTGAGGTGTGTTTTGGGTCACTCAGAGCAACTCGAGACAGGTCTCAGCAGCAGTCGATATGGTCTTCCCTTCTCAGCCTCTTCTCACTGGGATGTGAGGCTCTGCAGCCGTGTGAGAGCTGGCAGAAGAAGACGCCCGTCTTTAGGAGATTCTGAAACTCGCCCTTCGTGGAACTCACTATCGGCTTCCACGCCTCCACCTGTGATAAGACGGATTTTTGAATCGACAAAAAAAGCAGCTCTTCCCTCCCCAGTGCTCACCCTGGTGCGACGCCCGGCCGCCGCGCCACTACCTCAACCGCGGCAGCAGTCAACCACGAATCATCCTCCCCAGGAGTGCTCACCCTGGTGCGACGCCCTGCCGCCGTGCCAGAGCTGGCAGAAGAAGACGCCGCCTTTGTCCTTCACGGCTTTCACAATCGGCTTCCACGCCTCCACCTGCTCTCGCGTGTATATCCCCGGCACGTTCGGGTACCTGGGGAGATGGGGTGACGGGGTGAGGGGGAGACGGGGTGAGGTGGAGACGGGGTGAGGGGGTGACGGGGTGAGGGGGTGACGGGGTGAGGGGGTGACGGGGTGAGGGGGTGACGGGGTGAGGGGGTGACGGGGTGAGGGGGTGACGGGTGAGGTAGGGGAAGCAGGGGAGGCAAGGGGGAGCTACTCTTCTCTCTCTCATTTGCCTCTCTCCGGCGATCTCTCCCCCAACTCACTCTCGCGGCGCATTTCCGCGCCTCTCTCCCGACTTACCCAATTCCTTCCTGCGCAACCGCAGTGGCTTCTGAGATAATCAGCTGCCCGGGAACCGTGCGCTGCGCGTAGTAGATCGCCGCCGCGGGTTGCGGAACGTACCCCAGCGCGCGGCACCGCGTCATCGGCGCGTACACGACGCGGCTCGAGAGGGAGAAGGGGCCCATCTGGTACGGCGTCAGCAGCGGGATCGTGTCGGCGGAAGCGGAAGCAGCGGGGGGAGTCGGCGGAGAGTCCGCGGATGCGCGGGGGGAGGCGGAGAAGGGGGAGAAGGTGATTTGGCGACGGGGAGAGGCGGAGATAGGGGTGGTTAGCTGTTGGTTGGGGGAATGGACGAACGGGGAGATCGGTGGAGGTGAGATTGGTCAGTCACCGGTGCGAGATGAGGGTTGTCGAGACGGCGCTTTGGAAAGCTGTATTAGAACGAATACGAATGGATACGAAAGGGTGCGTACGAAAGGGAGCGAATGCATGTATTATGACACTGATAAATTGAATGCACATGGATTGAAAGACACATTCACGCATGGTGGCGATTAAGTCGTATTTTACTCCGTTCTCTTCTTTCTCTCAATGCAGCCATGATATCACCTGCTTGCACTCTCCTCCCCACCAACTACTCCGCAGCGCGCCGGATCTGGACGAAGAGCGCGACGCGACGACGTGAGGAGGACGAGGCGGAACGCTGCGCGAGAGACCGCGATCTCCCGCGATGACGACTCGCGACGCGCACGACGTGGCAGCCATGATCGTCCGAACAAAAGGCCGCGCAGCGCGCGGCGTGCTGGTGAGGCCCGAAGCGGCTTCGATCTTAGGTAGACCAAGAGGGTCCCCCGGCGGAACGAGGTGGCGGAGAGCTGTTCCACTGCTGGTCGAAAGTGCGGAAGATATCATTTCAAGCAGATCTGAAATACAGGACTAGATTCCTTGCAGAAGGTATCAAGCAGGTCTGAACTCTGGAATATGTATGCCACTCTGGAATATGTATGCCCGGTTGGGAGGAAGGTCTCGAGGAGGGCAGCCAAACTTCGGACACTGTTTCCTCACTCCAAAGTGTTACAAATTGCAATTTATAAACATCGCTACACACGCATTCAACACTTTGCCCAAGAATCGTGCGTGTACAGCACAGTACACTAAGATGACCAGACTCTTGCGATTGGCTGCCCGAATCACGGGCTATGTTGGTGCGTCTTATCCACATCCACACATTCGAATCGGAGCTCTTGGCTGGACATTGTGCTGTACACCATTCAAGATAGACCGCTATGACATTCCCAACGTTGCCAAAGCACGCATGCACTTCACACACTGAGTTGAAACAATAAAACTGGTGGTTTCTAGCACGAACGCCCCCAAAATCCACGGCTTGTCCTAAATGGGGCAGATGAGAAGTCTATTCTAGCTGCAACCCACCTCTTGCACTGCTCCCCTACGCCTAATCGACACAGCATTAACTTCCAAATTGACTCAACAGTCACCTAATCAGCATCCCCCACCCATTGCTCCCGTCTCCCCGCTTGCAGGTACTCCCACACACACAGCCCTCCCACCCCAATGCCTGCTATGCACCGTCCTCCAGCCTCGCTGCCTAATCAGCATCGCCCAGCCCATCAATCTTGTCTCCCCGCTTGCGAATCACAGCATAGCCTTGCACCATGGGGCCAGCCTTGCAACCCTTCCCTGCTCCCCCTTCCCCCCTCAACCTGGCGTTAAACTTGTGAGCCGACCAGACGGGAGCCTAATCAGCATCTCCCAGCCCATCACTCCCATCTCCCCGCTTGCGAATCACAGAATAGCCCTGCACCGTGGGGCCGGCCTTGCCGCCCTTCCCTGTTGCTCCTTTCCCTCCTGCTCCGCCTGCTCCTCCTGTGAGCTCAGCATTGCGGCGCAGAACAGCGCCAGGGGAGGGGTAGGGGCGCTGCTGGAACAAGGGACCCTGTTGGGGTTGGTGGGGGGGAAGCGGGGGATGAGGGAGTGAGAGGGGAGAGGGAGGAGAAAGGGATGTTCCACGGGGAGTGGGGAGGGGTAGGGGCGCTGCTGAAACAAGGGACCCTGTTGGAGGGGGGTGAATGGGGAATCAGGTGGAGAGGAGTGGTGGAGAGGAGTCGGGGGAGAGGAGTGGTGGAGAGGAGTTAGGGGAGGGAGTGGTGGAGAGGAGTTAGGGGAGGGAGTGGTGGGAAACGGTTCAGGGGGAGACGGGCAGGAGGCAAGGTGCAGGAGGCAAGGGGCAGGAGGCAAGGGGCAGGAGGCTGAGAAGCAACAAGAGGTCCCAAACCAGAGGTACAAGTGAAGGCATACCGTTGCAGTGGTGTCTGCTGCTCGCGGTTGCAGTCCTTTAAGCCCCACCGCCCTTGAGGTTGGGTAGCCATGGAAACGAGGGAGGGATTGAGTGAGGGAGAGAGGGAGGACGAGGGGCGGGAATTTTCAGTAGTCAGGAGGAAGGAGATGGGTGACACAAGGACCCTCCGTGAGTTTTCAGGGTCTGATACGCTCATGAATCAGATCCTCTCTTAGACCAGGGAATATAAACTCAAACCTTAACTGCAGAAAATTCGAACGATAGGTTGACGTGGACCGTGGCACGTAAGTTAAGACAAGTGTCGACAGAATGAGCTCCTCTAGACTAGAGGATGGTCATTCTTAATATGAAGATGGGTCAATGGGATCAATATCGTCCTTGTCGTCTTCCCCTCCTGCTGCAGCTGCTGCCGCTGCTGCTGACCAAACCAAGCTGCACAAGACTAGAATTCTGACTGAACAAGCACTACTAGACTCACCATCCGCCCCGGGGGGCATCCGAATACGAAGACGGATCCATGGGATCAATTTCGTCCTTGTCGTCTCCCCCTCCTGCTGCAGCTGCTGCCGCTGCTCGTTTCCGCTGCACCTTGCGTGTTGCTGCTGCGTGCGCACCAGGCCTGGGCACGCCGCCGAGCCTGGATACAGGTTTGAGAACCGGCAACACAGAAGGGTCAGGGAGAAGGGCCGGTTGTGACAGTCTGCTGCAAGCTAATCCCCAGGCAAACTGATAACCGATTTGTAGGCCTGCTCACTGACAGGTGAGTCACAAGTGGGGCCCATACCTGTACCCATGCCAACCGCTTCTCTTCTCTTGTCGGGCATGGGCATGGGCATGGGCATGGGCATGGGCATGGGCAGAAGCAGAAGCAGAAGCAGAAGCAGGAGCACAAACGCTCGCACGCACCTGCTCTTTGGTTCTGCTCTTGGACCTCCCCCGGCCTCCCTTTCATTCCCTAGCCCTTCCTCTGCCCCCCCTGCTGCAGCTGCTGCGGCTGCTGCAGCGACTGCTCCAGATGCTTTCTTGGAACCACCAGGAGGCACCACTATACCTAGCTCCCTGGGGGTGGAGAACAGGAAAGGGAAAGGACAACCGGGAAGGGGTGAAAAAGAGAACTTTTGAGTCGACTCAAAAGTCACCTCGTTACAATGGCACACGACAGCACCAGGAGGCACCACTATACCTAGCTCCCGGGGGGGGGAGAACAGGAAAGAGAAACAAAAACGGGAAGGGATACAAAAGCGAACTGTGGCATAGGGGAAGAAAGCAGCAAACCGCTAAAAACGAAAAAAAAAAAACAAAAAAAGGCATATATATTCATATATATATATGAAAAGAAAGAAAGAAAGAAAGAAAGAAAACCACAGCAACCAGGTGTAGGGTTGTTGTAGCAAGGTAAAGAGGGGAGGGGTGATCGAATCGAACCTCGTGCAGTGGTTGCAATAACCCCACGATTGCACCAACGCCCGGCCCCACCCCTGGCAACCCGCACACCGCTTGAACTTCACCCCACCACTGCCACCAGCAGCACCAGCAGCAGCACCACTGCTACTGTCATTCCCATTCGCCTCCCCACCCCCTCCTCCTCCAGCTCCTCCTATGCCTGCGTTCTGTGCCTTGGGTCGCTCCCAGCTGGTCTCGTTGGTGGTGGAGTTATAAAAGTACTTATGGCCTGGTGGTGAGGAGGGAGGGGGGCGGAGATGAGGGAGGGGGGAAGTGGGGAAAGGGATGAGGCGCCTGAAAATTGGTGGTGGAGTTATTGAAGTACTTGTGACCTGGTGGTGAGGAGGGAGGGGGGGGGGGGGGGGGGGGAGGGGGTGGTGGGGGGTCGGAGATGAAGGAGGGGGAAGCGTCTGTGTGCCCCTGGTGACCCCCCCGCTTGCGCCTTAGGTCGTTCCCAGCTGGTCTTGTTGGTGGTGGAGTTAGAAATACTTGTGGCCTGGTGGTGAGGTGAGGGGTGGGAGGAAGGACAAGACGGAGGGAGGGGAACGGGGAAAGGGATTTTGAGGCGCGTAAGAAGACCCAGTTGTCGTTCCCAGCTGGTCTCGTTGGTGGTTGAGTTATAGAAGTATTTGTGGCCTGGTGATGAGGAGTAGAGGGGGTGGAGATGAGGGAGGGGGGAAGTAGGGAAGGGGATGAGCAAGAGATACCAAAGCGACCTAAAAAGAGGCACTTCTTTTTCCCAGCTGGTCTGGTTGGTGGTGGGGATATAGAAGTACTTGTGCCCTGGGTGGGTTATGAGGAGTGCAGAGGATAATGGGTGAGTGCAGGGGAGCTAGGGGAGGGGGAAGGGACCGTTTAGGCGTCTCCGAGGAGGCACTTGTTGTTCCCAGCTGGTCTCGTGGGTGGTGGAGATATAGAAGCACTTGTGACCTGGTGGTAAGGTCAGGTGAGGAGTGGGAGATTGAACAAGAGGGAAGTGGGGCGGACAAGAGGGAGGGAGGGAGAGGGTGGGGAAAGGGATTTAATGCCGCTGCCAGTTCCACTACCAATTCCACTGCCAATTCCACTGCCAATTCCACTGCCAATTCCACTGCCAATTCCACTGCCAATTCCACTGCCAATTCCACTGCCAATTCCACTGCCAATTCCACTGCCAATTCCACTGCCAATTCCACTGCCAATGCCGCTGCCAATTCCACTGCCAATTCCACTGCCAATTCCACTGCCAATTCCACTGCCAATTCCACTGCCAATTCCACTGCCAATTCCACTGCCAATTCCACTGCCAATTCCACTGCCAATTCCACTGCCAATGCCGCTGCCAATTCCACTGCCAATTCCACTGCCAATTCCACTGCCAATTCCACTGCCAATTCCACTGCCAATTCCGCTGCCAATTCCACTGCCAATTCCACTGCCAATTCCATTGCCAGTTCCACTGCCAATTCCACTGCCAATTCCACTGCCAATTCCACTGCCAATTCCACTGCCAATTCCACTGCCAATTCCACTGCCAATTCCACTGCCAATTCCACTGCCAATTCCACTGCCAATTCCACTGCCAATTCCACTGCCAATTCCACTGCCAATTCCACTGCCAATTCCACTGCCAATTCCACTGCCAATTCCACTGCCAATTCCACTGCCAATTCCACTGCCAATTCCACTGCCAATTCCACTGCCAATTCCACTGCCAATTCCACTGCCAATTCCACTGCCAATTCCACTGCCAACTCCACTGCCAATTCCACTGCCAATTCCACTGCCAATTCCACTGCCAATTCCACTGCCAATTCCACTGCCAATTCCACTGCCAATTCCACTGCCTCCTCTCTCCCACCCAGGGAATAGCAGTGCGAGCAACCCATGCCAAGCCAACTTCCCTCCAGCCCACAATTTCCCCTTCCTTTCCTTCCCTCTCTCCCTCTCATCCCTCCGTCCCATCCCATCCCTCCCTTCCATCCCTCCCTCCATGCCATTGAACCTCCCAAGTAACCCACTCTCCCTCCCATCCCTTCATTTCCCCTTCCCTCACTCCCATCCCTCCCTCCTCACCCGATTCAGCATCCATAGCCTCCTCCCACCCAGGGGGCAGAGGTGTGAGCACGGGCGGGGGAGGCGGGGGGGGGATAGGTCTCTTGGGCGCGGTAACCGGCGGCTCCCACTGGCTCACGCCTGTGTGCTCGTTGAAATAGTACTTCACGCCTGTTGCCTCGTCCACCCCCTCGTACTGGTAGGTGGGGTTGGGATGGAAGGGAAAACGGGGCGATCTTTACTTCTATTCCTGGGAGCGGTAACAGGAGAATCCCACTGGCACTGACTCACGCCTGTGTGCTCGTTGAAATAGTACTTCACGCCTGTTGCCTCGTCCACCCCCTCGTACAGGTAATGGGCGGGGGTTGGGATGGAAGGGAAGACAGGTCGATATTTATGTATTCCTGTGGACCTGGGAGCGGTAACCGGCGGGTCCCACCCACTGGCTCACGCCAGTCTGCTCGTTCAAATAGTACTTCATACCTGTTGCCTTGCCTCGTCCACGCCCTCGTACTGCCAGTCACGATGGTCACAGGGGAAGGATAAAGGGGAACATGGTTCAATAGTTACACTTTGATTGCTATTGAGAAAAGCGTGGGTCCAATTGGTTCACGCCCGTGTGCGTGTGACATGGCGTGATGTACCATTGAAGCGAGGTACTTCACGCCTGTTGCCTCGTCCACGCCCTCGTACTGCCAGTAGTGGCGGTGGAGGGAGTTGGAATGGAAGGGGACTCGATATGATTCTTTTTCCTTTTCTTGACCTCTATTCTCTATTTTAGATTGTGACGAAAAACGCAGGGCAGCTTGACAGAGTAAATGTTTTTTTTTTTTTCTTTTTTTTTCCTCCTTTTAATCTACCTTTCGGCTGGGAAATCGTTGTGGCCAAAAGTTGTCCTCTAGCTTCCAGGCGTCTCAACAAGAGACCAAGTGTTAAGACATGTGAATGTCTAGCAGCGAGCTCACCCAGCCAGGAGGAAGCGACGATGCAGGAGCGGCCCCAGTAGCAGAAGCAGAGGTGGCTGCTGCAGCATTATTACTACCACCCGTTGCTGTACCCCCTTCCGCATGATTCTTCCCAGCACTTCCCCCACCCCCACCACCACCCCCACCCTCTTTGAGAATGCCTCGAGCTCGCAACCGCTCCCGCAACGCTGCTGGCAGTGCTGACACTCCTCCCCCTCCCCCTCCTTCTCCTCCCCCTCCCCCTGCATCTCCCGCTCCTCCTCCTCCAACCCCTCCTCCTGACGCTGCTCCTGCCCCAACTCCCTCGTCCCCTGTTCTTGTCGTTGCTGCTCCTGATATCTTTCCAGTTCCTTCCTGCTGCTCTTGACGCCGCTGCAGCTGCTGATGCTGCTGCTGGTGATTTTCCCCCTGCTGCTGCTCCTGTTGCTGCTGTTGCTGCTGGTCTGAATGCTGTTCGCGTCTCTGGTGACTGAAATCGGGTTCAGGGACAAGCGAGAACATGGGACGGCGGGCAGCGTGAGGAGGAGGCACAGAGGCACTCCCACCAGGCACACCATACCCGTTGCCTATATCCATATGCTCCTCATACTGCTGCTCCTGCTGGTGCAGCCGCTGTCCCTGCTGCCCCTGATGCCCCTGCTGCCCCTGCTGGTGGTGCTGCTGCCGGTGATGCTCGTGGTGGTGCTGTTGCTGTTGGTTGTGGTGGTCCGTGTCTCCTCTCTCTCGCCTTGCTGCCACCTCTGCTCGGTGCTCTGCAGTCATCTGTAGCAGCTTTCCCTGGTACCATGCCACACGTAAGCACATGCACATGCACATGCACATGCACATGCATATGGATATGACACCAGCACACGCACAAACACATGCACAGCCACATGTGTATGTGTATGCACATGCCCATCCATACCAGGGTCGAGGCCATGCAATCTCATGCCATGGCATGGTGCATAGATATACACATGCACAAAGTGCAAACACCAAGACAGACAAACAACCACCAGAGCAGGTTGACAGGTAAGGGACGAACAGGGAGGAGCAGGCAAGGCAGGCAGTTGCCACTCTTCAGCAGGCAGGCAGAGTCTCTTTTGAGTCGACTCAAAAGGCAGAGTCTCCCGATGTATCCATGTCCCCCGATGTATCCATGTCCCCCGATGCTGCCTGGCTATTGTCTCGCACGCGTGTGGCAAGCACAGGGGAATAGAGCGGGTGGGGCTGGGAGGGCACCTTGAGGGCGTTGGGGTCGTGGCGGGAGTTGAGCAGCGACTGGGGGTCGGCTGATGTATCCATGTCCCCCGATGCTGCTGCCTGGCTGCTTGCACACGCGCGTGGGCAGGGCAGGGTAAGAGAGTGAGAGAAGCATGGAGGGAGGGGATTGCTGAGTCTGGCTGAGACTCGCTCGCACTCATAACGACGGTCCACGCCCCCCCCCCCCCCCCCCCCCCCTCAATGCCGTCTACCTGCCTGCCTGCCTGATTTTTGAGGCGCCTCAAAAGGCTGCCTGGGTGTCTGGTTGCTCTCCCAGGGGAAGAGAATGGGACCACTTCCTAGGCAGTTAGATGAGGCGCCTAGAGAAACGGTGCTGCTTGCTGGTGAGGAGTACTAAGCTGAGCAAGCAATCAAGCAGCATAGTCGTCGTCACGTCACGTCACGTCACGTCAAGTCAACCGGCAAGAACGGAGCAAGAATCTGGCTGGCACGATATACATAGGAAAGGAAAGGAAAGAGTAAGAGGACTTTTGAGACTCCTAAGGGCGGGTCCAGCGCGTACGTTTTCCGTACATTACAGTTCATCCAGTGCGGTAATCTGTATTGCGTCACGGTTCAAAACGGTGCAATTTTAGAACCATTGTGCACCGTTTGATATCTTTTCAAACCACAACGAATGAACTGTATAGTACCTGTAAACGTACGCGCTGGACCCGCCCTAAGCAAGCAACAGTCCAATGACCCACGAGTCTCAGTCCAATCCAATGACCCACGAGTCTCAGTCCAATGACCCACGAGTCTCAGTCCAATGACCCACGAGTCTCAGTCCAATGACCCACGAGTCTCAGTCAGTCCAATGACCCACGAGTCTCAGTCCAATGACCCACGAGTCTCAGTCCAATGACCCACGAGTCTCAGTCCAATGACCCACGAGTCTCAGTCCAATGACCCACGAGTCTCAGTCCAATGACCCACGAGTCTCAGTCAGTCCAATGACCCACGAGTCTCAGTCCAATGACCCACGAGTCTCAGTCCAATGACCCACGAGTCTCAGTCCAATGACCCACGAGTCTCAGTCCAATGACCACGAGGTCCAATGACCCACGAGTCTCAGTCAGTCCAATGACCCACGAGTCTCAGTCCAATGACCCACGAGTCTCAGTCCAATGACCCACGAGTCTCAGTCCAATGACCCACGAGTCTCAGTCAGTCCAATGACCCACGAGTCTCAGTCCAATGACCCACGAGTCTCAGTCAGTCCAATGACCCACGAGTCTCAGTCCAATGACCCACGAGTCTCAGTCAGTCCAATGACCCACGAGTCTCAGTCCAATGACCCACGAGTCTCAGTCAGTCCAATGACCCACGAGTCTCAGTCAGTCCAATGACCCACGAGTCTCAGTCCAATGACCCACGAGTCTCAGTCAGTCCAATGACCCACGAGTCTCAGTCAGTCCAATGACCCCTGCCTGTCTCACCTTGCCCCACGAGCCAGAGCTGCTTGTGCCGCCTCCTCCTGCTCTTGACCGGAAAGGAGGGGGGGAGACGTATGGGCGGACGGATGGATGGATGGAGGGTTGGAGGGATGGGGGGATGGGGGCGATGGGGGGATGGGGACAAGGAAGATGAGGGGATAGGAAGAACCACGGCGGATAACAGGGGAACGAGGAGAGGGAGGGGAGTAGAGGGAAAGAAGGATAGGAAGGGGGAAGGTAACAGACTAGCTTGCAATGCCCCAACCTAATCAAGTAACTAGAAGGCAACCATAGCTGCCCATACCATGCCATACCTAACCTTTCTTCTATTCCCTTTCCCCTTGACTCGCACGCGCCCGCACTTCTCACCATCCTTCAACGCTTCCCCCTGATCCCCCTCTCACCATCCTCGATTCCTCCTCACACTCGCTCACCTTGCACCCTCTCCCCCCGTCCAACCAACCAACCCACCTGGTCTTTCAAAACAGCGAATTGAACGGCCTCCTCTAGACCTCTCCTCCCCGCACTCCCCATCCCCTCGCTCCCCCATTGTCCACGTGGCACGCCCCCATTGGCTCCAGCAGCACCTCCTGCCCCCTCCGCGCCCCTCCCGCGTTCTTTCTCCCCGCCTTCCCCTCCTTCCCCCCCTCTCCCGCCCCCCCCCGTCTCCCCCAGCTTCCCCTCTTTCCCCCCCTTCATCCCCTCCGCCAGCCGTTTTATTCGCCCTGGCAGCCGCATCAATATCCCAGCGGGACTTCTTCCGCTTATTCCCGCCTTCCCCCTCCCCCTCCGCGATCTCCCCGCGCGCCCCCTCGCCCACCACCACCGCGACCACCACCCCCGTCCCCGGACCCAGGGCTCCCCCGCTTGCGCCTCCAGGCCCACCGCTGCTGCTGCTCCTCCCCAGGATACCTGCACTTCCCCCCTGCTGCGGCTGTTGCTGCGGCTGCTGCTGCGGCTGCTGCTGCTGTGGCGGCGGCGGGTGCTGTTGCTGCGCGTGCGCCATTTGCGGCGGAAACTGCAGCTGCATCTGCTGCGGGGGGAACTGCGGCGGAAAACCTCCCCCAGGCGCACCCGCCTGCGGGGGAGGTCCGCCTGCGAAGGGCGCACCAGGGGGGCCCGGGGGAGGTCCGGGGGGGCCGGGGAGAGGCCCGGGGGGCCCGGGGGGAGCGCCCCCCGGAAAGCCCTGCGCGCCAGGGGGGAGATGCATCGGCGGAAAGCCTGGGCGCACCATCATTGCCCCCCCCATGGGCCCTCGCGGAGGTATTACCCCCGGAGATCCCGAGCCGTGGGGACCCAAACCAGGAGGACCGGAACCAGGTCCGGGAATAGGTCCGAGATGAGGTCCGGGATGACGTCCGGGAACAGGTCCGGCACCGGGTCCGTGCATTCCCGGCATCGGCCGTGGTGGGCCTCCTCCCGGTCTGGGCGGCGGCGGAGGCGGCTGCAGATGCGGGGGAGCAACCGGCACGGGCATTCCGCCGGGGAAGGGCCCGGGGCGCGCGAGGGGATCCCGCGCAAAGGGTGGCGCGCCCGGGTTTGGCGGAAAGCCGTGTGGGCGATTCGGGGAGAACTGGGGAGCGGGGGATTGCGGGGGAGGACCTAAACCGGGGGGTCCGGGGGGGTTTTCGGGACGTGCGCCGATAGCTGAAGTGGGGCCGCTGCCTCCCGCCGACTTCATCCCTGCGCGATAACGATGCAGCGCGAAACACGGTCAGTCGCGACATGGCATGGCATGGCATGACATCCCTTGACATGCGTTTGCGTGGCATGGCTAAACGACGCGTGTCGTGAAAAATGGAAGCATAGAAGTAGGAGGTTCAGCCGCACGTGCATTGCTGTGCTGCCTCGTCCTGTTCTGCTATCCCGTCCTAGGCAGAAGCGAGAGCCAATTAACGAAGAAGGAAAAAAGAGCTAGCAAACATAGTGTCAACTCAACGCGTAAGAACAAAATTCAGTAGAAAGAGAAGACTAACGGAAGGACGCCGCGTGTGAAGGAGGGAAGGGAACGGGTGAAGATGCTTACAGGCGGGGAGAGTCATCTCGCGACCCCTACCACGTCCCGCCATGGCTTCTGAGCCTATTTAAGCCCTCGCCGCTTTTTTGTCCCTAACTCCTGGCAAGACCTAATGCGCGTCGGCCAGCATTAAGGTAAGATCCGTTTTGGTAAGCTGATTACTAAAGACTATGTGACCTTGTCTTGTACTCGTTGGAGATTTCTGGAACGATTGATCGTAACATTATACATAGGTACACGGAAAGAAAGATTCGAGACCAGTCAAAACAGCATATATAACGATGCTATTATCACATCACTTCAATGCACCATCAAGATGCACAAACTCATAATATTTAATTAAAATATATATGAAATTTTTATTTTTTTTGGATTCGTAAAGGTGTCCTAATGATAGGCACCGTATGTGCTTCATTAACACCACTCGTAAATCATATCTAGCTGCTTATTGCCACTCGCTCTCACTCGAGTTCTCCCTTTACAGTTATCAGACCTGCTTATTGTGGAAGCGCTATTAACCGAGTCAGCACGAACCTGGTTCGTTTGGATAAACTAGGCAAGAGGCACGTCCACATACCGTAGAGGCTCGAAAGTTTGTTTGTACCTATTGAGCCCTCAGCAGCACTTAGCAATCGACGCTCATCAGCACTTTTTCGTACACAACATCCAGCCGTGAACGTGTTTTGTTAGGAGCAGCACCCAAACTTGCTGCTTCGGCAACCCGAGCCTCTTCGGCAAACGCCCAAGGACAAGCCGCGACTACAAGAACTCGCAGGGCTACAAGGGCAAGTGGACGGCACAGATTTCATTTCTCATAAAGTCCCTGCAAATCCAACCATTCATACGCATCCATGCCCCTCCTCCACCAGATGTGCGTGCCGCGTCGTGTCGTGCTCGAATTTGCGCCTCGCACTTGCACCATCCGAGCCATTTCTCTCCTTCCTCACCTCGCAGTTGCTTGCTATGCTCCCCCTCACGAAGCATACTGCAAGCAGCAGCTTAGCCAACCCCCCATCCATCCCTTCGTTCGTGACATACCCCTAGCATACCCTCTTTTCCCCACCTCCCAGTCCGTTCTTCCTTACGTCCTCCACAGCCCAGAGCCTGGCAGCCTTGTTCTCCGTGCACTGTAATCAATTCTCAACATGGAAGTTAGACATTTCACGCCGAGTCTCACCATGGCCGAGCCGAATGACGTCTCACCATGGGTCTTGCCGCTCATCACATACGCATCGTCTGGCGCTTAGCGTAGTCTCGGTTTCTAAGGCGCAATTGCCGCCGGCCCCATTTGCTGCTAACAGCGCTTACCCGCCTCAGACTGACCGCCGCGCCACCTTTTAATCACCCTACGCGTGGCCATAACGTATCTGCCCTGCCTCTGCGTGTTCTAATCACCGCCTGATCAATTCCCCACTTATTCCGGCTCTAGACCATCCTCCGTACTCCGCTTACGCTTCTTCCAGCCATGGTTAAGCTTTTATTCTTCGAGCTTCCGCTCGCCGTAGTCGTTGGCATCGCGGCAGGCGCTTTCCTTCTCGTCTCCTCCATCGTCTCATGCGTTCTCTACCTCTCCTGTCTGCATCGCCGCCGCGGTAACCTCTCCGCACGCCCTCCGCTCCTCCCCGCGAAAGCTGGTTACATGAGACAGCCTTCGTCAACGGGGGTAGCGTCTAGTCCGGGTACATCCCCACGAGTCAACAGCCTGGGCGCACCGAACAGCGCATACCCCTCGCGCGGGTCCCCGAGCCCGCATGTGAACAGCGCGTACCCCTCGCGCGGTCCCCCCAGCCCGCATGTGAACGGCGCGTACCCGTCTCCGCGCCCGCAACACTTAGCGCTTCCTCCCAGCAACACTCCGCCGCAGTTTCCCCCCGATCATCGGCGCGCGCTCGCTCCCTATCATGTTCCAGCGGGCGCAAACACCGCCGTAGGAGCCGCCGGGGGAGGCGCCGCAGGCAACGCTCCCGTGGTGCAAGAGTCCCCGTCTGCGCGAAAGCAACCGCAGAAAAGCCCGTCTTGGGAAGATCAGCTTAAAGCGGGGATGTTCCGGAAGATGACATTAGAGGAAGTGCGCGATGCGACGGGATGGTTCAGTCCGCGCAATTTCGTCGGCGAAGGGGGTTTCGCGGTGGTGTTTCGCGGGAAAGGTCCCGGGGACGTGGGGTGGGCGGTTAAACGGTCGAAGCGGCCGCTTTCAGAAGGATCTGCCGGTGCTCGCGATTTCGAGAAAGAGGTGTTTCTGATTTCGCGACTTTCGCACAAGAGCCTCGTGCGACTGCTGGGTTACTGCATGGAGGCGGGCGAGTATATCCTCGTTTATGAGCTCGCCGCTAACGGATCGCTCGGTTCTGCTCTTTCCAAGTCCCGCCCGCACTTGACTTTCATCCAACGCTTAGACATCGCTATAGGAACAGCGGAGGCGCTGCATTACTTGCACACGGCGGTAAACCCTCCTATAGTGCACCGCGATATTAAGCCCGATAACATTCTTCTGGATCAACACTTGAACGCAAAATTAGGCGATTTCGGCTTGCTTAAGAGTATGCTAGGAGCTGGGGACTCCGCGGGTGCAGCTACCTCTGCTTTTACACGCGTGGCTGGTACACCCGGTTATCTGGACCCGGACTATCACCGAACATCGAAGGTGACTACTAAAGGGGATGTATACAGTTTTGGGGTGGTGTTACTGGAACTGTTCACGGGGCAAAGGGCCATAATAAAGCTTCCGCAGAAAGGGGCTCAGGCGGGAGGCGGAATCCCCGCAAAGCGGAATGGAGCGGAGAAGGAGACGGCCGACGCAGCAGCAGCGGGAGGCGGAGAAAAGGGTGGGGGAGGAGAAGCGGGAGGGGGAGGAGCGAAAGATGACAATGCAAGGAAGCAAGACGAGGTGGAAGAGGATTACAAGGCAGCGGCAGCGAAGAAAGGAGCACACGGATCGGCTCCTGCTCCTGCGCGGGACAATGCCGGTCCCGTGCATATCTCCCACTGGGTTGGGCCGTACGTGCAGGCGAGGGACGTAGCGGCTGTAGCGGACAGCCGTCTGGGCTGCGACTACGACGCGGGAGCCTTGCTGCGCGTGCTACAGGTGGCGCTACAGTGCGTGCGGCCCACGCGGGCACGGCCGGAAATGGCTGCTGTGCTGAGAGTGTTGGTGGATGCGAAGGAGCAGGCGGGTAAGGCGCGGGGGGGAGAGGGGTTGATGACTGTTGGAGAGGAGGAGGGGGAAGGGGACGAGGGTGGGGTTGCGGACAGGAAGGCGGAGAGCAAGGGGAGTGGTAAAGAAGGAGCGAAGGCTATTGCCCCGCCTCCTGCCTCCCCCGCCGCTGCAAGGGCTGCTGCAAGGGCTGCTGCAAAGGCTGCTGCTGCAAAGGCTACTGCGACGCCTCCTGCTGCTGCTGCTGCTGCTGCTGCTGCTGCTGACGGTGGTTTGGGTCCTGCTGGTGTTGCTCCTTCTGCTGATGGTAACTCAGTGCCAAGTGCACCTGCTGCCAACACTGCAAGAGAAGCTCCTTGTACTGCGCGAGGGGATCAAGTGGTGGTCCCAGTGCATGACCCCATGCAAGGGACGCAGGGGTTGGGGGTGACAGATGAGCTAAAGACAGCGAAGGGAAGTTTGAGAAATGAAGGACAGGATGGCAAGCACGTGATCGTGGAAGTCCCTCCCTTGCAGTTGTAATGTGGTGCTCTGGGTAGCACAGTAGAGGCGGTTTAGGTTTAAGAAGTGTCTTAATAGGCTGTTGCACGCAGGTAGGCAGGTTGTTTTATGTCTTCTACTCTCCCTTAACTTCAGCTACCTACTATTTGTTTAGAACAGTGAGGTTGTGCAACAGTAGCTGGTAGACAGGTATGTTTGGCTTCTTTGTGCTATTTTATTTATTGGGATAACAAGGATACCCCACCTCACCTTGCTGCCAACTGATGCGCCTCCCCCCATCATGAGGCACGCACACAACCAGACAATAAGAGTTGTGGTTCTTATTTACCATTATACCTTGAACCTTCCCTTGTATCTGTTGTATCATGGGAGGAGCAGGATACTGCAAGCTCCCTCATGGATTTCTTATACGTTAGCTTGCAACGAAGATATATCCAAACACTACCATGTTGATGGAGCAGTGGAGAAGGATTTTGAGCCTGCTTAGGGTGCAAGTGAAAATGTTAATATTATGAATCCTATTGATGTATTTAGACGACGTGGCTGTTGAGAATGTTTTTAAGCATGTTGAAGTCGTCCATATGAAGTGATGATTTGATTCGGATATGACCATCGCAAAGCCATTTGGTCCGTTGGATCAAGAAATATGACCTGCGTGATTGTGTCGAAGCTGGGTCCCAAACCCCAAATTGGGCCATCCGCAGCCAATCTGTTCGAGCAGCAGCCCCACTGGCCGAGGATGCGCTCCGCAGATCCCCTCTGTCCGCGCAACCCAGACATCTGTCGTGCGCATCCGCCAGCCCGCGGAGATCCCAGCCCGAACCGTCGTAGCCTGTTGACCACTCGACCTACATCTATCGAGCTCACGCGAAAACGCAACGTCGTGTTTCGAGAATCCGTCGTCCGCTTCGCGCACTTCGTGACTCCCCGACTTTCTGGTAATATTTCGCGCTCGCGGAAAGACAAAAGCGCGAATCTTTGTCGCTGGTGCTTCCTCTTCCGCCGCTTGGCCCACCTTGGGATTGGTTGAATTCGAAGCTCGGGCTGGTCTGTGCTGTGTTGAGCCCATGCTGTGACGACCCAGTGGGAACTGGGAAAGAACAGACACATGAAGCAGCCAAACCATTCCGCAACCAGCTCAACCGAAGTCAACATTCAAATTTGTCAAGCCAGGCATAAAATCCCAAGGGTGTGGCAAGCAGCCTATCTCTCTTTCCCAGTCAATCTCATCTTCCATAAAAGCTTGTTTCTCCTCCGCTTCGCTCTCATCCTGCTCTTTCTCGCCTCTGCAACCTGCATATTCCTTCATCCGTGTATGGCTGGAAGCGCTTTTACGCTATCATTGCTGGTTTCTGTCGATCGCCTGGCAAACCGTACGCGCGGACGTCGTCTCTCCTTGGCAAAGATTTTCGTCGTTAGCAACAGCGACCCCGCCGTTAGTCGCGATATTTCCGCCTTCAGTAGCGATTTCTGCGGTCACCAGTAACAATTTGGCCATAGTTGACTATCTGCCGGCTAACGATTCCCATAGACAACAACGATTCTCACAGTTAGCGCCGATCTCCGCCGTTAGCAACGAGTTGCGCCATCAGCAGCTTTTCGTTCGACAGTTACAATGATTTTGCCGGCTTGCGATTTTTAGCTGCAACAAGTATTTCCGCCGTTGGCAGCGATTTCAGCCGTCGACCGCGTTTTCCGCCGTCAGAATTAACGATTTCGCCACCAACAACGACTTCCACCATCTGCGTCAATTTCGGCCGTCAGCATTTTCGCCGCCGCGCCAACTTCTCCCTCGCGTCGCCATCCTTAGCTCTCCGTCAACCTCGCTGGTACGTTTCGCCGTTAATTTTTCTCCAGTGATATCAAATATCCCATGAGCGCTGCGATTTAAGATAACCATTTTTCTCCAATCTGTCAGTTCCTTAGCAATTGGCGTACCGATTCAGTTTCCCTTGAGCCTTTCACAGCTTCGTCGCTTGACGTTTGTTTCCCTTGCAGGCAATGTCACGCCGTGCTGCTGTGGCTGAGCGCAGCACAAGGCAACATATGCTGTGGCCCTGCCTGTTGCAAATTGTTCAATCCGCTTCTCCCCCACTCGCCGCTCTCCTTCGTCCAACGCACCAAATTGACGCCATCGGCTCTCCCAGCTGTCGTGAGCAGCCTTGTGATTCGTCGATGGGAAGGATAAGCTCGTTTCGCCTCTTACCTTCAATCCCGCTGCACCTCCCACGTCAACCTCTCAACCTTTCCACAGCTAAGTACCCCGCCCTTCCTCTCTTCTCCCAACCCCTGCCCGTGTGGTGCTTTTCATGTCGTGCTTGCACCATCACATTTATTTTTTCACTGCCCTCTGTCACACCCATGAGACCTCCCTCCCCCAAGGTAGCAGGTATCTTTTCTTTTGGTACAGCCTCAGGTATTTGTTTGAGTTTGGTTCAGCTGGTACGAGGTCTCTTGGGTGTGCCACTGCAGCAGTCCACTCATGCATGCATGATTCTTGCGCTTTCTGCACTCGATGCTCTCTATTCACTCTACTCGTCTTTGTTTATCTCCTCATTGCCTTCCCACTCCTCTGTTCCCCTTTCATTTTCCCATTCTCTCCTCCCGCTCCTCCCTTCTCCCCCTCTCTCCCGATCATTCCCCTCTCGTCCCAGCAGGTTGCTCACACGGGAGTGGCAGTGGCGGGGGACATGGAGTGCACAGGCAGCAGCTGCTCTCCACCCAACCAACCAACAGCTATGCAAAGTACCCCGCCCTTCCTCTCTTCTCCCAACCCTCACACTGTGTTGCTTTTCGTGTCGTGCTTGCGCCATGCATCACACTTATTTTGCATGTCGTGCTTGCGCCATGCATCACACTTATTTTTCATGTCGTGCTTGCGCCATGCATTACACTTATTTTTTCACTGCCCTCTGTCACACCCATGAGACCTCCAACCTGTTGTTTCTGCCATCTCGCACGCTGCACTCTCCATTCCTCATCTCACTCTCGCTCCCACTTCTCCCGCTGCCTTCACCTCGTTCCTCACCACCCTCACCTCCCCGCGCTCCCATCCCTTCCCTGCCAGGCGAGCCCAAGGCAAGGGGAGGGCAGCAGGCGAGCAGCAGGCGAGGGGAGCACAAGGGCGGGCAGCAGGAGCGCGTGCAGCGGGGCAGCAGCGCCGGCCTCATCAACGGTTGAGGTTGCAGTATCGCCCCTGCCACCACAATCCACTCAAGCCCACTCCCCATCAGGATCAGGTTCAGGTTCAGGTGCAGGTTCAGGTTGGTAGCGGCTCTTGTGGGGTTGTGGTTGGCGTCACATACAATGTCGTTACTGCTGCTGCACGTGTGTTTGACACTCCATTGCAACCCCTCTTACTTTCGGCTGCCTTTCCTTTCCGCCCTCCCTGCCCTCCCATCCCTACCCTTCCAGGCCTTTACAAGCCAGGGGGAGGGCAGCAGGCTGGGAAGGCAGCAGAGGGATCACTGGAGGAGAAGGGGAGGGGAGGGAGGGATGAGGCAACAGCCCTGTTGGCGGCTCTTCATCTGCCAGTTACGTCACTCTTCCTCATATTCGTCCCTCACCTTTGCTTGCTGCGAATTGTTCATACTCGCTGCTTTCTCTTTGCCTCTCAAACTTTCGCCACTGGTTGGGACTGGCTCACAAGCCACAGACTGTCCCCCTGACTTCAGGTAAGCCCCCAGGCTCAGGTTCAGGTTTAGCCTACAGCCCCCTCAGGTTCAGGTTCGGGTTTAGCCTACAGCCCCCTCAGGTTCAGGTTCGGGTTACGTCCTTGGGTCCCCTTGCAGTCTGTGCCTTGTGCTCCTGCCCCCTCCAGTGGCCGATCATATAACCCGCCCTGCCTGTGTGACTCGCACTTGTCAACTCTGCCAGCTGTCAACCCGCCCTTCCTCCCCTCGCTGCCCACTGACCAGCTCTGCGTGTGACTTGCAGGTGGAGGGGAGGGGCGGGGGTCAACACCGACGCTCCCTCACGCCCCTCCCTGGTGGCCGTGCAGGTAGCCGTGGGGATGGGAGGGAGGCAGCACTGCCAGTCGCTGCCACAAGGGAGAGTATCGGGGTGGGCTTGGCCTCTCAAGGTACGTCACCTCCCCTCTCTGCCCTCATTCCTCTCTGTTTCTCCTCTTCAGTTCTGCTGTCTCGTTTCTGTCAACTTCAGTTTTGTTTTGTTTTTATGGTCATGCCAACTAACTCACTGTCACTTTCCCCCTTTCCTCTCCCCCTGCCAGGTCACTTGGCATCGAGTGAAGACTGAAGCAGAGGAAGCTGAGTAGCAGACCGGCAGCAGCAGTTGCAGCAGCAGCAGCAGCAGCAGCAGCAGTAGCAGTGGAGGGCTAGAGGGCAGGCTAGGCTAGGTCGAGTCGTGAGCGAGGTGTGGTATGGTATCAGGTGAGGTATAGAGATCTAATCCCCTCCTCTCTTCTCTCCCCCCACCCCTTGAAGCCTGAGAGGGGGAGGGAGCACTCGAGCATGGGCGGGACAATGGCATCTCTCCTCTCGTTCCCCCTCCTCCCCTTTTTCACCCCTTGTTGCGGCCAGAGGAAGGGAGGGAGCACTGGAGCAAGGGCGGGACTCAGGCAACTCTGCTTTCATCCTCCCCCCTTCTCCACTCCCTCCTCTCCCTCCCCCCTCCCCACTTTCCAACACGGCTGAGGCATCATGGCGCTACGCAAGGTACGTAGAGGTAAGCAGGCATGGGGTGAAGGGGCATGAGAGGAGGGGGAAGGGGGGGGGGGAAGCGTGGGAGCAAGTGGGCAGTTCACTTTCTTAGGGGCAGTGGTGTCTTGTGGGTCGGGGTGTGGTGGGTGGAATCTGCGCGGCACGGCACTCGGTGCTCAAGTAACTAACCTGACGTTAAGGCTTAATGGGCACCGTCAGAGTCGACTGGCCGGCGACTCTGGTTCGCATCAGCTCTAGCTACGTCAGGGGTGGGATTTGAGTCTTGGGCTGGAAGCATTTTTCCACTACCACACCTCTCACCTCAAGGCACAGCCCCTGGGGGTGCTGTTTCCGAAGGGGAGTGGGCTGTCTGCTGCTCCTACTGCTGGCAGGTAAGGTGGGGAGGAGATGGGTGGGCTGTGTGGTGATGGTGGTGATGGGGTGATGGGGTGATGGGGTGATGGTAATGAGAAGCAGTGGGGTTGGCGGTGGCATATGATGAGCCATATGGCACTGATGCCACCCTTAAGCATGGAAGCATGATGCTCATGCTTGGCTGGTTGGGGGCACATGATGAGTTGCGCTAATGCCACCCTTAAGCATGGAAGCATGATGCTCATGCTTGGCTGGTTGGGGGCACATGATGAGTTGCACTGATGCCACCCGTGCATGGCAGCATGATGGTCATTCTTGGCTGGTTGGGGGCACATTATGAGTTGCACTGATGCCACCCGTGCATGGAAGCATGATGCTCATGCTTGGCTGGTTGGGGGCACATGATGAGTTGCACTGATGCCACCCTTTTGGATGGACAGCTCCAGTCCCGCACCTGGGACTGCAGCTCCAGTCCCGCACCTGGGACTGCAGCTCCAGTCCCGCACCTGGGACTGCAGCTCCAGTCCCGCACCCTGGGACTGCAGCTCCAGTCCTGCACCCTGGGACTGCAGCTCCTGTCCCGCACCTGGGACTGCAGCTCCAGTCCCGCACCTGGGACTGCAGCTCCAGTCCCGCACCTGGGACTGCAGCTCCAGTCCCGCACCTGGGACTGCAGCTCCAGTCCCGCACCTGGGACTGCAGCTCCAGTCCCGCACCTGGGACTGCAGCTCCAGTCCCGCACCCTGGGACTGCAGCTCCAGTCCCGCACCTGGGACTGCAGCTCCAGTCCCGCACCTGGGACTGCAGCTCCAGTCCCGCACCTGGGACTGCAGCTCCAGTCCCGCACCTGGGACTGCAGCAAGGTGGAAAAAAACGGTTGCGATAAAAAACGATTGAAAAGAACGATCGTTTTTTACGGTCAGGTTTGGGAAAAAGACGTCGTTTTTTTTGTTAGACCCAAATTTTATTTCAGAAAAAAAAAAAAAAAAAAAAACTAAACAAATCCACAGCCACCTACACTCTCTGGCAAGTCAGTGCTCAAGAGTTTCCTAGCCTGATTGCAATTAAGATAAAGTTACTGCTCATCACTCTCTATCTAACACCATAAATGTCACTAATGTCCCATGCGTTGGACCCCCCGCCCTCCTCCTCCTCCTCCTCCTCCTCCTCCTCCTCCTCCTCCTCCTCCTCCTCCTCCTCCTCCTCCTCCTCCTCCTCCTCCTCCTCCTCCTCCTCCTCCTCCTCCTCCTCCTCCTCCTCCTCATCCTCATCCTCATCCTCATCCTCATCCTCATCCTCATCCTCATCCTCATCCTCATCCTCCTCCTCATCATCGTCGTTGTCAGCCGAACGCTTCTTCTTAAGCTTCTTGGTCGCCTTTCCCTTGATTCCCTTTGTCACCTCTTTCTTCTTCCTCTTCCCGATGCTGCCAAGAGCTTCCCAGTCAATCACGCAATCGACATCACCTTCTTCCTCTTCAACCCGTGGTTCAGAGCCTTCAGCCTGTGGTTCAGAGCTTTCAAGTGCCGTCGTCGTCACTCTTTCTAGAGTGCTCTCGTAGAGCTTGCCTGCTGCAAGGTCTGCAAAAAAGTTGGCGCGCACTTCCTGCTTCTTGTCGAATGCAGCCCTCGAACGCCTACTGAATGCCACCGTGGTGACATCGATCATGGTCTGAGCGCTCAATCTGTTGCGATCCCGCCGCTGCACCCTTACCATCGCAGACCAGCATCTCTCAACTTCCGACGCAGTGATAGGCTGTGATAACATTCTCACAGCCAAATCCTGCAGCTCGGGGAGTTCCCCTCCATACATCGCCCACCAATCCGCATGTGAGAGACGTCCACTCTCCACGAGCATCGCTGCGGCCCGTGCATCTTCCCCCCCCAGACGACCCTCACCTCTGTGGTACGTAGCAAGCTGGGCTTGCAGCAAGATTCGGCCTTGCACGTCACCTCCTCGTGCCTGCAGCACCGCATTGACCCCTTTGATGATCTCGGGGTCGTTGCGGACTTCCATCGCGAGCTGGTTCTTCGGGTTAAGGAGCCAGCCGAATGCATGCATCGGGTTATGCAACTGCTTATCCCATCTGCGCACGATGATGCCCTTGATGGCCGCCAAAAACTTCGACCTCTTCTTCCCGGCGAGCACTTGGCTGTGACGCCTGAAGAATGTCGCTGCAAAGAAAGACATAATACCATTAGGCCACGAATCTGGTTTGGCTCAGGGTGCACTTGTAATGGGTGTTCAGCACTGCTTACCTGCTCCCTCTGCCGCCTCATTGACCGCCACGGTCGCCTCGAGCATCATCCCGTATATAGATCCCATCGCAAGAGCCCTTGTGTCGACTGCTCGTAGCACGTTGTAGATCGGCATCATCACTTTCTGCACTGATTTGACCGATTCCCAGAAGATATCATCCAGAAGGAGCTTCCGGATTTTCTGCGCATCTTTGGTCTTAGACACAGCCACCTCCTTCCATTGGTCACTGATGACCAGCTGACGGAGCTGTTCCTTGACCAGAACCGGGTGACCATGATCACCTGCGTGCCAAATCTGGTGGTACCTGGCCGAACAAGCTCCAGCTTGCTGAAAATTGTGCGAAAAAGGGCAACAGCGCTCGCACTTCCCTTGACCATCATCACGATGCGATGGACCTGGGTGAGAACTTTCTTCACAATGCCGATGTTACCCATGTCGTGGAGCATCAAATCGAGACAATGGGCAGCACAGTTGGTGAAGAAAATCGACGGGTAACCCTCACCGAGAATGGCGGCAGCACTCTTGTTATTACTTGCGTTGTCCATGACCACCTGAATCACCTTGTTGTCCCCCACCTTCACGATTGACGTCCTTATGAGATCAGCCAGGTATGATCCTGTCTTCTTCGACAGCTTGGAATCGACGATTTTGACAATCACTGGTGCAGTGTCGCTGTGCGCCAACACACACACCAAGCCGCGACTCTTCAAGCACGACCATCCGTCGACGGAGATGGTGCACGACGTCGTTGCCCAATAATCTGTCAAGGGCCGCACGAGTTCTTCTGTCTCTGTCTTCAATCTGGCGAGCAATGGGCCCGCGACTTTGTAGGCAGACGGGAGTGTGTAGGGTCTCCTAAAACTCACTAACGCGTTCAGAAAGTTCTGGACCGCTACAGATCTGTGGGGTGTGGTATGAATGCCAGCAAAGCATAAAATGAACAAGGTGAGGAGGAGCGTTGCAGCAGCAGCCAAATCATGATGGGCACGAATCTGCAGCAGCCATGAGATGAGCGCAATTACACCATACCAAATTAACACGTAAAATGGGGAGGGAAGAGGTCCACGGAAGAAACATGGCACAAGGGTTAAGCGCTTCCACTCACTCAGAGACCCGAAACGCCCAATCGTTTTCTGCCACCTCAGTCACCCATAGCAGATCGAGTTTTTCACGGCCCTTTTCGTCCGTCACGTCACGGATGTCGAGCTGGCGGCCCTTCTTAGGGCCGTTCCCCACCAAGGATGTTGAGCTGCTCGGATTGCCCGAAGACGTTGCACTCTTGAGGCGGAGATTCACCGCAAAGTCAGACTTACATACCCCTATATTTTTCGGCTGACCTTTCTCGATCCCTAAAATGTGGTCTCTGATTCGTGTAGCGCTTGCAGGAATGACAGTGGGTTTGTCCTTAGGGCAGTGAATGCACACATAGACGTCTTTTCCGTCTTTGTCAGTTACCTCCTTCACGTGGTCCCACATTTCAGACCGTGCTCTAGGCATTGTGGATGGAAAAGGGGCCTACTCGAACAAGAACTGGCTAGAATGGACGTGGAGTGGTGTGGTGGCTACTAATAACAACAGAAATCGTCCGTCGGCAAACAGCTTGCAGCTTTGCTGGGTTTCTGCGTTCACGCCGGGCGTTGGATACTATCAGAGAGATTGGGCGTGCTATGCGCTAGTCCCGTAGAATTCGTGTCGGACACCACGAATTCAGAAATTGCGTTACGGGAAGTGAAAAGTGGGTAAGACGTGGCAACACTTGGAAGTCACGTCGCAAACCCAAGTGATAAAGTTTCGCTGACGTGCAGCAACATAATATCATGTCGCAAATGCAACTGTAGTTCTTCGCAGCGCTGCAATCCTAAGTGCTCTAAGGCTTTTATGACGCGCGCGATAAAAGCGAGTGCAAACTTTTCCGTGCGAAACATTTTTCACGTCGCAACCAACCCTAGCATGACGAATTGATCTGTGCGTCAACTACCTGCGGTTCGAGGAACAAACAGAAGCAATACGGGTGTACAACTTGGCACGTCGCGTCGCACGCCCTGACATTCGAGCTTCGCACATGCACGAATTCTTTTTTAAGGGTGCGCGAAGTGGCCTCGAGGCTTTGCGAAATCAGCGAGAGCAGGGAAGCGAAGTGTTGGCATGCCGCGCCTCGAACGTGGGTCCCAATTTCTGCATGTCGCGCCTCGAACGTGGGTCCAAATTTCTAACCCACAATTCCTCTCTGTACTGGGTGGATTCACTTCAACCCACATGCCTTTGCTCCCTCATGAATCCTCCCGCTATCTCAACCCCTTGTGTTGCTTGTGTATAGAGTGAAAAGCTTCACTGCAAGTTGTCCGGTTTCCGGAGATCATCGTAACTGTAATTTGTGGTGCGAAATTTACGATCGAAAAAAACGATCGTTTTTTTTCACCAAAACACTACTAATCAATATTGTCGTTTTATTCCGTTTAATACGATCGTAAGTTTCGATATCGAAAAAAACGACAAAAAAATGAAAAAAACGTCGTTTTTTTGCACCTTGGACTGCAGCTCCAGTCCCGCACCTGGGACTGCAGCTCCAGTCCCGCACCTGGGACTGCAGCTCCAGTCCTGCACCCTGGGACTGCAGCTCCTGTCCCGCACCTGGGACTGCAGCTCCAGTCCTGCACCTGGGACTGCAGCTCCAGTCCCACACCTGGGACTGCAGCTCCAGTCCCGCACCCTGGGACTGCAGCTCCAGTCCTGCACCCTAGGACTGCAGCTCCAGTCCCGCACCTGGGACTGCAGCTCCAGTCCCGCACCCTGGGACTGCAGCTCCAGTCCCGCACCTGGGACTGCAGCTTCAGTCCCGCACCTGGGACTGCAGCTCCAGTCCCGCACCCTGGGACTGCAGCTCCAGTCCCGCACCCTGGGACTGCAGCTCCAGTCCCGCACCTGGGACTGCAGCTCCAGTCCCGCACACTGGGACTGCAGCTCCAGTCCCGCACCTGGGACTGCAGCTTCAGTCCCGCACCTGGGACTGCAGCTCCAGTCCCGCACCCTGGGACTGCAGCTCCAGTCCCGCACCTGGGACTGCAGCTCCAGTCCCGCACCCTGGGACTGCAGCTCCAGTCCCGCACCTGGGACTGCAGCTCCAGTCCCGCACCTGGGACTGCAGCTCCAGTCCCGCACCTGGGACTGCAGCTCCAGTCCCGCACCTGGGACTGCAGCTCCAGTCCCGCACCCTGGGACTGCAGCTCCAGTCCCGCACCCTGGGACTGCAGCTCCAGTCCCGCACCTGGGACTGCAGCTCCAGTCCCGCACCTGGGACTGCAGCTCCAGTCCCGCACCTGGGACTGCAGCTCCAGTCCCGCACCTGGGACTGCAGCTCCAGTCCCGCACCCTGGGACTGCAGCTCCTGTCCCGCACCTGGGACTGCAGCTCCAGTCCTGCACCTGGGACTGCAGCTCCAGTCCCGCACCTGGGACTGCAGCTTCAGTCCCGCACCTGGGACTGCAGCTCCAGTCCCGCACCTGGGACTGCAGCTCCAGTCCCGCACCTGGGACTGCAGCTCCAGTCCCGCACCTTGGACTGCAGCTCCAGTCCCGCACCTGGGACTGCAGCTCCAGTTCCCAAGCTGGTTCACAGAGGGTTCGGAACTGGGACCCGTTCCCAGGGGGTTGGGAACTGCGGCCGGTTTACGCGGCCGGTCTAGGGCAGCCGGAGACAAGCCCCTCCGGACCCATCCGGATTCCAGAAAATGGTTCCACACCTTTCATGTACGTAGGAAGTTTTTTTTCGGAATACTACCACATGACTCTTATAGTTTTGCGTAGCAACCAATACCACACAGACCTGCTTACAGCTGGCGTCCACTTGCTGCCTTAGCAGAGCCACCACCACAGGCTTGTTCCCCTGCTCCTCCTCTCCGCCCTTCTCCTCTCCCTCCCCGTCCCTCCCCTCCTTTGGCCTTTCTCTTCCCAACAGCACGTGCATCTCTGCCTGCTTTCCGAATCTCTGCTTTCTCATTGGCAGCTTAATTCAACGCTCGCACCTCATTGGTGGCCACAAACCCTAGTGCTGCTCCCGAGCCTAGTCCTATCCCTGAGCCTGTTACCGAAGCTGGTCCCAAGCCAGGATCATGATTCCCTCCTCCCTCCCTTCCGCTAGGTCCGGATTCGGTAGCTTCTGCTGGTGACACGCTGGCAGCCAGGGCGTCCACCTCCGCTAGCAGAACCGCCACGTCATCGGCAGCCTGGCACGCATGCCACATCAGCTGCCGAAGATCCTCGTGTCTGCCTTCCACCTCCTGAATGATCTCCCCTTTACCTGCTCGGACCGCTCTTCAATATGCGAGAAACACGTCAGCAGGTCCGCGACGGACAGCTGTGCTGACAGGTCAGCTTCGGTTGTCGGGGAACCCCGGCGTGAGATGCGGAGTGAGATGCGGCGTGAGATGCGGAGTGAGATGCGGAGTGAGATGCGGAGTGAGATGCGGTGTGAGATGCGGAGTGTCCATCAGGCCCTGCTTCTGGTACAGCGCGATATGCTCATGCTTGGCTGGTTGGGGGCACATGATGAGTTGCACTGATGCCACCCTTAAGCATGAAAGCATGATGTTCATGCTTGGCTGGTTGGGGGCACATGATGTGTCGCACTGATGCCACCCGTGCATGGAAGCATGATGCTCATGCTTGGCTGGTTGGGGGCACATGATGTGTCGCACTGATGCCACCCGTGCATGGAAGCATGATGCTCATGCTTGGCTGGTTGGGGGCACATGATGTGTCACACTGATGCCACCCGTGCATGGAAGCATGATGCTCATGCTTGGCTGGTTGGGGGCACATGATGTGTCACACTGATGCCACCCGTGCATGGAAGCATGATGCTCATACTTGGCTGGTTGGGGGCACATGATGTGTCACACTGATTCCACCCGTGCATGGAAGCATGATGCTCATGCTTGGCTGGTTGGGGGCACATGATGTGTCACACTGATGCCACCCGTGCATGGAAGCATGATGCTCATGCTTGGCTGGTTGGGGGCACATGATGAGTTGCACTGATGCCACCCTTAAGCATGGAAGCATGATGCTCATGTTTGGCTGGTTCGGAGCACATGATGAGCTGCACTGATGCCACCCGTGCAAGGAAGTGTGATGCTCATGAGTGGGGTAAAGGGGCTGAGTTCCCTTGGGTGGCACATGATGAGCCGTATGGCACTGATGCCACCTGTTGCATGAGAGTTTATGGTGGTGGTTCCCTTAGAACGTGTGATTGGAAGAGTGGGGTTGGGGTTGAATCACCTATGGGCTGAAACCACATTGGCTGAAACCACATCGGCGGGTGAGACGGATGGGGGCGCTGGCTTCAGTTCACTGGCCCCTGTTAACTGGCTTCAGTTCACTGGCCCCTGTTAACTGGCTTCAGTTCACTGGCCCCTGTTAACTGGCTTCAGTTCACTGGCCCCTGTTAACTGGCTTCAGTTCACAGGCCCCTGTTAACTGGCTTCAGTTCACAGGCCCCTGTTAACTGGCTTCAGTTCACAGGCCCCTGTTAACTGGCTTCAGTTCACAGGCCCCTGTTAACTGGCTTCAGTTCACAGGCCCCTGTTAACTGGCTTCAGTTCACTGGCCCCTGTTAACTGGCTTCAGTTCACTGGCCCCTGTTAACTGGCTTCAGTTCACTGGCCCCTGTTAACTGGCTTCAGTTCACTGGCCCCTGTTAACTGGCTTCAGTTCACAGGCCCCTGTTAACTGGCTTCAGTTCACAGGCCCCTGTTAACTGGCTTCAGTTCACAGGCCCCTGTTAACTGGCTTCAGTTCACAGGCCCCTGTTAACTGGCTTCAGTTCACTGGCCCCTGTTAACTGGCTTCAGTTCACTGGCCCCTGTTAACTGGCTTCAGTTCACTGGCCCCTGTTAACTGGCTTCAGTTCACTGGCCCCTGTTAACTGGCTTCAGTTCACTGGCCCCTGTTAACTGGCCCAGTTCTCCCCAAGGGGGAGGGTGGTGGTGGTGGTTGTGGAATGGAAGGCAGTGTGGGTGGTGAGAGGGAAGGGGTCTGAACCCCCTTGGGTGTGTGAGCGAGAGGGAAGGGGTCTGATCTGAACCCCCTTGGGTGTGTGAGCGAGAGGGATGGTGTCTGAATCGCCTTAGCTGAGCCAAAGGTTCTTACACCCAAGGGTATGTAAATGGAAATGCTTTCTTCGCCGCCACTCTACGTAAGTTGGCTGTCTGCTGCTCCTGCTGCTGGCACGTGATGGTGGGGAAGGGTGGGGTAAGATGGCGGGTGTGGGTAGGTGGAGGTAGGTGGGTAGGTGTGAGGATAGGTGGCTTGGGGTTGGGGAGTGGGTGGGTAGCCATGGGCTGGGTGGGTGATTGTTTGGTGTATCTATCTGGATATGTGTGCGGGTTGCATGGGTGGTTATGGGTAGATGGGCGTATGGTTGGGGGCAGGTTGGTGGATGGATGGTGGGGGGTCTGGGTGGGTGATGGCTTGTTGGGGATGGGTGAGTGGGTGTGCGGGTGGGTGAGTGACTGGGTAGGCTATTCTGTGAGTGTTCTGTTGTGGATGGGACGCTCGTGGGTGCGTGTGTGTGTGGGTATGTGGGTGAGTGGGTTAGTCGGTGGGTGGGTGGGTTGTGGGCTGTGTGGGTTACGGTACGATGCATGGGATGGGTGGAACCAATGGCAGTAGCAGCGGCATTTGCGGTGGCAGCGGCGGTGGGAATGGTTGTGGGAGTGGCAATGGCAGTGGCGGTGGCTGACAATGTGGTGGAATGTAAATGACAAGGCCATTCTGAGATTTTATGACGATAAGCGATGACAGAGACAGTGTTGTATATATTTGATTTGATTTGAACCCACAGTGTTACGTTTCATCCCATGTGTACACTAAGTAATGCTTAATTACATTACATGTGTCTGCCAGGAGAGTCCTCCACCATTGGACCAATCTTGAGTCATTATTTAGGTAGGCTTTCAAATGTTGGGGTTATCATTTAACTTGTGAATAACTCATGCTGTACGCGATACGAGCATACCGGTACGTCATGCCCCTAACTCGCCGTTCGTCCGACTTCATCCGTGCACGTCCCAAATTCCCCGTGTCACAAACCACCCACTATCTAGGCGAGAGGTATGGCGGGAAAACGAGTGTCTTCGGGATCGCGTCTCCTGCTCACCCAGCGGCGACTTCGCGCATCGGTCCCAACACGATTGTACGAAATCCGTTAAATCCCTCCGTTATAAGCAGCTTCGCGGGATTCGCCCAGTTTCGATTTTTCTCACTTGCACCTTGATCACCTCGCCGTTTCACCTCCAGATTCATCTAGTTCGCTTGCAAGCGTTTCCGTGCCTTAAATCGTCTCATCATCTCCGTCCCATCCACCGTATCTCCGTTGAATCCCGTTCATTGTGTGTAATTGTCTCAATCCCGTCCTGCCAAACCATTCAGTGTCACCATCGTCATCCTCGCTCTCGTGTCCATATTCGTCCATGCGACCGCATCTCCCGCCGCGATCCCCGCGGTGCTGGAGGTGGGTCGGGAGCTGCGGAACGTCAGCATGCCATTCGCCGGCCGTTACAACGCTAACGCTGACGTGGACGCTGACGGCAGCGCGGATGCTGACGCCAGACGCAGCAGCAGCACCGAGACGACCGCGAGCGCGGATGATAACGGGGACGTGAGGGAAGGGCGAATGTTCGGGCTCCACGGGTTAAGGCCGAGCATGGGTTACGAGATTAAGATCTCCTTCCCTGCAAGTGTGCGTACGGCCATGGACGGTGAATCTATTGCCAGAAAGTCTTTTGAGTTGGCTCAAAAGTCATCCTGCAAATGTGCGTACGGCCATGGACGGTGAACCTATTGCCAGAAAGTCCATGTTTTGCCCTTATGCAGACCCATTCGCACTTCTGTCCGTGGGTGCTCAACCGGTGCCACCCCAACCCACCCCTTTCCATCCCCTCCCACCCCATCCCACCCCACCCCACCCCATCCCATCTTGACCCACCCCAACCCATCCCACAGCTACCAGCGCGCTTCCATCTCGCCCTAATGGCCGTGGATCCAGAAGCCGCCACAGGCAGCGACCAGGAAGGTGCTGCCGGTGCATGGGGAGACCTGGCGAGCGGGCTAGCAGCCAAGTCCAGAAAGATGCTGGACACGGAGAAGGTCATTTTCAGGACTGACAAGCACTCCAACGTGCTGGTGAGTTCTGGGGATCTTCCATTAGAATGTATGCATTGTGTGGTTGCTTGCGGTAGCGGCATGCTATATTTGGGCCGACAGGTCAACAGCGGGGGTTGCCCGCTGGTTATAACACATGCGCTTGAGAGATGCAAGTGCGAGTGCCTGGGCCATAATTCTGGGCGGATGTGATCTTGTGTTAGCATGCTTGAATCCAGTCACTCGCAGGATGTCCATGTCAGGATGGCCATGTGAGGATGGTTATCGACAGCTTAAGTGTGCGTGTGCCATTGACAAAACGCTTCGTGATCCATATCTGTATTCATCACTTTCTCCCCTTCTTTCCGTCCTCCCCGTGCTCCCTTTGCTCCCGTTGTTTCGCTTGCTTGTTGTTCAGCTGCAAGGTCGGCCGCTCGTACCGTCTGCAGCAGTGCATGTGTGGGCTGAGCCCACAGCAGTATTTCCAGGGGGGAGTCGTGAGGGTTCAGGGGATGTGCTTTTCAATATAGGTGAGTGCAGGTGGTCTGAGCTCAGCCAGTTTTTGCTGGATTCCTCTATCATATGTGCTTATAGATGAAAGTGATCTTGAATTGCTGATGCTGTTTCTTACTCTTGTTCACAGTTTGTTTTTTTCCTGTTGTTGTTCCTGCCACGCCCTTTGGTTTCTGCGCTTGGCAGTCTGTGAGGAGCTACGCTTGGGCATACCAGTCAGTGCATTTCGCCTCGCTGCATTTGGCATAATTATACTTACCGTTGTGGTGTTTATCGCACACCAAGCCCCATTGATTTCGCTTGTTTCCCTTGCTGACTCCCTTTCCAGTGGTGGTGTAGGTTCAAACCGTCGTTTCAAAGAGAGAGTTTCTTGATACTGTGTGTCAGTCTTGAGCAGAAATGATCTAACAGCATGTGGTTGCACATTGTTCCAATATATATTTGAACCTGTTTGTACGCTTACACCTCTCATGCTATACGAGTACAATTGTATCGGAAGCAATGTCCAGTCCACCAACAAAACGTGTTTTGTCGGTTCCACCGAAGCAGACACTGCTCTTTCGTCCCAAGAATTTCGACGACCGGCAAGGCAAACTCACCTCTTGCTCACCACGCACGCGTCGCGCCCTGGCTGTCGGTGCCTCTGTTGCGGATGCTGCTGCCGACTCTTCCCTTCATCCCCTTCCCCCTTCTCCCCCCTCCAGCAATGCCCCCCACCTTCCCCGTGCGTGAGGCTGACAAGGAGATTTCCGCGTTTCCACCTGTGTTCCCCCTGTCTCGTCCAATTTATTGCACCCCCTCATCCAGGGGAAAGGTTTCGAAGTGTGCGCGGAGGCGCTTACGGTCTGGTGGATGCTGCGGGCATCACCCCACTACTCCACGTTTACCGCGGGGAGTCGTGGTTTTTCCGGGTCTGACGACAAATTGAGCTTTATTGACGAATGTCGCCGCCACTGAGCAATTTCAAGCTGAGGGTTTTCAGAAGCACTGGCGTAGTATAAAGTAGCTTGCCGCAAAAAACGAACAAGATAATACGCAAGCTTGAATTTTATTCCTCGTTTGCTTCAAGTTCTCTCCAACAACCACGGTTTACTAAATTGCTATTTCTCAAACTTCCATACGTCGGCTTGCAAGCTTTGCGAGTAACATCGTTGTTATCAGCTACAAATGGGTCCGCCACGTCAGCTCGACCTTCCCCAGACCCAGCCTTCGCATCGCTCGGCGCTTCAGTCGGAAGACTTGCCGTCGCAGATCGACATCCTGCAGACCATGATGGCGCGGCAAGGCCGGCCGATGCCGGGCCGGCAGCACCAGAAGCACCTTCACCAACACGCGACTCCGGCAACGAGTCGACGCGTGGCCTGCAGCGGCCTGGAAGATAGGGACGGGAGCGGCGCGTCGAGCGAAGAGGAGAGATCGCATTGGATGTTCGACGAGAGCAGCAGCAGCATCAGGAGCAGCACCAGTGGCGAGTACAGCACCGGGGACGCGCATTACGCACCGTGCATTCCGGAGGATAGTGGCTGTACCAGCCGTAACGGCAGTAACGGTGGTAGCGGCTCGGGGACATTAACGGAGGCGAGGGATATCGACATAGATGTGCCGGACTACTCGCTGCTGTTCAACGAGGCGCGCACGGCGAAGACGGAGGGGAAGGCGCCGCGCGTGGTGCCGAAGTACGGCGAGGAGATGGCGGACGTGCCGACGAAGCGAATCGAAGTGTACCTACCGCCGCCGGTGAGTTGCACACACGAAAAGGCACGCGACGCGCATAGCGGCCGTCCGAGAGCCGACTGACACGGTTTCTTACCGGCCGGGACAGACGCGTTATTTCCTGAATCGTTGTGGGAAAGCACTCATAGTCGCTTCGCAGCACGGCCAGCGCAGTAACGAATCACGGACATTGATGGATGAATCGACTGTGAAGTGATGGATGGATGGCGTGCAATCCGAACGCAGCGGTGATGGACTGCTGTGTTCTCCGCACTTGCGCGCAGTCCGTAATGACCCACCACCGCAGGTTTCACTCTCAAGAGTTCACTCCCATCTTGTTTCCTTTGTTCAAGCCTAAGCGTCTATCTCCTTCCTCTCTTTTCCCCACTTCTCCCTACCCGCTCATTTCAGTCCCCGCAAAGCTCGCCGAAGCATCGAACTGGCTGCTGCCTCCCGCTGTTTGGACGTCGGTGACAGCGCGTATGCCACTAGTCACTGGGGCCTATGCGTGGAGTAGGACCGAACCGCAGCGGTACAAACGAATGTTCCTTTGCGTTGTGGTTGGCTGATGAAGAGTTCAGGAGGAGACAAGGTTTTCTTTATGCGCTTGCATTGTTGCTTTATTTGCTCGTCACAGAATTTCTTGACAGATACGTAGGAATCCGGTCTAAGCTGTCTCGATTTGTTATCCCTGTACACGCGAGCTGCATATTACTACTGTATTGTATTTAAGTATCTTCGAGTACTGGCAAAACTGGCATTTCTTACAATGTTTAACAGTTGGGGTCCACTTTGGACTGCTACCGAACAAGACTATGCAACCCGTATTTCTGCCACTGAAGATCACAATACACACAACTACGCAATGCTACCTCTGTCACACGGCGCTTTCTTTCTCAAGGCGCAGTTTTGCAGCCGCCTCTTTCTTCTGCTCTTTCTCCAGCCTAGCTTGCTCGTTTTTCTGCTCTCTCTCCAGCCTAGCTTGCTCATTCTTCTGCTCCCTTTCCAGCCTATCTTGCTCATTCTTCTGCTCCCTCTCGAGCCTAGCTTGCTCTTTCTTCAGCCGCTTCTCCTTCGCGAGTTCCCTCTTCTTCCGCCTCTTCTCCTCCTTCTCTGCTATCCTCGCTCTCCTCCTCTCCTCCTTCGTCTTTATCTTGAATGCCCTCCTCTTCTCCCTCTCCTCAATCTTGTTCCTCCTCTTCTCCTCCTTTTCTTTAATCTTCAGTCTCCTCTTCTCCTCCCGGACTGCGATCCTCTCCTTCCTCTTCTCCTCGTTCGTCCTCAACTTCTCCAGCCTCTCCTCTTCCTCTTCATCGTCGATTTCCTCATTCGTCTTCACCCGTTCTTCCTTGTTCGCTGCACCCTTCACCTCCGCGGCAGCAGCGCGGCCAAATCGCCCCTCGTTCCATCCGCGCGCCACGGGGAACGGCACTGCGCGCATCACTGCGTCCGCCAGTGTGGAATCCGCGCCGCTCGCCGCCACCCCCAGCGCCAGAAGCGTCGCCGCCATCGCCTCTCGGCGCGTCACTTTCCGCGCTCCGCTCTCCGCGCGCTCCAGGCGGCTATTTCCCGCCACGTCCTCCGCCGGCGGCGCAGGCGGCTGCTCATCGTCGGTCGCGCCATTCGTAGCCCTCGCGCATGCGGGCTTCGGGCGCGAATGGGAGGCTAGGCGGCGCGGCTGGGGACGAGTCGAGCGGGGCAGCGCGCGGACTGACGAGGGAAGTCACGAGTCGAGCGGGGCAGCGCGCGGGACGGAAAGACGCCGGTTGGGCACAAGGAAAAGAAATGTCAGATTGACGGAGAAAGCACAGAATAGAAATGGATGGCCATGGACAAAGAATCGTCGTGTGACAGTAGAGTTTCAAGGACACGTTTGTTTATAGCAGCAGCCGGGACGGAGGGAAAGCATTGGAATGCCGTTAGTCCACTCACCATTGCAGTAGCCCGCGTTGGATGCACTCCCGAGGCGCGACGCGTCAGCAGAGAAGACACGACCCTTGGACGGGAGCGCGCACAGTCCAGCGACACTAGCGCGACAAGGATTTGCGACTGCAAGGATATCCATGGCGAAAAGTCACGATTGCAGGGAACTAGATAGACTGATAATAGAAGGCTCGGTGAATTATTGAGAAGCAAGAATGCCAATTTATAGGCACGAAGGGACTCTTTGGGAAAAGCGGACTTGGTGCTGCGGATTTCTGAGTGGACATGCGCGGATTCCAGGTGCGGGATTCTGGGCACACGCGGAATCTCTCGCGAGCGGATGCGGCACGAGATTGGACCAAAGGTGGTCAATGTGGTTGAAGATATTTGCGATGTCGAGTCAGGGTCCACGTCAGCGTGACGGAGCAGGAAATGCGGTGACATGATAGCCGGGCAGGGAGTGATTTGAGAGTTCGAGAAATTCGTCTGAAGCCTTATCTGGTAACTATACAATCTTTGAATATGCTGCACCGATGCACCCATAACTACTAGAGATTTATTGCATTAAGAAAAATGGTACAACGAAGCTGCCGCTTCCAGTTGACAAGGAAAACCAAATATGCCACATCATTCACCATCACTATCCTCCTTTTTCTCCTTTTTCTTCTTTTTCTTCTTTTCAGCTGACGCTGCACCTCCCTCCCCAGCTGTCCCATCTGCTTCCTCTTTCTTCTTTTTCTTCTTCTTGGCAGACTCTGAACCCTCAGCAGCAGCACCTTCCCCATCCTTCACTTTCTTCTTCTTCGGAGTGCTCTCCTCCCCGTCCTTCTTTTCCTTCTTCTCCTTCTTTTTCTTTGGGGTGCTCCCCTCCCCATCGCCCTTCGCCTCGTCCATCACAACATCCCCAGCAGCACCATCCGCAGCCCTCTCCTCTCCCTCCGCCCCCTCCCCGTTCACCGCCGCAGCCGCAGCCACATAATCCGGAATCGACCGAAGCCACTCGGCCGGCGTCTTCTCGTTCGGCTTTCCGTGTTTATCCAGCAGGCCTCCCGCAATAAGCTTCTTCTTCTGCTGCGAAACCGGCCCCAGGCCCCACTTGCGCGGGTACGTGTCTCGCTCCATCACCACTCGCTTGACCTTTGCCACCACACCATGGTCGCATGACGCCATGCCTGCTGTCGTCATCTGTGCGATAGCGATGGCGATTGCCTCTCCCTTGGTTGTCATCAGCACCACCTCCTCTCCCACCTAAAGGAATCCGAGCAGGACGGAATGAAGGGAAAAGTAAGAACGTGCAGAACATTTGACAACGTCAGCATGAACGCCTAATTATCCTCCTTCCGTCCGGTCGTCCCTCCCTCCCTCCCACGCAAAGAATAACGTCGTTCCTAGTATCGCAGCAGCCCCCAGAAGCATGACCTTTAAGTAGTCTCACACGTCCTCTCTTACCGTCCCTCCTCCTTCCCCCGCCACTTCCCCCTTCATTGCCCCTTCCACTCACCTCAATGGCGTTCTCGTATCGCAGCAGCCCGGGCAGCATGAGCTTCGCGCCGTAGCACAGCGCGTTGATTGCGCTGTCCTTCACCACGAGCCGCTTGAACGACGTCAGCAGCACCTCCAACGGCATGATCACGCGCCGCAGGTACGTCTCGTCGCCGTACTTGTCGTAACAGTACTGCGCGTCCAGCACGTCGTGCATGGTTACCATGTTGTTCATTTCGCCCAAAATGCCGGACCGCACTCGCCGCAGCTCCTGCATTAGTGGGAAAAGGTTCAAGAATCCGAGTTCAGGATCGATGAATTCAGGGTGTAAGGGAGTCAGCATAAATGCGCAGCATACAAGAGCGCGCGGAAAACGACACTGGAGTAGATGGAATAGGCGGCAACAAATGAGGGAAAAAAACGAGCAATGCCAGCAAAGAGAGAAGGGAAGAATGGGGGGGGGGGGAGGAGGGGAAAGGGGGGGGTGGAGGGATGAGAGAGAGGAGGCGAGAAAGGGGGGATGGAGTGGGAGAAGGGGGGGAGGGGAGAAGACTGCATGAAGTTTCGAGCGTTATGCGACACGGACCTGCATGTGCGCGCCGACGCCGAGCATCAGGCCGAGATGCACGCAGAGCGTTCGCACGTACGTGCCGGCTTCGACGGAGCACCAGAACACGACGAGGTTCCGCGCCGCGTCGTAGTCGAGGAGCTTAATCTCGTAGATCGTGCGGATGCGCAGCTGGCGCTTGACGGCGGAGATGAGCGGCGGGCGCTGAAAGAGCGCGCCCGTGAGCTTCTCTAACGCGCGCACGACCGTCGCCTCGCTGTCGACGGCGCTGTGGAGGCGCGCAATGCACACGTACTCCTTTCCTGCGCCCTGCTGCGCCTTCACGAGGCGCGTCGCGCGATCCACGCAGACGATCAGACTGCCTGACACCTGGAGGCGAATGGGAAAGGGAGGGAGGCACGGCGCGAGGATGGGGAAGGGAGGGAGAGTGAGAATGGGTGGGTGGGTGAGGAGGGGCGGTCAGGATGAGTCGAGCGGTACTAATTAAATGCGCAATGCAAGAACAACGGGATAAGACTGAACAGGCACACAGGGGTAAAGGAAACCACAGAGCTTGCATGGGGGTTCCACATTAACGAATCCAGCAGCACCACCATGCCGCTCAATTCACAGCAAAATAAGCCGCATCGCAACGCTATGGATTATCCCTGACCAGCAAAAGAGGAAAATGTTTCCATCCCATTCTAGCGAAAGCCATGCCCTGCATTGCTCGCGCATTTCAAGCTCCGTTGAGCTCCAAGCGCGCTGTGCGAGATTTCCGGTCCGCGCGCGTTAAACACAACCCCGAATCCCTATCCCACCCCTCACTTTTCCGAAAAAATCCTTCCTTGACAACACCGGTTCTCCCAAGCCCTGAAGGGACCCCAAGGCCAGCTAAGAAAACCCATGTCCGGTCCCCCCCCCTCCTCCCCCTCACTCGCTCGCGCGCTCTTCCGGAACAGGCAGACTCTTTTCGAACGCCTACACCCCGACTTTCCTAAAAATCACAAGTTGCACCGCATCGCACCCAACTGCACCGAGGCGCACCTTGGGATCCAGCGTGCCGCTGTGGCCCGTCTTGTCGACGCGCAGAATGCGTTTGATCCACGCAACCACCTCGTGCGAGCTCGGGTTCACGGGCTTATCCAGATTGATCACTCCGTATCGCACGTAATCCGAAATCGGGCGCTTGAGCGGCGTGTGGCCCATGGGAATCGGCGTGTAGTGCCCCGTGCGCACGTTCAGCTTGTCGTAGTTTTTCAGCAGCAATGGCCACTCGCTCGTGTCCATTATGTCGCGCTTCGTCGGCTCCGGCTTGATGAGGAAGTCCGTCGCCTGCTGAAGCGCGGCGAGCGAGGTTTTGCCGTCGGCCATTGGGACTAGCGCCTTCGACGCCTGCTCTTCCGCTTCCGCAGATTGGCCCTTTGACTTTTTCTTCTTCTCAGTACCCATAATGCTGTTGTGACTGACGCGCAAATAAACAGTTACCAAGACGTCAGCGGTCAGAATCGACAAATTTCGCGCCTGTAGAGACGCGTAGCCGAAAGGCACTAGGCAGAGCGAAGCCGAAGACCGCTAAGGAAAGAAGTCGAGAGAGGGGCGAATATGGGGAAGGGTACTCGAGATGATGGTAGTGAGTCGAGGAATAGAAACGAGCGAGGGGGAGGGGCTGGGATAGGGGGGAGGGAGGAGGGGAGAGGGGGTGGTATGGCGAGTAGGGAAAAGAGGAGGGAGGAAGGTGTTGGTGGGGGCTGGAGGTGCAAACGAAGGGCTGGGACGGAGGAGGTGTTGCGAACTTCGCCCAACCCACATAATGAAAGCGCGACTTGTTGGTTCGGTGGCTATCCACCCGACAATGTAGACGGGAACACTATATGCTTTCTGCTTCTTGTGTTTCTTATGTACGTATTCTTGATTTCATTCTGCACATTTCTAAAAAAAAAATTGCTGCACCTTTTGCTCACAAAAACTTTGCTGCCAAAAAAATCAATGATTCATGCTCATAATTAATTATTATTAACTGCTTCATCAAAAAAGGAACAATTATGAAAAACTAGTGTACATATCCAGCCTTAAAGCTGCGGTCTACAGTCGAAATGGTATTTTCTGGGGGTATTTCGGGTGCACACCCTAGGACCCAGTCTGATTTGCTCACGAAATTATCCTTTTCCAGAAATGATGGCACGAAGGTTTCAAACACAACTAGCAAATTCCACCAGTTTCGTACAAGGTTCAGTTCGGGTGTACTTAAATTACATTCCGCTAAAGAATATGTCCCAATCGATGTGTCCCAATCACAATTTAGCCGAGTTGCGCCCAAATTTCTCGATTCTGCATGTCCCAATCGATCGAGGTATTGCGACCCTGCTCAGATGCGCGACAATTATATGCGACCCACCGTGATTGGTCAGAGAACATTCTGGCACACTTCTACTCCAAAGCACAAACTCCGGCGCCTCCAGACCCGGGGAAGAGAGTTGGTATTGCACGGGGGGGCCGCGGAGTATACAGTGTCAGACATATATGACATAGCTACTGTAGGCTGTAGTGGGGTAGCACATATGAGGTACAGCTTTCTAGGGTTTGTACTTGTACCCAACTTTCCCTTAGTCATTCTCATTCCTCGTTTCTTCTCATGGTATCGAGCTGGTTCCCTAGTGGGAACGATTCCTAGGGCCCACCACCACGAATTTTGTTTTTTCCTGCCCGGAGCGCGCTTCGCTCCGGCCCGAGTTGCGCCCCGTGTGCTCTCCCTACCGTCGCGCCCTCGCTAGGCCCCTCACGGCCCCGTCGCGTCGCCCTTAGCGGCCCTCTCACGGCTCCCTAGCGCCGCCCTTACGGCCCGTCGCGCCGCCCTTAAGGCCCGTCGCGCCTGTCGCGCCGCCCTTACGGCCCCTCGTGGCGCCCTTACGGCTCCTAACGCCGCCCTTACGGCCCAGCGAGCCGCCCCTTACGGCCCCTTACGGCCTCTCACGCTACCCTTACGGGCCCTCCCGCGGCCCCTTCGGCCCCTCCCGCTGCCCGTCGGCCCCTTACGGCCCCCTCGCGGCCCCTCGAGCCGCCTTCCGCGGCCTCCTCACGGCCCGTCGCCGCCCTCGGCGGCCCCTCGTGGCGCCCTTCACGGCCTCTCCGCCGCCCTTCGCGGCCCCTAGCGGCCGACCGCCGCCGTCCCTGAGGCAGCAGCCGCCGCCGTCTCTTCAGCAGCAGTCGCCACAGCTCCTGCGACTGCTGCTGCGGTCCTCACCAGCCACACCAGCCGCCGAGCCGCCCAGCAGCCGAGCAGCCGAGCCGCCGAGCCGCCCAGCAGCCGAGCAGCCGAGCCGCCGAGCCGCCCAGCAGCCGAGCCGCCGAGCCGCCGAGCTGCCGAGCCGCCCAGCAGCCGAGCCGCCGAGCCGCCCAGCAGCCGACCGCCGAGCCGCCCGAGCTGCCGAGTCGCCGAGCCGCCCGAGCCGCCCGAGCCGCCGAGTCGCCCGAGCCGCCCGAGCCGCCGAGCCGCCCGAGCCACCGAGTCGCCGAGCCGCAGTTGCTGCCGAGCCGCCGTACTGCCGAGCCGCCGAGCCGCCCGAGCCGCCCTGTCCGGTAAGAGCAGCGCCTCTATCACTGCACTGCCCTTACCCTACTATTCGCGCTGCTAGTCTACTGCTGTCATGGCTACCCCTGGTGTCCTCACCTTTGACGCTGAGGGTCAGGCCATTGACTTTGACGTCTGGGTAGATGACCTGCATCTTTTCTTACAGAGCGATAGGGCAGACAGTCTCTCCCTCTTTGACCTCACCTCTGGTGCCTCTCCTGCCCCTGCTGCTGATGCTGACGCCACTGTTCGCTCACAGTGGGCCACACGCGATGCTGCTGTGCGTCGCCACCTGCCTACCTCTGAGCGTGCGCACTTTAGCCAGTACAAGAGTGCTCAGACCTTGTACGACGATGTAGTTGCACGCTACTCCTCCCCTGCCACTGCTGCACTGAGCCGCCTCATGCTACCGTACCTCTTCCCTGACCTTGCTGCCTTCCCCACAGTCGCTGACCTCATTACGCACCTCCGCACTAGTGACACTCGCTACCGCGCTGCGCTTCCTGCTCAGTTTTGCGCCAAGAACCCCCCCCCCATGTACATCACCCTCTACTACATAGTCACCCGGCTCCCTGACTCCCTTCGCATAGTCAGGGACCACTTCCTCTCACTTTGCCCCACCACTCTCACCGTTGACCTCCTCGAGAAGGCCCTCCTAGCAGCAGAGAAGAGCATAGTCGCTGTAGAAGCCTCTCGTGGTGACCCTCGCACCCCCGTCTTTGAGGGGTGTTCCCCCTCCCCCCTTTTGCCCTCTGTTTCCTCTGCTGCTGCGGCCGACCCGTTGGTTTTGAGTCGGTCGGCGCTGCGTCTGTCCCGAGCGGGAGACGCCGCACCGTCAAGGGCAAGGGGGGCAACGGCGCTGGAGAGGCTGGCGAGGGAGGTGGAGGTGGCGGTGGAGGCAGTGGAGGGGGTGGGGGTGGTGGTAGGAGTGGTGGCGGGGGTGGAGGTGTCGGTGGCGGCAGTGGCGGCGGAGGCGGCGGCAACGGTGGCGGAGGGAGCGGAGGTGGCGGAGGTGGCGGCGGTGGTGGAGGCGGCGGCGGAGGCGGTAGAGCTGGTCGGGGTGGCGCTGCGCAGAGGGTCGGCTCCGGTGGTGGTCAGCGCCAGCAGCAGCACAAGCAGCGCACTCGTGACATCCCCTCCCCTCAGCAACTCCATGAGTGGTACGCTGCACGCCAGCCGGGTGGGGGTACTGGTCCGTGCACCTACGTCCTACGCACCAGCGACCGCGCGGGTGAGCAGTGCGGGGGTGCGCACTCCACCCACCGCTGCTTTGGCCGCCTCACGGACGCTTGGAGTCACCAGTTCCCTGAGGCCACTGAGATCCCTCGCTGGGGCGAGCTCTCTAGGGCGGGAGTAGATATCTTTGACCTTGACTTTGATGCTATTCTTGCTGCCATGTATGCTGTAACTATAAGTGATGAGGGTGACAGTTACCGGTGTTTTCCGCCCGACCCGGACATTGAGACTGCTGCACTAGGTACTGGTGAGGCTGCTGCTCTAGGTGCTAGCGAGGATGCTGCTCTAGGTGCTGGTGCGTCTGCTTCCTCAGGTGCTGGTGAGTCTGCTCTCTCAGGTACTGCATCGGCTTCGGCCTCCCACACCTTCACACTTGACTCGGGGGCTTCTCGCTCCTTCTTTCGAGACCGCACCACACTCACGCCGCTTGGTCGGCCAGTTGCAGTCTCTCTGGCAGACCCCTCTGGGGGTCCTGTCCTGTCTCACTTCTCCACTGTCCTCCCATGTCCGGCGGCCCCCTCTGGCACCCTGTCTGGTCTTTACCTCCCCTCGTTCTCTACGAACTTGGTGAGTGGTGCTGACCTACAGGATGCGGTGGTTCACCAGTTCACTCCTGCGAGTCAGCGGGTGACCCACTGCACGGACGCTCGGACAGGCCGACACCTGGCCACGTTTACACGTCGGCCGGGGTCGAGCCTGTACACACTTACCACTGAGTCTCCTCCAGTCATTGCGTCTGGTCAGGTAGCTGCGTCGGGTCAAGTGTTTGCTGCAGCGTCCAGGTCTGGTCCTGAGTCTGCCCCCTGCTCGTTACGCCTCCTGTCTCATGAGACTCTCCTCTGGCACCACCGCCTTGGTCACCCCTCCCTGCTTCATCTCCAAGGCATGGCCTCCCGTGTCCTTATCTCTTGTCTTCCCCGGTCCCTCCCTCCCCTTCCTCCGGGGCCTGCCCCTGCCTGCGTCCCCTGTGTCGAGGGGCGGCAGCGGGTTGCCCCTCACTCCTCCCAGTTTCCTCCGACAGAGGCCCCGCTGTAGACGCTTCACATGGACGTGTGGGGCCCGGCCCGCGTCAATGGACAGGGTCATGAGCGCTACTTCCTATTGGTGGTTGACGACTACTCGCGTTACACCACAGTCTTCCCCTTGCGCAGCAAGGGTGATGTCACTGAGGTGTTGATCGACTGGATCCGCGCAGCTCGTCTCCAGCTCAGGCAGAGCTTCGGCTCGGACTTTCTTGTTCAGCGTCTGCACTCTGACAGAGGCGGAGAGTTCTCCTCTGGCCTTCTGCGAGCCTACTGTCGCGCACGAGGCATCCCCCAGACCTTCACGCTTCCGGACTCTCCACAGCAAAATGGGATTGCTAAGAGCCGCATTGGCATGGTCATGGACGTAGCCCGTACGTCCATGATGCATGCGGCTGCCCCCCATTTTCTGTGGCCGTGTGCGGTTCGGTACGCGGCGCATCAGATCAACCTTCAGCCCAGGGTCTCCATGCCGGAGACCTCCCCAGCTTTGCTGTGGACGGGGAAGGTTGGTGATGCGTCTGCGTTCCATGTCTGGGGATCTC